GTGGTCAAATAGTTCACTAAGTTCGACGCTATTCCATAAAACGCCATCCTCTCAAACGCTTCATACCCTTCTCACACACATACAAGACTATATAAAGATGGTGAATCAATAAATCAGAAGCAGTTAATATGCTTTTTAATTCATTTAGCTAATTTTCAGTTGCTATAATTAGATGAAAATAGTGACTTGAGTTACAAAAATACCGAGGAGGAAAGAGCAAGCTCTCCAACGGCCGGTCTTGGACGCGAGGACGGGACGGCCTTGCAGGTCGACGGTGCCATCTTGTGTGAAAACTTTTGCAGCCTCCATTAATATTTTGATACGTTAAAATATTTTTTTAATAATTTGTTGTTTTGTGGGGGTATATTTTTGGTAATGTTTTGAGAATTGAAAGAGCTACGAGATGTCAGGTCTATAAAGAGGGACTAAAGAGAAATAATTTTAAGGTTGCATGGTGTTTTTTTCTAATGGGATTTGGGAAAAATAAGGTCTTAAGATTAGCTTAGCTTTGTCTTACTCTTCAGTCTTCACAAGATCAAGTTTTGTGATATATATAACGCCACCGCTAGATTTTGTTGTTTCCTTTTCATTAATGTCGTCATCATCATCACCTTTGTCATGTAACCACCACTACCATCATCATCATCATCATAATATAACTTTGGATGGTATATACAATTTTTAATTGGTCATTCTTTCTTATAAATTAAATATGGTAGAAGATACAAAAAACTCGTATATATATTTGAGCCGAAAATTTTTGGTCAGCAACAGGTAGCGATGATGACATTTTTTTGGTTCCAAACTTCCAATGATAAAGATAACTCAATAACCATAGACCTATGCAGATATATCATCGTGTCACAAAAGAAAAAAAAAACTTAATAAGGTGTATGAATTCATCTTTTTTGTTCCCCTTTATAAAAGAACAAAATTAAGAACGTAATTTTTTTTCTAAAATACTGCAGATGAATGAACGAGAGATAACAATAGTTATCTAATAGTTCAATTTCCTTCATATTCATTTAACATTTAGTCCATTTTCGTAGAAAGTAGAAAGTAGAAAGAGTTGTTTTCTTTTTTCTTTTTTCCTCAATAAATTTAATTTTCAAGACCAACGATGTAAATTGGTGGAATACAGCAAGATTCCACATTTCTGCGAGTTAGTCTTCATGTTACGATATACGCTCTTCAGCTTCATCATCAGAAATACAACCAACCATCCTAATACCGCACGTGCACTATCTAACACGCACTTGGGAAGGATATATGCACAATATTGGTTGACTTTGTATGAAATACAATTAGAAATTAAGGAAAATAGTTTCAATATTATGTTTTTTTTCTATAATGAAACTCAAACAAAGGAAAGTTGAAATATTTCATTCAGGATTCAAGTTCTGTTTGATTCTATAGACTATAGTTTTCTAAGAATCAAGACCAAAAATCCGGATATTCTCGTCACAAAACGACGATGTGTGACCTTTTTTACTTGCCGACTTTCGATTCATGCCAAATCAAATACTATCTTGGAATTTGGATCGAAAGTAAATTTTCTGAGACATTCCATTCTGGTTGAAACATGAACAACGAAACTTGCAGTGAAAATCAAAAGCGACTGTGGTCCAGAGACGCGTTTGATGATCCAATAAAATTGGAACGATGGAGAGGAAAAACGGTGGTCCAAAAAGCTGTTGATATCTTGACCCACCCCACCTTAGATTTAAGCCTTGATGGCCCTTTGTCTATACAAAGAGAGAAAGGGAAACAAGCATGGAACTTGATGAATCATTCTTAATAAATGCATCTAACACCTTATTCGCTTAGCTAGATATATTGTTTATACTTACTCCTTTCGTTTTACAATAAGAATATTTACCACTCACCTAAATCTAATAGAAATGACCTTAAATTGTTATACTTTAACTTTTTTTGACAGAAAGGATTAATGTTATAATTTAACTCTAAGATGTTTATTTATTAAATTTTGTTTGTTTGTTTGTTTCATTTTTATTGTTTATTTAAGTTTCTATTGAAAAATTGATTTAATTGATATTTTGTGACTACTTGCATTCTGTAGTTCCAAATTTGATGTTTAATGTATAAAATGCCAAAAAGAAGTCACAAAATATCAAACTAAATGTAAATTTGCAATTTTAATTATGAAAAGTTTATATAACGGAACAGAGAGAGATTAATGTTTTATATGAAGGTTTATCAATATATTCAAACAATCTATCGAAATTGTTAAAACAACAACTTTTATGAGACGGATGCAATATTTATCTTAGTTGGATCCATATAAAACAAAAAAAAATCCCAAAAAATGTTTGCAAAATGACAAAAATGGTTAGGTTATTTGATGAGCTCAGATATCATGGAGCGTGAGATGCTGAGAACAACACGTAACAAACATGAACCAAAGAAGGAATGGAGAAAAAGTGGATCCAACCATTTTCGAAATTTGACTTTGCCGTAAAAGACTGCCATTATACAATGACATTAATGGGTCCAAAATCCAAATAATGAGACCACGTTTTTTTTTCAAGTGATAACTATACTTTTCTTTCTTTTCGTTAGTGGTATCATTAATTAATCATTATGTTATTTGGGCTGTAAAACTTATGAAACACGATCTATATCTATTGAAATGGACATTAGATTTAGCAAAAAGTGTGCGATTTCATAACTAAAGTTCGTAAGAATATAACATAAACTCGTAAGTTCATAATTCCGGAAATTGTGCCATCTTAATCTTCTTCGTCTTACGTAACTCAAAAGTCAAAAACCCAAACACAATTCCTCTGTGAAGTTTCATTTTCAATATATTAACGTTAAACGAAAAAAAGTTAATAATTCCGGAAAATCAACATTTCCAGCGCATACTGAATCTTTACATGCCGTATTACGGTCCCGTGGAAATCTTATGCGCTCGTGGTTTATTGTGACTCTGAACATTCCCCAAAAACAAGTCCAGAAACACCCGAGAAAAACCGAGACGGTTTGGTACGTGGCATTGAATCTAGAGTCTGTGGTAATTGAGCAAACAGTACAAAGAAGAGTAAATGATCAAAAAATAAGTGCACGAGGGTTAAGAATACGATTGAAAACGAATTGACAGGCTTGCTTCTTGGCTTCATATTGCAACTTGCAGAGCGTTGAAGCATGAGCTTGAGGTAACTATAGCGTACCTATTAAGATATCTTTGAGAAGGCCACATTAAGAGAAATTTAAGTGTCAAACATATTATAACCACTAATAATAGGAAAAGATTCTTTCTCATTTCATATAAATCTCTATTTCACTTGACTACAATACAGTCAGCATGCTAAAGTGTTACACACTGTTAAACTTTTAAAGATAGTGTTTCGTACAGATTACTCTCGATTCGACAAGCCCTTGCGGTTCCACCATTCAAAGGCTCCTAAGCTTTCAATTATGGCCCTGCTTCTGTCTTTTCATGTCTATCTACAACCATATACACAAAGGTGGACATGTGTGTACTAATGGGCCATTGAAACAAAGCCTATTACGAAACTTTACTAGTGGACCACTCTAGTCTAGGTCGCACCATCTTCTTGCAGCTCAAATCCATCAACCTCTTTGAATTAGAGCTCTTTGCAATCTGTTTCAGCTTTCCCGTTAGCTGCATCTGAAATATCAACGGTAGCTAAAGTTAGATTCCGGAGGAAGAACTCATATACCATACTAGTTAAACAATTTGGACCCATTTTAGGGTCTATGGGAAAGTATTGTCAAACATTATCAAAGTATAGAGTGGTTTCAGTCAGTGAAATGATGGGAGATGCAAACTAGGCAATCCCTTTTACAACTAGGAGAGATAATGGCAGAACACTGTAAATCAGTAAACCGGAACAGCAAACAGATAGGTGTTTATTTAAAAGAAGATACACAATGATCATTAAGACTTTGGGTTTGGAATAATAAAAGGTTGGTATCAGATTTAAAACACACGAATTTGTCAGCATATATACAAACATCTCTCCCCTCACATCTTTGCGTAAACAATATCGATGGGTGTGATTACTTTCATGAGTTTATCAAATTTATGTTGGTTATACAAGATCCTTTCAAACAGAACAAGCGACAAGAAGATAAAGAATCATGACAGAGTTAGGTTGTAGCTTGATTGGCCAGGCTGCCATTAGTGATTCCAAAAACTCAACTATTACATATTACAGAAGAAGTTTCTGTATTCCTTCTTTTATTAAATGTATTCAGAGTAAAGATCGACAACCTCTGTCACCAAAGCCTAAGCCCAAAACATTTCTCAAACATCATACTAAAAAAAAACTACACAAATAGTTCTCTTCTTCCTCGAGAACGGAGAGCATATTATTGTAAGTATAATCCATCAATTGTTCCTCTTATGAGTTAATAGTTATGAACAAAAAAAAAAAATATCTCACATGTTTCTAAACGACAAGCTTAAAACCCTAGAATTCCCCCACAAATTCAACTCACCTTCAAATAACTTAAAATAAACCATTTTTATTTATTTTATAATCCATTTTTTATATTCCACATATTTTCTTATAGAATCAAAAGATTTGCAAATCCAAATTAAATTTCTATATCATATGGCCACCTACCAATATTAATTTCCCATTTTTTACCAGCGTATCTAAGCACCTTAGATTATAGCCGCCGGTAAACTCCTTAGCCAATTATTAAAATCTTTTTAAAACCCTAAAACCTAGTGTCCCTCTATTAGAACATCTTAAGTCATAACAACTTCTGCTTCAAAAGATTTTCTCTTAACCCGCCGCTGCTCTCTCTCTCCTCGAATTGTTCTGGTACTTGAACGTTTCTCAATTCTCATATGTAGCGTATACTTACATGTATAAAGTGGACTTCTTCTGGATTTCGAATCGAATTTTGCATGTTCTAAAATCTGTTTTGGTCACTTATATTGTAGTTGACGCAATTATATAGCGTAATTCGTTGACCAAATGAAATTTAGGTAATACGTATTTGCAATGGCAACAGAGAGCAACAAAGACGTTTTTTTGGATGGATTTAGGAAACTCTTGAAAGAACAATGGCAAGCAGACGTACGTCTCAAAGCAGGAGACAGTGATGAGAGGACTGGAGCTATCTCCGCCCACAAACTTGTTCTGGTTTTTTTCTCTAATAACTTCTTTTGCTTTTACTTGAAAAATGCTTTTTATTGTTAATGCTACTTCTTCAACATATAACTCGAATTTTTTTTGAATAGGTTGCGAGATCAAAGGTATTTAAGAATATTTTGGAAACAGACGGGTGCAAGGCTTCAGCTAACTTAGAAACAGTCACTCTCTCTGAGATGAAGCACGAAGAACTTGAGGCTTTAGTTGACTTCATGTACAGTCCTGATGGATCCATTTCTTTTGAAAGTCTCAAGAAACATGATCGGTCACTCTATCTTGCAGCCGACAAATATGAGATCCCACATCTAAGGGATCTATGCAGAATCCATCTTATTTCCTCTCTTAAATCGTCGAATGCTCTTGACATCCTTGAACTTGCCCAAATCCCTTTCGACAAAGCCCTCAACGACGCAGCATTCACTACTATCAAAAACAATATAAGCACGATTGCTAGCTCAGCTGAGTTCAAGTTGTTTGTCGTCAATCATCCAAATCTTTCCGTGGAGATAATGAAGGAAGCTCTAACTCAAAAAAGATATGTGGTTATTGCCAGTGGCGGATTTAGAAAAAAAATTAGTTGGAGGTATAAGTTTATAAATAGGAAGAAAAAAAAATTAGGTAAAGGTAAAAAAAAATTTTTTTACTACTAAATTAAATTTATTTAATTAAATTTGCCTAAATATTTAAAAAAATATAAAAAAAGTAGAGAGCATTGAATTCCACTCCTCCTTACTTACATCCGCCCCTTGCGGTCGGTTCTGCTAGTCGCTAGAAGAACAATTGTTTTTGTTGTTTGGACTCTTTTGGATAATCCGTTTTATCATTTTCAGTTGAGTTAGACATGATAATACAGACTTTGCATAATATTCGGATATATTATTCATAAGTAGCCCATTTGTACGTGTTGTTTCTTGCTTGAAGATTATATCTTAGTTAGATTATTATAATCTTCCACAATTTTTTTTTTCGTAAACCAGAAATTAGATTTATATGCCTTTTAAGTTTATTTCGATTTTCGTTTTTAACTAGGATCAAATAAACTATACCAAAAATCACCCATTAGCCAAAAAATATATATAAAGACTCCTAACAAGGGAAAACCAAAAATATGTGTATAGCATCTGTTATTTACAATGGTAACACTGCAACAAAGATTTTGTTTTTGTTTGAATTGTTCATGAAACGCTACGAAGAGCAATGGCAAGTCTACGTAAGGCTCAAGGCAAGAGGAACACAATTTTTTAGTTTTGTTTTTTGTACCTCTTCAGCGGAGAAAAAAGAAATGTTTAAATGAAATTAAAAATCTGAAGAAAAAATAACCAAGTTTTATAAAATAACCCATTAATTTTATATTACAATGATCTAGATATATATATTTAGGAATGATAAAGAGACTTTTATTTAAAAAGAAGTTTAACAAAATAAAGGAGATAGAGAACTTTTAGAATTTGGATCATGTTTTGGGTTTGGCCCAATAAATGATACGTGGATTATCCGCCCAAGAGTTAAACTTGATTCCCCCCAAAAAAAGAAAATCAACTTTACCTTTCAAGTTTCAACGATAGCTCCCTTTAAACCCTACAAGCGTGACAGAGTCGTCTCCGAGGCTAAAATCGATCAGTCGTTGGGGATCTTCTTCTGGGAGTCAGAAGAGAGAGTTTCCCCAATTCCGTCGTGACTTTCTCCATCGATTGTTCTGGTACTTGGACTCTTCTCATTTCTCAGAGCATTACTTTGTACTAAGTGGACTGACTTATGTTTGATATTCGAATCGACTTTGCGAAATCTCATTTTTTGGTTAGTTGGAATTTTTAGTTTAGATAAATTGTTAAACCACGACTTAAAAAATCTCTCGCTTGACATGAAATGTAATGTTCCTCAGTGCGTTTCTTAGTTGAGAAAGGAAGACTTTTTCTCCTTATTGTGTATTGTACGTTGTATATGTTTGTTTGTATACAATTCATATCAATTTTAATATTGTACAAAAATGCATATTTTAGTATTTGTATTTCTTAGCTAGCTAACATCGTTTACCAAATAATCTCCAAACCACATTCTTGTTTTAGCAGATTTGGTTTGCAAATGGCAAAACAGAGCAATAAGGAGGATTTCTTGGGTGGAATAAGGAAACTCTTTAGAGAACAATGGCAAGCCGATGTACTCCTCAAGGGAGGAGACAGTGATGAGCTTGCAGCTATCTCTGCACACAAACTTGTTCTGTTTCTCACTAACTTCTTCTTCTTCTTGATTTCTTCTTCCTTAATACATATTCCTCACGTCTCTCTCAGTTAATGCATTGGAATTTCAATAGGCAGGAAGATCAATGGTGTTTAAGAAGATGATGGAATCAGACGAGTTCAAGGCTTCATCTAAGCTAGAGACAGTCACTCTCTCTGAGATGAAACACGAAGAAGTCGAGGCTTTAGTTGAGTTCATGTACAGCATTGACGGCTCAATTTCTTCCGACAGTCTCAAGAAGCATGTTCGGTCACTCTACCTTGCAGCCGACAAATACGAGATACCACATCTACGTGACCTATGCAGAAGCGAGCTTATATCATCTCTTAAGCCGTCGAATGCTCTTGACATACTTGAGCTTGCTCAAATCCCTTTTGATCAAGCCCTCCACTCTTCGGCATTCACTACTATCAAAGCCAATATAAGCACCATTGCTAGCTCTGCTGAGTTCAAGTTGTTTGTCGTCAATCACCCAAATCTTACCGTAGAGATCATTAAGGCTTCTCTTACTCCTCCGCCTAAGAGCATCATCAACGCTGATGCTTAGCACACTTTATTGGGTTACTTAGACCCAAAAATAAATTAAAAAGAAATTATAAGCCTAGTATCGATACTTATTTAAGGCCCAGAAGAAGCGATACTTGGTGTGTACGTGTCCCATGTTTATTGGACAGAGAAAAAGAGAAAAACCACCAAAGAGAAAAAGTTTATCTTGTTTTCGATATTCTTCTTCTCCCACAAAAACTCCATCGATAATCCTCTCCTCTGCTTCAATCCATCGTTTTTGCTTCCGATGTCAGCTCTCTTTCCGGTCAACCGAACTCTTGTGGCAACTGAGCTATTATCCGAGGTTTATTCTCATCGGTTTCATATTATTATTTTTTTATTGAATCGGTTCTTCTCATCAAAATCACTCTACATGCGTTGTGAATCCCGCTTGTTAGTGTTTTTTTATTCGATTAGCCTTGGATGTGTTTTTTTTTTAGAGATCAAGTGTTGTTATCGGATTTGTATATTTGTGTATCGGGTATTTGTGTTCTGATTTGTATCGGTTAAAGATCAAGTGTAAAATCGGATTTGTTTATGTATGGTTCAAATTTGTATATGTATGTTTCGAATTTTTTTATCTCTTTTGTTTCTTCTAAGTTGTTTTCTATTCATATCGGTTGATAGATTCAGAAGATAGTAATGAAGTGTATTAATGTGTTCATTAGTTTGCTTGAATGTGAATTGGTAATGAATTGTGTTTATGTGTGTTCATTAGTTTGCTTGAATGTGAATTGGTAATGATGTGTCTTTATGTGTTCATTAGTTTGCTTGAATGTTCATTTGTTTGGTTGATATCACTTCTTGTGTTGTGGTGGTCAATCATGTAAATTGTTGCTAATTGAGTTTGTTGTTGTTTGCAAATTCTGAGCTTGGTGTGAGGTGTCAAGGGAGCCCAAAGTCTCGGATTTGAGTAACTTCAAAGGGTTGAAGCTTTCCATTTAGGGTGTTAACTATGAGGTATGTTTTCACATCGGTTCCAAAGTGTAAAATGCATCAGTGTAGTTAGAATATTTGGTTTTCTCTCGTAGGTGTTTAGGTTTGGTAGTTAGAAGATTAATGAAGATTCATTTATGGAGATTACAATAATTTAGGGATTGTGTTTGGTTTGAAGTTTAATTGTCTTGACATAATTATCGGTAGAAATCTGTCTTGTCCATAGTTTTAATAGTTGGTTTGAAGTTAATTGATGGTGCTTTTTTATGGATTTGCTACAGCTTTAGTTCATTGATGGTGCTTTTTTAGAAGTTAAAGCTTTTCCTAAAGCTTTAGATAAAGCTTCTATTTGTGAGTTATCTTGTTAGATAACTGTCTACTCAGTTGTTTTTAATAACAGTAAAAGCTTTGTAAAACCCCAACGCCTCATCTTTTCTTTAAAAACCTTCCTATCTTGTATTTACTTCTTCTATTCTTTTCTACTTTGTTAAACTCCAACGCTTCATCCTCTCATCCTCTGTTTTCTTCTTCCTCTGATCTTCTTTTTCGATCACAATGGATTATTCTTCTTCACATCCATTCACTCACTCATCTAACTTTGTTGATCTTCTCAATAGTCAACAAGAACTTCCTCTTCATGATCCATTTTCTTCTCAAAGCCAAATCCCTCTGTTCAGCAGCCAATGCACCGAAGCCTCCACCTACAATGACGACAGCCCTGCAGATCGCAAAGAAAGGAAGGCCTGGACTCCAACCGATGATGTGATACTCATTTCTGGGTGGCTGAACACGTCAAAAGACCCGGTGGTGGGTAATGAGCAGAAGTCTGGTACCTTTTGGTGGAGGATAGCAGAATACATTGCTTCTAGTCCGAAGGCTGCAGGCAAAGAAAGAAGAGAACCAGTCACATGTAAGGCAAGATGGCAAAAAATAAATGATTTGGTGTGCAAGTTCTGCGGTTCTTATGAGGCTGCAACAAGGGAGAGAGCCTCAGGAATGAATGAGAATGATGTGCTGAAACTTGCACATCAAATTTTCTTTAATGATTACAAAAAGAAATTCACCTTGGAGCATGCGTGGAAGGAACTACGTAACGACCAAAAGTGGTGTGAAGTTTCTGCGAATAAAGTTGGAGGAAGTGTTAAAAGGAGGAGACGCGAGGACGGGCTACAAGCACCAGTTCCTGCTGCAGATGAAAACAACAATGTGGAAGGCGATCAAGGAGGCAACAGGCCACCAGGTGTGAAAGCTGCCAAAAATAAAGGAAAGAAGAAGGTGGATGATGGCAAAGCTTTATCAGAATTCCAAAGTATGTGCAAGCTTCATGAAAAAGACATGGCACTGAAAGAGAGGATTCAGAGGATGCAACTGCTAGACAGCCTCGTCGCAAAGAGTATGAAAGAGCCCTTGGAAGATTATGAAAAAGAGCTTAAGAAAAGACTCTCTTTAGAGATGTTAGGTTAAGGTTAATGTTTGTTTGTAGTTCATGTATTGTTGTTTCTAGTTTTATGTTTATTTGTTTCTAGATTATGTTTTCTGTTTTTAATGTTATAAACATGTATGTTTGATCTTTGAAATGAATCGCTTTAAGCTTGTTTAGTCTTTGGATAAACTCGATTATTAAATGGTTTTGGTTACTCGGTTATTTAAAAGTTTTTGGTTACTTGGTGATACAAAGTTTTGGTTTACTCGGTGATAGAAAGTGTATTCACTTTTCTGTTTTTAAAGTTTTTGATATTTGATGCTGATTGTGTTTGTCTCTTTCTGTATCAGGTATGAGTGGTGGATGTCGACACTAAAGATAGAGGTGTGGTGGTTGTTGATACAATAAATTTTTGTATATTTACTAAGTGTAATTTCAGTCCACAAATAATGAAACTTATTGTGGTGTATGTCGACACTAGTTTTTGTTTGTTTCCTTTGTACAACAAAGAACCGTGTATTTGTAATCCCAATTTGAGTCCACAAACATTGTATGGGACTTGTTATATATATAGAGACACTTCCTATATCTTTTGCATCACACTACTTCTCATTCCTTCTTTCTTTAGCTTCTATATCATTTCTTTCAACTTTGGTTGGTATAGTTTGCTTTCGGCTTATTTCTTTTTTGGTTCTTGTTTTCAGTTTCCTAACCAAAAGCAAACAAAACACAAAACACAAAAAATGGCTTCTTCTTCAAATAATCACAATAACCCTTTCGATGAATCAAGTCATCGCACAATTGATCAACAAGTTGATGATTACTATGATCAATACGTTGATCAGGCTTTTGGTAATTTGATGCTTCATTACCAACAAAACCTGGAGGCAAGGCCGTCAAAAAAAAAACGGGCTTATATTGAAAGAGATCGGGAGGCAGGTCATACACGGTTATGGAATGATTACTTCAGTGAAGCTGCAACATATCCAGCTAATATATTCCGACGCCGTTTTCGAATGAATAAGCCATTATTCATGAAAATTGTTGACCGATTTTCCAACGAAATTCGATTCTTCCGACAAAAAAAAGATGCTATTGGAAGGCCTGGTCTCTCGGGACTTCAAAAATGCACCGCAGCAATTCGTCTTTTGGCTTATGGAACTGGAGCTGATGCAGTAGACGAATACCTTCGGCTTGGTGAATCTACGGCTCGCTCCTGTTTGGAACATTTTGTTGAAGGAATAATACATTTGTTTGGTGATGAATACCTACGAAGACCCACACCTGAAGATCTTCAAAGATTACTTTATGTTGGAGAGGATCGCGGTTTTCCCGGAATGATAGGAAGCATCGATTGTATGCATTGGGAGTGGAAGAATTGTCCCACCGCTTGGAAAGGACAATTTACACGTGGTGCTGAAAAACCCACAATCGTTTTGGAAGCGGTAGCTTCATATGATCTTTGGATATGGCACGCATTTTTTGGTTCCCCAGGTACCTTAAATGATATTAATATTCTTGATCGTTCACCCGTGTTTGATGATATCATAAAAGGTAAAGCTTCGCAAGTGCATTATTCTGTCAACGGAAGGGATTATCACTTAGCTTACTATCTCACGGATGGTATCTATCCAAATTGGGCTACGTTTATCAAATCTATACCACTTCCACAGGGATCAAAAGCGACTTTATTTGCTAAACGTCAAGAAGGTACCCGAAAAGATGTCGAACGTGCTTTCGGAGTCTTGCAAGCTCGGTTTGCAATTGTAAAAAACCCGGCTCTTTTTTGGGATAAAGACAAAATCGGAAAGATTATGAGAGCATGTATCATTCTCCACAATATGATAGTAGAAGACGAACGAGAAGGATTAACTCAATATGATCTTTCAGATTTTCAATACGGAGAGGGCCACGGTAGTTCACAGGTCGATCATGACTATTCAACAGATATGCATTCAAATATTGCTGATATGTTGACTGCTCGAAAGAAAGTTCGAGACACACAAGTACATAAACAATTGCAAGCTGATTTGGTTGAACACATTTGGCAGAAATTTGGCATAAATCGTTTATATGTTTAAAATGTATCAAAATCTATGTTTTAATTTTATTTTTCAACTATATGTTTGTAATATTTTATGTTCTATTTAAATAAATAAATTTGTCATAAATTTCTTAAATTATATTTTTTTTTTAAAGTTAAGTACTCCATTAAGAATTCTTGCATTGGAGGCATCAAAAACATATTCTTTTTAATAGAGATACTTAATTTAAGTTTAACAATTTTTTATTGCTAAGTACCCATAATGGGGTACTACCATTGTTGATGCTAAGGGTACTGGATATTGTTCTAGATGTGGTTACAGTACTTCGTACTGTGCTCACTGCCGCCGCTAAAACAAGGGTTTAGCTTTTGTTGTTTTACTTTGACTAACCACAAAGCTGTTTTATTTTTGTATGGGATTTAGCTTTCGTCACATTTCCAAAACCTGACAAAATTCACAATAAAGTATTCAGATTTTTCTTTTTTATCATCGTTTTAATTCTCTTTCCTGTCTATGCAAGAAAAAAGGAGATTAAAAAGGTCATATATTCAGAAAATAGATTGATTGTCAGGCAAGGAAGTTTTGAAACGTGTATGTTAAACTAGAAAGTGTTTTAGTTTAGTGGACGTGTATTGATTATTTGATTGCTTTGTAAAGAGAGCATTAGTATCATGCATGGCGTTTAGTTAGTGAAGAAACACATGCAAAAAATGAGACTTTAGTGTTCTCTTGACATCTTAATCTTTCGAATTTTCCTTTAAGTACGATATTTCTCTTTCGACTGACTTTTGTCTGTGGTTTCGACCCCAATTTTTTTGCCTTGGAGATAATGAAGGCTTTTCTGGCTCCAATGATGAATCCATATCGTTTCCTTATTATAAATTCTTTCAAAATTATGATTTCCATCTCAAAAACCACTCAAAATTAGTTTTTCTAATATAATTATATTATGGAAATTTCAAAATACTTCAATAATACGAAATTTAATATATGAACATCCAAAACCAAAATTATGTTTCAACATTAAAATCATAGTGGTAGACTGGTCGTTAGTTAACTAAAGAGATCAAATTAGTTGTGGCACAAGTGGACTCATGCATTAATCAGCAGGCTTTCTGGAGTATTGTTTACTTAAAGCCTATGACTTTTTGGTAGTAGTGTGTTTTTCCCCCTGATTGGTTATTTGCTATAAGTTGTACCATTCTGTTTTGTTTCATATCGAATGCCCTAGAGGGCTAGAGAACAGAACAAAATTGTCTCCTCCAGCTTGACCGTCATTTTGTCTGTGTGACTCGCTCTTGGTTATAACATCTTAAAACTATTTTATTTTTGCTTAGCTAGGAACAAAGCTACAACGATATGCCATATGGTCTTTCTCGAAAAGAAAATTGGGATTGGGAATTCGCTTTTCATATATCTGTTCGATATCTGATATATCCTTCAATTTCTCTGGAATTTTCCGCTTTGAAAGCACTTCTCTGTTGCGGTAGTTTGTTTACGTTAGATTTCTGAATTTGCAAGAAAAAACTTACCTGCAAATAATAGAGGATCAATTTGCTAAAGTTTTTTTTTTCTGAAATCCACTAACCCTTTTGGTTTTCAGACCTGGACCAGACCGGCCGGTCGAACCGCTCTCAATTCCACTACTCAACAGAAAAAAGGCAAGCGAGTGGCTTCAATTCCAAGTATATATTATGTAGGGCTTTCTACACTTACTTAAACATCTCTGAATTTTATTCTCACACGGCCGCGGCGTTCGTCTCCTCCAAGTCAATCGCAAACGAGTCTCCACGAACTCGAAATCTCTTTGTACATAGTCTCATGACTCTCTTCTCTTCTTTGTTTTTCTGATGTTCTTTTATTTATTGTTGGTCGTGAACGTTTTCTCTATATTTTTTCTCCAAAGCACATTCAGGTTTTAGGAGATTTGGTTTTGCAAATGGCAACAAAGATGGTTTCTTGGGTGGATTGAGGAAACTCTTTAAAGAACAATGGCAAGCCGATGTACTCCTAAAGGGAGGAGACAGTGATGAGCATGCAGCTATCTCCGCACACAAACTTGTTCTGTTTCTCTCTTACTTCTTCTTCCTTTCTATAGCTTCGATCTCTCAGTTAATGCTATTTCCTCAACATATGTATGGAACTTGAACAGGCAGGAAAATCTATGGTGTTTAAAAAGATGTTGGAATCAGACGAGTTCAAGGCTTCATCTAAGCTAGAGACAGTCACTCTCTCTGAGATGAAACACGAAGAAGTCGAAGCTTTAGTTGACTTCATGTACAGCGTTGACGGATCCATTTCTTGTGAAAGTCTCAAGAAACATGATCGGTCACTCTATCTTGCAGCCGACAAATATGAGATCCCACATCTAAGGGATCTATGCAGAATCCAACTTATATCCTCTCTTAATTCGTCGAATGCTCTTGACATCCTTGAACTTGCTCAAATCCCTTTCGACAAAGCCCTCGACGACGCTGCATTCAATACTATCAAAGCCAATCTAAGCACCATTGCCAGCTCCGCTGAGTTCAAGTTGTTTGTCGTCAACCACCCAAATCTTACCGTGGAGATCATTAAGGCTTATTCTCATACTTTGACGAGTAACGGATATTGTTCTAGATGTCATGCCTATAAATTGTACTGCACTCACTGCGGCTATGTCTAGTACAAGAGTGTAGCTTATGTGTTTCACTCTGACGAATCACACATCTGTTTTTATCATTTTATGAGATTGGACTTTCTTAATGTTCCCAAACCCTGAAAAGCCTCACACTAAAATATTCATTCAGTTTATTATCGCTTTATTATTTGATTTTATCTGTTTCCTGTCTTCACATGTTCACATATTTTAGGGTTTTTTCTTACTTGTATCTTTATAATCTAGCTGGTTGCTGAGAAAATCCAAATCAGAAAAAAAAACTCAGGAAATAACTGTATCTTGGAAGAATTAGGTTAGGACGGAACTAGCTTGCTAAAAAGAAAGCCGATTCATTTGCTAAATTATTAAGTATTCTTTTGGAGTTCGCTTTTCCTTTTGCCATTGTCACAAGAATAAAACAAAATTGGGATTGGAATTCCCTTTTATTATATCTGTTTGATATCTGATATAGTCCACTCCTCTGAACTGTTCTCTGGAATCTCCCGCTTTGAAAGCACTTCTCTAATGCGTTGGTTTGTTATGTTAAATTTTCTGATAATAAGTTGATATATATAGAGGATCAATTTGCCAAAGATTATTTCTTCTGAAATCTGCTAACGCTTTTGGTTTTTCAGACCTGGACCAAACCGGCCGGTCGGACCGCCTAACCCCGGAGTCTAATGTTGAGTGAAATCTACTAATTAAGGAAAGAAATCCACTAACCTTCCAAGTTCCAAATACGTATATACATTATGTAGGGCTTTCTACTTCTACTTTGTAGAACCTTCTGAATTTTTTTTCTCACACGGCGGCGGCGTTCGTCTCCTCCAAATCAATCACAAACCAGTACTCTCCACGAACTCGAAATCTGTTTGTACATATCCTCTCATGACTCTTCTCTCTTCTTTTTTTCTTCTGATAATCTTTTGTTTTGTTTGTCGTGAACGTGTTCTAACTTTTTTTTGTTTTGAATTTTATTTTACAAACCCTGTTTTCCTTGTCTTATTCTCTTTTTATGTTTCTAACTACTCTTTAAATTATAGAGATTTTGCAGCCTTTTTCCTCGGTATGTTATGCTCTGTATATTATCGAATGTTGTCTTCGCCAGCTAATGGAAATATAATAACTTAGTGCTCCTTATATTAAAAAGGGTCATTTGGACCGTTGTCTTTTGGGTTCTCTATATAATCCACGATGGTTTAATTGAACCAAACTCATGTTACGTTTTAGCTATGGCTACTCAAACCAACAAAGACCAATTCTTGGGTGGACTTGCAAAGGTCTTGGAAGAACAATGGCAAGTTGACGTACGGCTCAAGGCAGTGGACAGTGATGATGATTCAGCTATCTCAGCACACAAAGTTATTCTGGTTTCTTTCTTCTTCTTTCTTATATCTCTCTTATTCACCATCGTCTGATCTAGGAATAATCGATTCTAGATATACTTATGTTTAAATATTGGCCCTTACATATATATTTGGAATTTGAATTAGGCATCAAGATCGGAGGTTTTAAAGAAGATGCTAGAATCAGACGAGGTTAAGAATTCAGCTAACCAGGTGGAGACAATCACTCTCTCGGAGTTGAACACAGACGAGTTAGAAGCTTTGGTTGAGTTTATTTACAGTGATGGCTCTACGCTTTCTGCGAAAGTGAAGCAACACGTTCGGTCACTCTATTTTTTGGCTGACAAATACGTGATTCTACATCTACGTGACCTATGCAGAAGCGAGCTTATATCTTCTCTGAATCCGGAGAATGCTCTTGACTTCCTTGAGCTCGCTCAGATCCCTTTTGATAAAGTCCTCCATGATGCAGCCTTCAGTTTTATCAAAATGAATATAAATACCATTGCTAGCTCGGAGAAGTTCAAGGTATTCGTAGTCAGTAACCCAAATCTTGCCTTGGAGATAATGAAGGCTTCTCTTACTTCGAAGGGTAATGGATATTGTTCTAGATGTGGTAGCTATAAATTGTACTGTAGGTCTTGCGGCCACTAAAACAAGGGTTTAGCTTTTGCTGTTTCACTCTCATGAACCACATATCTGTTTTATCCTTTTCATGGGATTGGACTTTTGTCATGTTTCCGAAACCTAATAAATCTCACACTAAAACATTCAGTCTTTCCATCTGTGTTATGCCTATGCCATAAAAAAAAGAGAGAAGATACTGAGAAGATAGATTGATTGTCAGACAAGGAAGTTCTGAAACGTTTATGTAAAAACCGTTTTGGTGGAGTGGAATGGTGTTGATTGCTGCTTGGTAAAGAGAAAAATTACCATGGCCAATGGCAGAGGCAGGTCTATAATTTCTTTTGACTGGGAATGATCAAAATTTAATCCAGTTATGTGTTTTGCTTTCTGTAACATCCGTTTGGTTCCATATATAATTCGGAACTCCAAGAGGCAAGAGAAGAAGAGGGCACCCAAAGGTTGGGACTTGGACTTTTAGTCATTATTACCATTAATGTCTCATCCATTTTCTTGGAAAAAGAAGAGACCTTTTGACTGCCATGCAAGGGGTTTTCTCTATATAGTTCAACATCGTTTACTAAATCAACTCAACTTAAAGCTATCTTTTACTAAGAGCTATGTCGACGCAGAACAACCTAGATGTTTTCTTGGGTGGATTTGCAAAGGTCCTTAACGAGAAATGGCAAGTCGATCTACGGCTCAAAGCTGGGGGCAGTAAAAGGGGTGCAGCTATCTCCGTCCACAAACTTGTCCTGGTCTCTAATTTTTCCTCTCTTATTTCTTGTTCATTCATCATTCGACTCAAGAAACAATTTCAGAAATGCATTAACTAGCAAAAAGATTGATTTTAGAAATGCTTATGTTTAGCGTTGGATGTTACTTGATTCACTGTTATTGCTATTTCCTTCAAAATATGTTAATAGGCGGCACGATCAGAAGTGTTCAAGAAGATGTTGGAGCCAGACAACTTAAAAGTTTAAGTTGGAAAGGTCGAGACAGTAACTCTCTCTGAACTGAAACAGGAAGAGTTAGAGGCCTTCGTTGAGCTCATCTACAGCAACCGCTCTGTGCTTTCTGCTAACGAGAAGAAACATGCTCAATCACTTTATCTAGCAGCGGACAAATATGAGATCCCGCATTTAGGGGATCTATGCCGAAATGAGATTATATCATCTCTTAACTCTTCAAATGCTCTTAACGTCTTGGAGTTTTCCTTGATTTATTTTGACAAAGCCCTCACCGATTCTGCTGCCAAATTTATCGTAAGGAATTTTAGGACGATTTGTAACTCTGTTGAGTTCAAGTTGTTCGTTGGCAGGAATCCAGATCTTAGCGTTGAGATAATGAAGGCTTCTCACACTTGGTTGTGGAATGGTCAGTATGTCTCTACTAAATGAACCATATTGTAGCTTTCGTTGTTTCACTTTGACAAACAAAAACTTTGTTTAATCATTTTTCAGAATTGGCAAATTTACTTATTGCATTGGCAAATTTACTTATATATTCGTGACTTTTGGTCTCGTAACTTACTCCTTACAAATTTCCTGCTAGACACGTACGGTGTCATTATGATGAGATTAAAAAAAGGCTCGCTTGGTGGACTGTTGAGATCTTTCTTCTCAGGTCCTCAGATTTTAGGGTTATGGATTACTTGTATCTTCATAAACAAGCCGGTTGCTGAGAAAATTCGAACAAGAAAGAAAAACTACAATATGGTTTTGAAAAACTATAAAAGAAGCCGATTGTTTTTGCATATTAAAAGAAACAATTTGCTAGATTATTTGGGTATATTCTTTTGGAATTCGCTTTTCATTATGTCATTGTCGTAAGAACAAAAAGTGGGTATTGGAAAATCGCCGTTCATATATATCTGTTTGATATCTGATCCTAACAACTCCTTTGAATTTCACTCTGCAATATTTCCGCTTTGAAAACACTTTCTGTTGCGTAACTTGCGTTAAATTCTTGTGTTAGATTTCTTGATTTGCAAGAAAGAGTTATCTGTTGCAATTAAAGAGGATCAGTTTTGCGCAAGTATTGTTTTTGAAATCCGCTTTCCATTTTTGATTTTGACCTGGACCAAACCGGTCGGTCGGACCGCCTAACCCTCGACTTGGCCAGTAATCAGGCTCCGGTATACATATAGGGTTTTTTACATTTACTTTTACTTTCATATTTACTACCTTTCTCAAATTCTTCTCACACATCGGCGGCGTTCGTCTCCTCCAAATCAATCACACACCAGTCTCCACTAGCTCGATCTCTCCTTGTACCCTGCTGCGTTGGTCTGCTAATTTTCTGCAATAAGGAATTTATCTGCAACTTGTTTTCTCGTTGATTTTTACGCATGAAAAATACCTTATGAATCTAAGTTAGACTTTGCATTTAAGGATTTGTGAAACCACATTTCACTCTGTTCTAATTGATCCGCTATGTTAAAAAGATGATATTTTTTTGTTTCTCAGAGTATGGCGAAAAAAGCTGCAAACAAGAAGGATTCCTATGTGAGTCTTATGAAGACATTTAAAGAACAAAGGCAAGCCGATGTATGGCTCAAACCAGGGGACCAAACCGATGCAATCCCTGCCCACAAACTTATTTTGGTATTTTCTTTTTCTTTTTCTTATGAATTTCAAGAATTGCAATATGTATTGTGCATGATACTTCGTCTAACTTTCATGAGATTTTTTGTTGAAAATTTATATGATATATTAGGCCGCAAGATCGAAGGTGTTTAGAAACATATTGGAAGCTGATGATCGCAAAGCTTCGTCGAAAGAGACAATCACTCTTTCAGAGATGACAAAGAAAGAGCTAGAGACCTTTCTTGAGTTCATGTACAATGGTTGGCTTCCGGAATCAAAACTGAAGCAGCACGTCCATAGTCTCTACCAAGCTGCAGACAAGTACGAGATTCCATACCTCCAAGCTATCTGCAGAAAACAGCTCACCGTCTCCATGAACTCGTCAAATGTATTTGATGTCCTCGAGCTTGCAAAGATTCACTCGGACAAGATCCTCGAAGATTCTGTCTCTCAGTTTATCACAAGACACATGGAAGAGATTGCGTTCTCGAAGAAGTTCTTGTCGTTTGTGGAGAGTAATCCGGCTCTTACTGTCGAAACGATAAGGGGTCATTTCAACAAATTCAATCGACTTTTCAGTGTCGAAAGAGTTTTGAATATACTCAAAGACTTTTCAAGGTCGGAAAAAGCTTTGAAATCACTAAACTCAACTGTTTAAAACATTTCAATAACAGTGTGTTTTCAAATCAGCTGAAATTATTTTTGTCTGAAATTCCAAGAATTTTCTCCGTTTGTCGTGATTTTTCCCACCACATATCTGACCTTTGAATTCCTCTGAATTATTCCGCTTTGAAAACAATTATCTGTTTTGCTTTGGTTTATTATGTTAGATTTCTTGATACACAATGCGAAAATAATTATCTGCTAATCAATTTTGCCAAACCACTCTCTTGAAATCCGCTTTCCCTTTGGTTTTCATAGTTGTGATTTAACCCTTTCCGAAACTTATTGCAACTTACTCCTTCAAATTTTCCTGCGACACGTAAGGTGTCAATATGATGAGATGAAAAAGGCTCGCTCCGTGGACTGTATGAGGTCTTTCTTCTCATGTTCTCAGATTTAGGGTTATGCCTAACTTGTATCTTCATGATCAAGCTAGTTGCTGAGAAAATTCAAACAAGAAAATTTTCAGAAAATCAATATGTATCTTTGGGAGAATTAGGTTAGGACGGAACTAGTTTGCCATAATGAAGCCGATTGTTTTAGCAAATTATAGAGAATCAATTTGCTAAATTATTAGATATTCTTTCGGAGTTCGCTTTTCCTTTTGCCATTGTCACAAGAAAAAAAATTGGTATCGGAATTCACTTATAATATATAGGTATATGATCCTTCAATTCCTCTGAATTTTTCCCTGGAATTTATCGATTTGAAAAGACTTCTCTCACTTATACGTTGCTTTCTTATTTAAGATATCTTGACTTGCAAGAAAAGACTCATCAGCAGGAAGCCTGCAAATATACGGGATCAATTTGCTAAAGTATTATTTTGAAATCCACTTTCCATTTTTGGTTTTTAGACCTGGACCGTACCGGTCGGCCGAACCGCCTAACCCCGGTCCAATGCTGAAACCCATATACACTATATATAGGGTTTATATTTTTACTTTTTACATTTACTTTCATATTTCTAAGTTAAAACTTTCTCAAATTCTTCTGACACGGCGGCGGCGTTCGTCTCCTCCAAATCAATCACAAACCAGTACTCTCCACGAACTCGAAATCTCTTTGTACATATCCTCTCATGACTCTTCTCTCTTCTTTGATTTTCAGATTAATTTTCCTTTGTTTTTGTTTGTCATTAACTTTTTCTCTGTTTTCCATATCTTATTCTTGTTTATGATTACTCTTTAAATTATAGAGTTTTTGCAGCCTTTGTCCTCTGCTAAAATAATAACTTAGTGCTCCCTATATGTAATATTATGAATAAATGTAATTCTCATTGATTCTCGTTTAAGCATATTAGTAAATCACTTTGACCCGGAAGGTTCTTCCGTTCGCTTTTTTGGGTTTAGGTTTCAAAAAACTGCCATTTACTTTTATCACAAGAAGTTCACAAGTTTGGGTGAAGATAAAAGACTAATCTGAGGACACTTGAAGTTTAGTATTGGAATTCGCTTTTACATCTTCACCGGTTTGACATCTTCACCCAAACTTGTCTACTTTCATATCTGTTCGACATCTTCTTCTCCGGTTTGAAAAACACTTTTCTTTCTTCTGTTGCGTCACTTCTATTAGATGAACAGCAAAGCAAAATTCACTCGTACTGGGATAGAAACTGTAAACCATATGGAATTCTTTAGGGGAATTATAAAGGCCTTTAAAGAACAAAGACACGTAGATGTATGGCTCAAAGCAGGGGACCAAACCGATGCAATCCCTGCCCACAAACTTATTTTGGTATCTTCTTTTCTATTTCTTATGAATTTTGAGAATTGAATATGTATTGTGCGTGTTCCTTCGTCTAACTTTCATATGATTTTTTTTTTTGAAACTTATATGATATATTAGGCAGCAAAATCGAAGGTGTTTAGGAACATATTGGAAACTGATGATTGCAAAGCTTCGCCGAAGGAGACAATCACTCTTTCAGAGATGACAAAGGGTGAGCTAGAGACCTTTCTTGAGTTCATGTACAACGGTTCGCTTCCAGATAAAAAACTGGTGCAGCACGTCCATAGTCTCTACCAAGCTGCAGACAAGTACGAGATTCCATACCTCCAAGATATATGCAGAAAACAGCTCATCGACTCCATGAACACATCAAATGCATTTGATCTCCTCGAGCTTGCAAAGATTCACTCAGACGAGATCTTCGAAGATTCTCTCTCTGAGTTTATCACAAGACACATGGAAGAGATTTCGTTCTCGAGTAAGTTCATGTCGTTTGTGGAGAGTAATCCCGCTCTTGCTGTCCAAACGATAAGGCGTCATTTCGATAAACTCAGAAATGATGTCCCAAAATAAGGATTGGTAAAGTAGTAAAGTAGTACTAAAGAGATTTGAAAACAAAAATGGACATTAGTTGTATTATGTTTAGTTTTTGTTATATGTTTGTAGTTTTAATTGATTTTTAGATTTTGAAATCAATAAATAAACCATATCTGTGTTTTCGTGTAAAAAGGAAACTTCTTAATTTCGAAATTCCTAAAAATGTAGTTATTTTCGATAAAAAATGGGTTTCCAAAATCTTCCGCCAAAACCCCTCATTTTACAGTTTCTTGCCGACAACAAAATTGTGTGATTTTTCATTAAAATCCGGTTTGGTTTCTACCAATTCTTCTGCATTTTCTCCGGTTTGGAAACACTTCTCTGTTGCGTTAGCTCTGTTAAATTTCTTGATTTGCAAAAAGAAATTTCTCTTGCAACTTGTTTCTTCAAGATAAGCATGCTAATTGATTTGGAACTATGGAAACCATATTCAATCCCAATACACAAGTACCATGACTTGGTTATTGGTTTGAATTCACTAGACATATGAATAAAATAGATTCCATCATTAATGCTCATTTCGCCATTTGATCTTTTTTTTTCTCTCAAATAACATCCGTAGTTAGGCTCGATATAGAATGTCAACCATTTGTTTGTAGATAGTTTTGGATCTGTTTTCTAAACGAGATGTGCATTTAGTGATTTGTGAATATCCCCATTTTACGATATACAATGGTTTGCTTCCCGATACAAAACTGACGAAGCATGTCCATACACTCTACGCAGCTGCCGAGAAAAACGAGATTACCTCCAAGATCTCTGAAGAAACCAGCTCATCGTCTCCATGAAATCATCAAATGCATTTGATGTCCTTGAGCTTGCAGAGATTCATCACTCTGACAAGATCCTCAAAGATGTTGTCTCTGAGCTTATCATAACACACATGGAAGACATTTCGTTCTCCAGTAAGTTCACGTCGTTTGTGGACAGTTATCCGGCTCTTACTTTCCAACCGATAAGGGGTCATGTGGACAAAGTCAAGATTGAGTGGGAGGGAGGTGCGGTTTGAAAGCGATGCGCCTTGTCACATTAAGGAACGATAGCACGATTTAGAAATAAATTTAAGAAAATGGTCGGTAAATTATAGGGAGCTTTTGTTAGTTTTTTTATATCACTATTTTAAAGTACTATCACAATGTAGTACTTTTTGTACTATTTATGACTTTTTTTTTTTACTAAAATGCTATTTCTCAATCAATGCAAAAATATGGTTATATAGTTTAAAACCAAAAACCTATTCCATAGTTTCCTGCAGGAAATAATGTGATTCCGTTGTTTACAAACAAATTATTTCAAAATTTTATCCATTGTGAATTCAATTTTTAGTTTTTCCTATCATCATATAAAACAATTTAAAAACCAAATTACAATTATTCGATTCAAATCAATTTCTTTGTTTGATTCGGATAGTTTGGTTATCCGGGTTGAGCAGCACAACTTATTTCCCTCAAAAAAGCGGGTCGTATTAATTATCTTATGCTAATGTAAATCACATTGTAACAATTTTCTATTTGTCAACAATCAGATTATGACCTAATCATGCTTAAGTGAAGGATCAATTGTTCAGCGTGTATACGTTTTATTTTCCAGTTTTTCTGGAGTTATTTGCTCACGTGAACAAAATTGTTTGTCCTCTTTTTTTTTTTTTTTGAAAAGGCCTTAAATGTTTGTCTTCTTCTGTGGTAGAAAATAAGTTCTCTTGTATCATCTGAACAAATCCAAAATAATAATAAAGTTTTAGTCTACTGGATTCAGAAACAATGCTGAGCGTTTTTTGTTTTCTGCTATTCTAATTAAGAAAGAATCAGTTCGGTGACTATACTTTGCATAATGTATTTTCTATTGCTTATGTGAAATAAGTAGAAACATACAATTGCTTTTTTCATTGTCCCTTTTTAGGGAAAATTCTGGGCTACAGGATGGACATGAAAAAAGGGGAAAAAAAGAAGAAGAAGAAGAAGAAGAAGAAGCAGAATTACTATAGAAATTGTGTTATTATATTTTTTTGTATAATAAGAAATAAATAAAGGAAATTGAAGAAAAGTGGGTCAATCTAGCTCTGTAGATCATTGTTTTCACCCCAGCTCCTGATTGCATCTGTCACTGCCTGTTTCACTGCTTCAGCATCCATACTTTCTCCATCCTCATTCTGCATTTTTTATATATATTAAAAGTGATGTAATCGTTAAATAATGTATATGTGCCAACACACACATATAGACATAGACAACACATGTTTATATTTTGTATCCGTGTGTGTGTCGACAATGCAACCTTTATTTGATAATCTGCTATGATTTTAGAATATTCACCAGCAAAATCACAAGCATTGATTCCAACATTTTAAAGTGAAACCAGATAAGATTTCATAAAAACATATGATGACCCCATCCCAAAATCAGCTCATTGGTATTGAGAACTACAAACATACACTGTCCGAAACATATATATGTATAAAGGCAAATGATTCGAACTAGGATATAGAATTAGTAATGTACATAGATATGATTGTGTCATGATTTGCTAATTACCTCGACTCCCATGGCATGCAAGCTAAAGGAATCGGTACATGAAACCCTAGCTTCAAGAACGTTAAGCCCAATATCCTCAAAGGCTTCTAATACCGAAACAAGCATGCCTGGCTGATTCTTCCCTGCGTATACGTTTATCATAAAACCCTTTTCTAGGGTTTCCACTGTTACCTGTAAATAAATTTTCCCAACCAAAAGTCAAAAACGTTTTAATGAACCTCTTTCATTCGCATGCAAATACGTACTTTAATATATAATGGATCCATTATATATAGATATATATGTTCGTGATTGGCTATATATACCATTGGTGTGGTCACTGTGGTGGGATCCGTGGGCTCGCTTGAAGATTGCTCTGCCGTAGTGTCTTGGTTGAATCTTTCGACTTTCTTCTTAAGTTTTTGGATATATTTTGATGCATCCATTATGATCGAAGTTTCGTTTTCCTGTCATCAAATTAAAACACGTGTGCCCACACATATATTAGTAGCATATACATCATCCTAAAATTCGTCTTCATATTTATCGATTATGATTGGGCCCTTATATCTGGTTTGCAATAACATGTTCTGATATGCTTAGAAGAGGATCAAGTGATTTACCAAAAAAAAAAAAGGTAAAGTTAATATAGAAGATCCAAAGGATGCAAATAACCAAGTGATGAATAATGATCCAAAGGGACGAAATTGTGATTGAGCAAAACAAGAACATATCTATATTTATAATTGAGTAAGATTTAGTGCCTGTATGTGCACATGTGCGTGTTCAAAGCAAGATTTATATACGTATTCAGAATATGATTGCGTTATCTCCATCGAACACAATTAAAAAAAAAAAACATCAAGAGAGGATTAAGTAATAATTACAGCATGAGAATTAGTGACTGAACGAAGTATTTGAAACTTCTCTTGCAAAGAACCTTTCTTCTGTTCCCTTGAAACCATTATTTTCTATGCTTTGGATCAGCCTCTTCCCTTTCGTATTGAGTTTTCTTGATTGATTTCTACTCTCTTCTATAGAGACGAACTATGTGTGTATGTGCAGTATATATATGAGAAGGAGGAAGTAAAGCTCTTAGAATAAATTGTTTATAGGATCCTCTCCTCTCTCACATGTCTGCCTTAGTCTCTCTTGATCGCTACAAAATATAATATACGGACAACTCCGATTTGTATCTCGTGAATTACTTGCTTGCCTCTATGTCTCAATATACGATATTCTTTTTAATATTCGATCCAAAATTTTATTTATTTTTATTATATGAATACATATCGTATATTGATTAATTTACAATATATACTCATATCATATAATTACGTATAAATATACATACTGTATTCGTATTCGCGTCTATACTCACCCTTACCTACCAACATTAATATTGTAGATTAATAACTATGTTTCTATTGACGGTAAACTCTCGCTGTAATGAAAATACATTCACTTTGCCATTGCCACCATATTATACTATTTAAAATATTTATATCTGATATATCTTCCTTTTTGTCTCCTTACTATTCTAACGCCTCCAAAGCAAAATCACGAATAATTGATAACAACTATAGCCAGCTTTGAATTTTTGGAAACCGAGAAAAATCACAAAATTCCATTTATATACTTAATGATCGATCTAATCTTCAATTCCGTGTAATAGGTAATGATATGAAAGATGGACTTTATCAGATAATATATATATATATATACATTTAATATATATTACCTAGTCATTCAACTATATATCACCATCTCTCTTTTCGGATGCCAATTTCTATTGAATAGCGAATTATATAGAGATGATGAAGGTACCATTAATTTCCTATTCGTTATGATCATTGCAACAACAACAAAAAAAAAAAATCATTTGAACTTTGGTTGACTAGCTAGATACGGGTTAAATATATCTATGTTCTAATATCTCTCTCTCTCTCTATATATATATATATCTATATATTTGTATACTTCAAAAATGTTAATAGGATAATTGAAGAAAGAGTGAAAAAAGGGGGAGGAGAAAGCGAATGATGAGCTCGTGATATATGGGGGAAGAATTAAAATTGTAAAATCAAAATTACAAAGATAAAATAAAATTTGGGAGCATCGAAAGAAGTGAATGAGAGGATAAAAGCAAACAAAAGAATGTTAGTTGTGATTTTGGAATGCCTCCAAACACTCCTCACGGGGATCTTTATGAACACAAACCCACACGTATATCCTCCTCTCTCTTCACCTATTCCTCATCTCTCTCTCTCTCTCTCTCTCTCTCTCTCTCTCTCTCTCTCTCTCTCGCTATACGTATATATATATGCATGCCGTATACACCGCGTATATATGTGAATCTTTTTTTTGTTTTGTTTGTTTAATGTGCATCTATGCATATAGATATCCCATTTTTGAACAAACACCAATGTAAAGTCACGTCTTTCAAAACAAATATCAGATATAGTTTGATGTCTAACAATTTCCCTTCCCATTACATATGGAATGATTTGATGGATCAATCTCAAATGGAAAACGCATCTATTTACGTTGCATCAATTTGCTCCACACACTAATGTATATATACGAAATAGTAAGTATATGTAAGCGTATAGATACGTGTAAGTATATAAATTTGGATAGATTAGCAATGGTATAGGATATAGAAGATTGTCTATATTGGAGACGGACAAACAAACGTACCCACCAATTCACATGTGTACCAATTAATCATTACAACAAAACAATACTCAACACACAAGTCCCGTTGCTTCATCAAACCATTTTTCTTTCACGTCCAGAGCTTAATTCAATTAGAAGTTCTACTGTTCTCTATCGATACCCTCTTCTTAATTCCTCCTCTACACTATATGCTTCTTTTCTTTTCTTTATATTAGGGTTTGGTGCAGAATGCACCCTTCCTTTTGCCCACTACCTCGTCTACTCCAGGATCCATGTGTTTGGTTTACATATCTTGTGGGTATGTATACTAATGTACACTTATGAATTAAAATCGAATGATAGAGATTAGTACTCAAAGTCCGTAAGGACCAAGGTTCCTCCGCATGTCAGATTATAGTATCCCTATATTATTACAATAGAGATTAATTTTGTAGCTGTTAAAAAAAAGAGAAATTTTGTTTAAAGAATCTGTTTTAAATATATAATTACTACAATTGTCATTAAATATATATATATATATATGTGAGATCATAATATGAGTTATATTTAAATAAGACTATATATTTATAGAAAGGGTCGCTATCTACATCTGAATTATAATGGCTACAAAGAGTTACCTTGTCATCGTTTCACTTGTAAAAGTTTTTTGGCTTAGAAATTATAATGTTAGCAAGACAAGTAAAATATTTTTTTTTCCCTACACCACATTATCTATTTATTTATGTAAATATATATAAAAAAATTGTAAAAGAGTCTCGTGTTTGTGACAGCTATATCTCTTTTGTCTTCTCCCCAATATGAATTATATTTTCTTTCCGGAATCAAGTAATTTTAGTATCATTTTGTTTTTACAATATGCGCACAAAATCATGTTGTAAGCAAAATTAATGAAATCCCAATATTCATATAGTAGTTCCACTTGGAAAACGATCATTGGTTTGTTTCCTACGAACTAGGAAAATGATTCTGTTTGTACTTGTAAATTTAATAATTTATACGACCGACTTAAGAACCACCATTACGAGATATTAGTTATTTTCAGCTCAATATAAAGGTACTCTATAAATTTAGAAGGATGTATATGGATCATATATCACCAAAATATTAAGATTTGATTGATATTTTTGGTGATTTAACATAGTTACCCAAAGCTGTTAAAAAAAACATTTTTTGTAAGAGAAAAAAAAACATATTTACCATGCCAACAAAAATTATTATGGAATAATTTTATACACATACAATTAAGGCTAACAACTAGCATTTGATTGTTCTGAACTCAAACAATACGTTTACATTTCAAAATTTTATGTTCGCAATCAAAGAATTAATTAACACAAAGGCAAGAAAAACATTCTTCTTCTTTGTAAGTTCGTGTTTGAATTTATGAACTCATAGTTTTCGCTACATATTTGGATATGCATGAATAAGAATTGAAATAATCATATGTACGTGTCTACACATGCTTCGCCAATCAATGCAAAGAAGACATTTTACAACAAATATAAACAATAGAACTATGCTGCAGGCCCTTTTCAAAAAAAAAAAAAAAATAGAACTACGCTGCATGACTTCGATAAATGTATGCAAAAACAAAACATTTAGAAATACCAAACTGTCTAAAAAAGCTGTCTTTTTTTACCCCACGATAAGCATACCGGCTTGAAGAACGCGGGATGTGACGTCCTCAGGCTGTATCCCGTGCTTCGGGATTAAAATGATCGACCCAAAATTTTTACTTTGTTTCTAATTTTAATAACTTTTTTTCTTCTTAAAAACAAATCACAAATTTTTTTTGTTGGCAGAATAGAAATTTTCGTTTTTTTAATTAAATTAGAATTGCAAAAAATGCTTTTACTAAAAGTTATAATGTAGTAAAAGTCTATAATACGACCAGAAAAATTTACCAACGAAAAAGGTTTCTAATTTTTTTTACGTTTTTTTATTTAATGTATAATGTCGTTAGTCACTTCTTAGAGTCCTTTCCATCTAATGTTAAATAAAAACTTAAATAGGCAATGTTTTCTAGGTGAAAATGTTATATGTTTTTGTTTTGCAATTTTTCTTTAAGCATTATTGCTATATATAGTCTGATATAGATGCTAGATTATGTTTAGTACTTCTCTATTTCGGCAAACTTTCTTTCATTCAAATCTTTCTACATAATGATTATTAGCAGAAATTACCATGATAGGTAAAGTTGGAAAAAGAAAAATTATGGCTCTTTTTCTGTTGAACATATTGATTGACTAACTATTACTTACGTAATAGACGTACATATCATCATGTTTCTAAAAGTGAACAATTGATTACTAATTTTGTGAATTCCAATTACTTAAGAAATAATAATAGACGATGGGATGCTGCTTTTAAATTTCATTTTGTATACTTCTTAAGCTTTAATAAGAATATCATACTATTTTAATTAATGAAACAATTATGATATCTAAAATAGAAAATACTTTATAATGATCGTTATGTTTATCCTAAATCTACGTTGCATCAAAGTATCTGTTGATCATCATGATATACTACAAATATTTTATCGCTAGTTACGTTGTTTCTTCTCCATGTTGGCACATCAATGTTAAGGACGACTCATTAATTAAACTCCAAGATATAACATATTGGATGGACCATACGTGGGTTTTAGAAGAGACCAAAAGGACAAAATAATATTGAACATATCTTAAGAAGAATTTACAATAATATGTTGTAGTCAGGGTTTAGCAATTTGATCTACCCCACTCTCCTCTTGAATGTGACAAAAGAATCAAATGAGAATTAGGTCACGGGGGCGGCTTTGTGCTATCAAACATCATTCATTTGTTTTTTTTAAAGAATAATCTTTTATTTTCTATGTTTATATAGTATTTGATCAAATAATAGACATTGCTCAATCATTTACATCCTCATATTTATATCAGAATACTGTAGAATCAAATACGCATTTAAGATTAAATATATGACGTCCTAAATGTACATATGCTTACATATATGCGGTGACATGTGCATGTGATCTAGACATCTAGTTATAAACTAATTATAATTTAGCTTTCCACAAACTTCTTTGCTGGAATCCCACAAAAATGGGAGAGAGAACACACGTTAACAAGATATATATGTTCTAATTTAAAATAGGGGTGACCAAACGAGAACTCATAATAAAACTTTGCAGAAACAAAAATGGAAAAAACACAAGTTGACGTCTCATTTGAGTTCCGTCTAAAATTTGGGAGGAGAAAAAAAAAGATTAGGCGTGGTGACAGAACAAGAACGAGAATTTTCATACAAAAACGTGATAATCATTAATTTACACAGGTATATAAAACTATATAGATATACTTTTTATATAATATAATTACATTGGTTACATACTAAAAAAGTTAGGAAACGTCAGGTTGAATAAGAAACACGATTCGGTTCCAAATCAATTATTTTTGTTCGATCCGGATTGAATCGGATCAGATTATTCAAAACTACAAGAATCAAATCCTAAAATGATATAAAGTAATAGAAATAAATTTCGTTAAAAAAAAAAGGTAATAGAAAGAAATCTGAGTTTAAGGGCCATTCGAGAAATTTAAGGCCCATTATGTTTCTTTCTAAGCCCTACCCCTAGTGTTCTCTTCTACAAACATCTCCTTCTTTCTTCTCTTTCGATCCTGAAGCAACCTTCGCGCCGCAGGGAAAGACAGAAAAAGAGAGAGCGAGATGGGGAAGAGAGCCAAAACCTCAAGGAAAGGGAAAAAAGCATGGAGAGCTAACATAAGCACCGAGGACATTGAAGATTTCTTCGAGAAAGCCACTAAAGACGCTCTCTCCGGTGGCAATCTCTCCGCCGCTCCCAGCGAGGACCTTTTCCACGTCGAGAAATCCCATGGTTTGAGTTTCGTGTCTCAGTTTAGATTTGAATTTGATCGTTAATTGGAGTTTTTATAAACCAGTCACTTGGTGTTTCTCAGCTGCAAAATTAGTCAATTTGTCTTGTTCTATACATTAGCATCAACAGAGTAATGAAATATGCCTTGTTCGTGTCTCTGTGTAGTCGTCTTGGATTTGGATTCCCAGTTTCGCACTTTTCCAAATAAATTGATTGTTCGTTGAAGTTTACTCATCAAGCTGCTTGATAAGATTTGGTGGGAGTTCTAAGAATATTCACGGATGGGACTGATTATTCTCTATATGTAATAGAAACAGCAAATGCGTATTATCTTTGTATGAAGGCTTTGTTAATTTGGTTTTGATTTCATTTTTCACATCAGACATTCCGGTGAAGCGAAAGATTGAGAAACATAGAGAGAGAGTGCTTCGATGCGACAGTGTTTTAAAGAAAAACCCATTTGTCCAGACAGTGTCATCTTCTAAACCAAAGTCGAAGAAAAGTAACAAGACAATCGTTATAGAAAGCAAAACACCTAAACAAGCTCAAAAGGTGAGTAATTTGATCGTATGATTTTCTAGACGTTAAAGATGATTTGTATCTTTTTATTTTGTTTCCCGGGAGCTTATTTCATATGGTTTTTACAGGATGCTGGTGACGATTCAGTAATGGTTGACCTGTGGGCGGATGATAGCAAAGGTTTGTTTAGTGAAATATTCTACTTTTAGTTCCTTCTGAATCCGTTTTTTTTTTTTTTTTCAGTTATTGTGGGTATATGTCATGATTCAACATTTCTCTTTGCTAAAAACTTGCAGGAGAACATGAGAGCAAACCTAGAAAGGTAATGTGTCCGCTGTAATCAAATTGTTTTGTTTTCCTTGTTCCTGGGAAAAGTAAACCGCGACTCAGCTGGCTATAAACTTTTTCTGGTGTACAGATTTACAAAAAAACTTCGACTATTCCAGCAGTAGAAGTTGATCCTGCAGGATGCTCATACAACCCTACTACTGAAAGCCACGAGGTAAAAAGTCTTTACTATCTAGTAGTTCCACAGATCTGAGCTAGTCTTATATAGTCTTGCGTGCAAGAATTTTGCATTGACTACTTTCATTTTTACATTGCAGGATATGTTGGCTGAAGCCGTTGCTCAAGAAATGCAGAAAGTTTACAAAACTGAGTTAGGCCCTGAGCCTGTTCCTTTGACTATTGAAGGAGATGCAATCAATGAAGATGAGGTCAGTATTTTGCTTATATGCAGTAAAATAATCAATGGAAAGACAGAGCATTGAGTTTGATAGTTTAAGCCAAATGACTGTTGTAATTACTACCTCAGAGGTACTTTCTTGGAGTGGACAATGTTAGTGACGGTGAAGATGATGCAGAGGTTGAAAATGAAGAGTTGGAGGCTGGGAATAAGTATGCTCTCTTCTTTTCCCGTCAACATAATTATTTCAAAGAAAAATCACATTTTGCTTGCTTACTCCATCGTCAAAGGGTTGGATTTCATATTTATGAAATATTTGTACTGCAGATTAGCAAGAACAACAAAGAGGGTAACTCGCGTGGTATTAAATAAGAGATCAAGACAAAAAGAACTGCGAAAGAAGGAGACAAAGGAAAAGTATAAAGAGAAGATATCAACTGAAATTGACAGGTATTTTGTGATCCATGTGTACTTATAAAATCACACCTACGCAAATACTAATTCTTCTTCTGTGTTTTCTTCCCTGTAGCTTGCCCAATATCTTAGAAGAAATAGCCAGAGAAGATGAGGAAAAACAGAATAAACTCTTACGACGGACCATCGCTAAGCAGGAAGTGCTGAAGATACGTCCACCTCGGTTGGGAAAGCACAAGTATGATACCGAATCCTTCTTTACATTCTTGTTTTTATCTCTAGCTAACTAATGTTCACTCCGTTCAATTATATTCATAGTTCTGAAAATATGATTCCTGACTGATGTTTATTTCAGGTTTGAGGCTCCTCCTGTTCAAGTCCTCTTAACAGAAGAAATGACTGGGTCACTTCGTAAACTGAAGGTACACTCTTGATTCCCTTTGGTCCTTTGTGAATTTTCTTGGTAACTAAAAACTCAAGAAGTCATTCCTCTCTATCTTGAAAGGCATGTTGCACGCTTGCAAGAGATCGGTTCAAGAGCCTCGAGAAGCGAGGAATACTTGTCCCTTCAAAGCACATTAGAAGGTTTTGATCCAACTGTGATGTTCTTGCTAGAGAGAGGGAGCCGATGCTAAGTGATGCACTATCTATCTTAATTAACCTGATGTTGTTTTGAGTATTTTCCATTTATGTAGAGGTATACCTCCTCATGAAACACTTGTCGAAGAAAAATGTATTGAATCTGTTTTATTTGCTCTTTGCCCAATACAAACGTTCCATTTCCTGAAGTGCTATTACACCACACTCCTTCCAAACCTAGTTTACATAGATATGAACAGATGCAAGTATGCAACAACACAAGCTCTACCATTTTACAGATTCTTGAAGAGAAGGGACTACAGAAAACTTTTCATGTTTTCTGTTGCCGTGAAAGTGTATATATTTGTCGAAATGGCGATGATACTTGTGGCAACAGCAAGAGCAAGCATTACTGAAGCTACAACCTTCTCTCTTACGGTGTAGATACTATTGACATTCCTGCCAATTTCCGTATAACACCAGACAAGTTATAAGATTTAAACTTGATTCATTCAGAATCTAAGAGGAATTAAACTGAAAAGGTTACATTAAGTACCTTAAGACAATTGCAGCTGGAAAGATAAATGCTATAGAGACTGTAGAAGTTGATCCCAAGAACTGAAAGAAGTACCAAATGTCCGGTATAGCAATCGCAGCCAAGAAACAAGATATCAGTAATGGAAAAGTGAGTCCGAGGAATCTTTTGTTGTCATTCACCAAAGAAGGCTTCATAGGGAACAAGAGTTCGTCGAGGTTGGCTCTAAGCGAGAAGTTGAGCAGAGGAAACACAAGCATGAGGTGAATCGCGTAGCTGAGTCTAACAACGTCGTTTAGTAATGAACCTATTGAAGAATCCGAGCTTTGATCAAAGTTCATTAGAACATCAGTCATGGTGGAATCCCCAAACAAAAGGTAACAAAAGAGTCCAGTGGCTGAGTAGATCGCAGCGCAGAGAATTACAGAGATCCTTGTTGCTGAATTCACATCTAATGGATCTTTGAGTTCGAATCCGACTGGATGGACTGCAGAAATATTTGTCAAAAACCATACTTTCAGAATCAAGAACAGAAAACAGTATATGATCTGGAGTAAAAGATTGATTTTTTTTCGGTTCTTGGTTCTTACGATTGAAATGAAATGTGAAGGCTGTTACAATAACAGGGGATGCAGTGAAGAGGTTGAAGAATGATTCTCCTCCATTGGTGAGCTCTGGGAAGAGTCTTGGACTCTTCGTTTTCCCTTGCACGAGTGCTATAATCGCTAACACCGAGCTTATGACAACGAAGAGCAGCGCAAGCAGAAACGAAACTGCAGAACTTATTGCTAATCTATCTACAGAAAACATAAGCAGACAAAATAATCAGACCGATATGCATTGATAGAGAATCGTCTATTAAGATTTGGTTTAAGAAATGTACCCACGCGTCTGCATAAGATTAAAGGAAGAAAGAGGAAGACGAAGATGAACAACAATCCGAAGAATCTCGTATTCCACCAATGAGAACCAAACCATTCTTGAAGAAGACCCAAATGTATGATTCCGTCATTTTCATTACCCGAAAGAACATCACCTGAGAGAAAAACAACAACAACAACAACAAGTCGCTAAATCAATTCAAGTGTTTATGGTTTGTGAGAATTTCAGGCTTTTGAGACCAAAAAGGAGAATTACCGATGATAATCGAGAAAATAATCATAGCCCCAAAAGTCACAACCATTGAAACGATTTGAACAGCGACGGAGCCGGATTTTCCAAACGAATCATTCATTACGCCGGCGTAAGTCGTCGATTTTCCGGCGAGAGTGGATTTCATCAAAAACCCAGCTGATACATTGGAGAGCCAAGCTATGATCGCGATTATCAATATAGATGGGATTACGCCAAGAACTTTAAACGCCGCCGGAATCGACATAATCCCAGCTCCGACTATGCTCGTCGAGACGTTGAAAACAGCTCCGGCGAATGAGCCATGCTTCTCCTCCTCCTCCTCTGATGATGATGATGATGGCTCTTGGTTGGGCAACAGAGGCGCTTTGATAGCCGGAGCCATTTCCTTCAGCGACGGAGAGACTTAACCGAACTTTTTTTCCGGCGAGGAGGAATTGGATGATGATGATTTGATTTGTTAGAGCGCCTGAGATCCTCCTGATGGTATAACGTTAAAATTGTAATCTCATAATAGGCACTGTCGTGTACACTTGGAAGTCGTTTTTTTATTTAATCAAGCAAATTATGGAAAGCAACACTTTAATCCTTGGGTACCGAACAAAATTTTTATTGTTGTCATCTACAAATTCAATTTTTAATAATTTACAAGATTAGTATACTGTCAAATCAATAATGAATTTTGATACAAACTTATAGTTTGATTATTTGTCGAAAAGAAAGAAAAATGGTCATTTGGAATTAACGAAAGATCGTATGAGCTGTCTCTATTTGTCTTCTCACTTGTGAGGTCGTAGAAGAAAGATTGTCATTCAATAACATTACACGACACCGCCGGATTTAATCAATTTGAAAATTAGACGTCTTGGACCTCTTGGTCAGTGATATGTCTCATCAGACTTACAATGAATATACACACCATTTAGACAAATTTTACAAAGGAAAATGATTACATAATAAGAGAAACCCACCAATAATATCAACTTTCAAATGTTTAAACGTTGATATCTGCGTTTTTGTCCAAACGTTGTCTACACACGTCTGTTCCTTCTCCAGTCCCATGGCTTCTCTGGATTTGAAGAAGCCCACAAGCCAATACGCTTCTGTCTTGCCTCCTTTTCCCACTGATTTTGACATAAAAAGAAGGATTAGTGCTAAGAAAACGATACAATGCCAAGAAACTAAAGTGACTTGTAAAGAGTAGTATACAACACAAGTTTTACTAATCTTGCCTTTGCAAGAACCATGCGCTTGTCATAAGTTACGTAATGCCAAGCAAGACCTTTCTTTAGCATTGCCTCCTACAAACAGAAAAAAAGATGATCTTTTTAAGAAATTTTTTTTTACCAAAACAGAAGGAAAATATGATAAAGATTTGGACTTATTTTACCTGAACAAAAACCCCATTGCAGTAAATATCTGCTACGCATCGCCCATATTGATCTTCTCCATAAACTAACACTTTCAAGCTTTTCCATTGAACAATCTTAAGGAGCCCTTCTTGTGCCTCTTTCCCAAATGGCATTTGACTCTCTGGTGCATCTATTCCCCTATTTCCTTTTCCATCGCCAAAGAGCTTTCCATCAAACAAAGACACTACAGCACATCAAACTAAGTTTCTCTCATAAGGAAAAGTGTGATTTTTACCTTAGTCTAATCCTGAACTTCCGAGCAAGCACTTCCTCATTCTGAATATTAAGCACTCTGTAACCGGACTCAATGATCTTTTGGTGAAGTTCATCTGCTTTTGTGTAATCCTTCTTCTCTCGTGCTTTTGCTCTTTGAGCAGCTGCAACAATTACTTCCCTTGGAACAGAAGATGACATAACCGGTTCGGAAGTACTGACATAAACTGTGATGGTGTCTCCATCTGCCACAGCTTTTGGATCCACCTTATTTTTCATTAGAAAAACTTGATCATCAACATTATTAATTCACAAAATGAATGTTTTGATTTCTTTTGAATTGGTACATGTAGTTTTTCTAACCGGAAGCGTTTGAAATTCGAAAAGAATTCCTTCAGGCAAAGACACAGGAGCTTCAGTAGAGAGCTCAACCAGAGTGTGAGGCAAAGGGAGTCCATAGAAAGACAAAAGTCCCTGTCATAAACAACAAAGTCACTTCGATGCTTCCAACTTCAAAACCTATGTTTTGCTACTCATTTAATACCTCAACATCTGCTTTCTGATGCACTTTCAAGATCTCAATAACAAGCCTAGAAGCTTCCTCTGCCGTCTGTGGTGGAGGCTTAGCTTGCTTCCATGCCTCAAGTATTTTTCTATACCTTCACAATGTTTGGAACATAGACATCAGAAGCAAAATTGTACAGCAAAGTTCAGATCTTTATACTATGAGAAACATGTAAGAAAATTGTTGTGTTCTTTACCATTTTGATTGAGCTTTTCTTGACGACACAACGTACCTCCCAAGTCCTTCAGGAACCTAGATGTAAAGTCATGATCACGATCATTTTCTGACTTATCATATTCTAATGGATCAATTTAATTTAGACGCAATTCTCAGTTAAGAGCACTTTCAAATACTTGAAATGAAAGCAGCAGAAGTAGATCAAAAGAAATTTAGCAGCAAAGATTGAAAGTGAAGAGAGTCACCTGGGAAGTGATCTCGAAGTTGAAGAGATCGTGAGCAAGAGCTGAAACACCAACGGTGGCGGCGGAGACGCCGTGAGGCCCGAGAGACTCGTCGTCCGTCGAGGGTTTGCAGCATTTTCCGTAGAGAAATCTAAGCGCGTTACCCATCTTTGATCCAATTTCAGGAAGTCCAAAAAGTTTCGATCTTTCCTAAAATCAGACGAAATCCTACAGAGGAAGGACGATGAGCAATCTCTTTGAAGAAACTGTACTCTCACTTAACATCTTTTGTCCAAGGAAAAATCAATTAAACAGATTACTCCCAAAAAGAATGATAATATTTTAAGCGAGAATCTTTGAGTACGAAGAAAAGATAATTACTTGTATTATTAGTCTTTTACAATTATTAGGGACCCGAAATTTAATGGTCTAATACACTGTTACTACATTTTCTACATTTCTTTTTAAATCCAATTTAAAAATTTTAACTGTATCCCACCATAAGGATTAACTGATTAAGGATAAGTAAAAAGACAAAAAATGGTTGGTAACGCTATATTAAATGGGCTACAGATAATGTGTACAAAAACTTAATATTTTCATGTTAGACAAAATTTTTTGTTTTTTGACAATTTCTCTAGAATATATATGTACAGTGAAACCTTCCAAAGTCGCAGAGTCATTCAGTGATTGAAACCCCCTTCAGCCCAAAACACATCTCTCTCTCTGTCTCACTCTCTTTCCATGGACACTCCACAACAAGAAGAAGACAAAATCTCACTACCACCACAGGCGAAGTGGTGGGTCGATGGTCAACGCAGTAGATACAAAGGCTTCTGGTTCAAACCAGAATTCATCACCGCCTCAGAAGCCATTAGAGCACACTACAAACCTCTTCCTTCAGACATAATCCTCGCGTCTTTCCCTAAAACCGGCACCACTTGGCTCAAAGCCCTAACTTCCTCCATTCTCCGCCACAGCTCAACCACACACAGTGACCATGACCATCTGGATCACCTCAATCCGCACGAGGTCGTGCCCTTTTTGGAGATCGAGGTGTTCGGAGAAAACCCATCAAAGGAAATAACAGAGATCTCTTCTCCAAGAGTTTTCAACACTCATCTTCCTCTCTCGTTTTTGCCGGAGACTGTCAAGACCTCAGGATGCAGAGTCATTTACATAACTCGCCACCCAGCAGACACTTTCGTCTCTCTCTGGCATCTCTACAACAACAAGTTTGGGACAGAGATCTCGATCCGAGAAGCTTTCGATGAGTTCTGTAAAGGGCTTGTCCCGGCCGGACCGTACTTTGAACACGTCCTTGAGTTCTGGGAAGCAAGAGACCGTGTGTTGTTCGTCACTTACGAAGATCTGAAAGCAAAACCAGAAGAAAACGTGAGGAAGATCGCCGAGTTCTTGGGGTGTAAGACGATGGTGGAGAAGGTCGTGAAAGATTGTAGCTTCGAGAATCTGAGGAATACAAGTAAAGAGAGAGGAGAAGGAGTTCACTGGAGTGGGACTAAGTATGATATGTTCTTCAGGAAAGGTGTGGTTGGAGATTGGAAGAATCATCTGACACAAGAGATGATGAAGGAGCTTGAAGACCTTGCTGACCTGAAATGGAGAGGATCTGGTTTGGATCTCAACATTTTTAATACTACTGCTTCACAATAATCACATAGTTTATGTTGTTGGTAGTGATGACTGTCTTTTAGTAATTGCCTGTTTACATGTATCTTCTACAGTTTCCTAATAGAATGAGATCCCTAAACTACCTGATCTCTCCATGATACTAATCAATTAACAATCTAAGGATACAAGGTAAAAATTGACATTGTTACAGATACTACCACAAGGAAACGAATCGCAAATACGACAGACATATATAACAGACATCTATGTTCCACGAAGATATTTTCCTTTTTTTTCCCGTAGTAATAACCAAGTATCTCAGAGTAGCCATTTAGCTTCCTAACCAACGGGGAAATGCAAAACGTACCTGAGACAAATTGTATAGTATATTCAGATACGTGTGTTCAGCTTACTTTGAAATCTACCCTTCAGCTGCTGCATCGAACTGGGTCTGAAAATGCCATAAATGACAAAACAAAAGCATGAAACAATAGCATCGTAATATCGGAAATTGACAAGCATGAACAGAGAAGGTCTGAAGCACCTTTCACTTGGCACATGTACTCAACATATCTAGGCAGGTAGATTCCTGGATTTTGCTATCTCTCAGTTAGATAGATTGCAAAGGCAAAACCAAGCAAGTTGTATGCCATCGCCAGCTTCAATGTGCAATTGGATTTATGTTTCATATATCCAAAAACTCAAAATGGTAATAATATTTGATGCCCCTGGTACAATTAAAGAGCACCGCAGATTGCCTCACAAAAGGTCAGAGAAACCCTCATTCAAGAGATATTAACCTCAGCAAGATACTAGGGAAGTTATTCTTAAAGATATATTCGACTTGCAGCTTATTGCCTCAAATATACTGTATATTGCAAAACTCTTAAAAACAATTGCAAAGATATGTGAATTGATCAGCTAAGACTGTAAACAAGTTACAATTGTACATGATAAATGATTGATAATTTGCAAAGAGGGATGAGAAAGAAAAACTCATGTATATCCAGAATGGGCAATGATGGCAGATTAACATGAAGGTATATGTTAAGAACTTTTATTAAAGAACCATAATTTCCCAGAAGCTACAATACAAAGATACAACTCAAATGAAGATATATTCCCTCCAATATTATCAAAACCTTTAATAAACATATACAAGTTGATACCTAGTAGAATAGCCGCATAAAATTCATTGATTCTTGATATCATCAATAGTCGCCTCTTCGGTAGTACTATATTCCACTGTAGATTGGCTCAAAGCCTCTGGGATTTGGTTGGAAGCTGTGACACTTTTCTGAGTTTGTAGGCCCGTAGAGCGTGCAAGATCAATCCATTGCTGCGTTTGTATGAAAAAGTTGGAATTAAATTAAAGAGTATTTCCAGAATTAACCAAAAATGAATATGATATGTTTGGCTTGAAGGAGAAAGGATATAAAAAAGTCAAGAAGAGATGAAAGTACAGGCCTAATGCTGACCTGAGTTCCATAGTAGGAGTTAGCTACTCGGACAACAAATGAAATCATGTTTACAAGTAGAGGTTGAGAAGAAAGCTCATCAGAAATGCGATGCTCAATTAGCCCAGCAATTATCTGCAATTAAAGTTCAGTTGATGTTAAAAAGTTCAGTTGATGTTAAACGCATAAATTTTAAGCATACTGTCCCTTCATCAAAAGGCTTTCCTTGGCTAAAATGCAGAAGCATAATATATTCACAAGATAAAGTAACTTTCACTACTTTTCGTTAATTTTGCTCATTGAGTGGACATGTAATCACCATCATACCTGATAACGGATATTTGAAGATGTTCCCAGATAACTTCCATACACAACGGCCGTTTTCAGCATAGGAGACCTCTTTGCTTTCTCAGCAACAGCCAGCTCTGGTTTAATGAATTTTCGTATTGCATACAAAGCATTTGAAGATCCCACAGCTGCAAAACTGGAAACAACTCCAACACCAGCAAGCTTCAAGCCACCGACAATAACTGACGCAATCCTAAGATTCAGACTCCACTCTTTTCCAGCAAGACTTTTTTGAAATGCATTGTCAGGTATGGATCCTAGGAGGCCTCGTAGGGCGTCTATACTGTTTGGTTTAGCTGTCTCATCAGCATATGAGAGAAAAGACAAGGTTGGTGCAGGCAGCCAAACTGTGAAGAAATCAACAACTGATGCTCTTACGCTATCAGTTATGACATAGTCGAGTTCTTCAAAAAAGTTTTCTTTCCGCTTCTCATATTGAGCTACAAGAGTCGTTGTTATCGATATAGCTTCTTCAATAGCTAATCTATTTAGGAATTTGGGATCTGCCAACAGCCTTTCTCGGAAACCCTGTAACACAGAGGATCATCATAAGTGGGATGTAATACTAACCAGTTGAAGCTATCATTAACTCTGGGTAGAGAAGATAAATACAGGACAAGGTAATATACCATGGAATGATTTGAAAGCTATAACAGAGAATTTAGCAAAAATTGAAAAGACAAAATCTCATTAAAGGAATATCTTCCGAATGGATGTACCTGAAACCGTTGTGTAAGCTCTGCAATAAGAGGATATTGCTCCAGATCAAAGAAATTCTGTAGAATCTCAGGTGACACCAGACCAAGGTCTAATCCATTTTGAATGTCCTGGAAACAATGGAAAAAGTTCAATCATCATGAACTAATGTAAGAAAAAAGTAAAACTTAACTTTAATGTCAACTCTTCAAAGGAAAAGAAAAAAGGCAGAATAAACTTAGTGCTTCATGAAGATACTAATAAGATAGATCAGTTTGGAACTAATTTAGAATGCAAGAATTAAGAATGAACAATCACACAGAGAGTCAGTCTCATTAAAGAAATCATAGAAAATCTACCTGGGGAAGAGCATCGCGTCTCCTACCAGCAGCATTCATCACCCGAGCGATTTCTGCTCGGTCAAAGCAGTTTCTGCTGCATGGTCTAGCCGCAGAATACCACAAGAAATCAGCAACTGGAGATTCACCTTCTTTCCGCAAGAACTGCCTTTCAGGATCAAGTAATACAACAAGTTGACTTTTCTTCGGAATCTTCCTAGAGACTCTTGCAGGCAATCCTGTTCCTCTTGACCCATACTCAACATGATTCGCCCCTGTCACTACTAACAGCAGACCAGTTCCACCTCCATCTGCAACTGCTTGTAAAATAACTTGTGACATTGTATGCTCTTCAACAACTCTAGCTTGCGCCGATAGATAAGAGCTCGGTCCAAACGGAACAATCTGTGTGAGTGGATTCATATTGAGTGAAGAACTACGTGAGAAGGAAGTAAACCCTGAGATAAACCCAGAGCCCGCAGGAGGAGTGTATAATTTACGCTCAGACTCTGAAAGACCACGGATACCTTCAGCTTGAACAGTTCTCAAAACCTGAACCAAATCAAGCCAAACCAAAGAGATTATCACAACGAAATCAAACTATTAACTAAGTGCACAAAAGCAAAGAAGTGTACCTTGAGCGGAGTGCCACAAGCAATGAGTTTTACTGCGTTATCACGACAATAACTTAGAAGAGGCTCATACTCTTGCCAACGTTGAGCCGGCCAATGTGACACAAACAACTTCAATACCTCTCCGTCCATCCTGCAACCAATCCAAGAACAATTGGAACCAAAAACACACTGCAATTTGCGAATTGAAGATGTTATACAATCAAGCAAGCAAAATTTGCCGGAGAAAGGAACTAAACGCAAACCTCTTATCCATGTATTGATTTAGCTGGTCCTGCAAATCAAGAGGGAAAGCATCCAATGCCAGAGATAACTGACGCTCGCTCTCGATGCATCGATTCCTCACATTCCTCACGATCTCGAGCTCGAGATCCTTGTCGTCTCTAGTAGGCACTTGTTCCGCCTCTCCGAGGTACACAATTCTCGCATTCAGAAGCTTATCCCACACTCTCTTCTTGTCTTTCCCAACAGCCATCGGCTCACCGAGCGCCGTCGCGTCATAGATTCTAGAGGTAATCGCCTCATCCTTCGCTACAGGCGGCGGAGGAGACGTGACGGCAGGAAGAGGAGGAGGAGGAGGAGCTGCTGATTCCGGCGAAGCTTCCGCCACAATGGAAGAGATTCCCTCAGCGGCTGAAGAAACAGACGGCCACAACGAAACGGCGGCGGCGAGGAGCGGTGGTGCGACGAGGATTGCGCGGCGAGAGCAGGCGACTCGGGAGGAGGAATCATGAGAATCATGGGAAGGGAGGGAAAGAGTAACGAGTTTTGGAAGATTCTTCTTCTGCTTGGCTGTGATTGTGAAGATAACCGGAAGTTGGCCGCGGAATCTCGGAAACGGGAAGGAGGAAGATTGAGAAGCAGAGAGCCCATTGGTGGTGGGCTTCATTTTGGGTACACGTCAGCTATTTGGATCACTAGAGCGAGAGAGGCATAGAGACATCACTTTGATCTCGCCTGAAAATACGTGGCTCTCGTTTTTCATCATAACATATCTAATCAATTTTTTATAACGATTCAATTAATCCCGCTAAATTTTCTTTTATATATATATTCTTTTTTTGATCCACCAAATTTTTCTGAGGATGGACAACGTTGCCGACCAGGAAAAAAGAAAGCTTGACAACGTTGAAAACAAATTATAGATGTGATGAAAACGAAAAATAAAAGGAATATATGCCATTTTATTATTCTTTTATACCAAGATATCTCTAATATAGACGTCAAAAAAAAAAAGATATCTCTAATATGCGACTATATTTTTCTTATTCTATAACAAGATTTCTTAAGTTCGGTAAAGTCATCAGAGAAGCATTTCACATAATTCCGAGTTGAGACCCAATCCGAATTATTTATACTTTTATATATACGATTATGTTTTAAAAATCTGTAGTGTGTATGACATCTAAAAATGTGGTTCCAGGTGAGAGACGAAAATGAAAAACAAAAAATACGGCTTTACGTGAATATAAGATAGCCATCGTAACTTATTCTAAAAACAATGATCTTATAAACTGTTCTTTTATTTAACCATAGAACAGAAGTCCCAATGATGTCGGAAATGATTCACAAATCCATAGTCAAGATATTTAATGAGATTGACTGAAAAGAAAAAAAGAATAAAAAAAACTTAAAAAAAAACAACAAAGTAGTACTTCTAGGTAGATGATTTTGTTAAGGCTAAAGAAAAGCTAAGGAAGATTGAGGTAAAGCATTTCCTTAAACTCCAACTTTCTAGTATCACTATAGAAAGTATGAAGTTTATTAGGCCAATAAGTCAACCAAACGCAACCTTTGACCTCAAACTCCATAACTTTCCCAAGAGCCCTTTTATCAACCTTCCATAAAACGCTTTGCCCATAACTATCTCCTGCAAACACAACTCCTCCTTGCTTCGTGAACGGCCTAAACGCGTTCGAGTACCTGTTCTTGAACCAAGCTCGAGGGTTCATCATCGAGACCTTTGATGGTTTAGAGGAAGAAACTTCTCTTCCATCATCAGCGTCATGTAGAAACCAAGTGAGGTTCGCGCTATAACCATGAACCGATTCCTCGAATTTCCATGGCTTCATGCTTTTCGTTGTGGTCTCGTTGGCTGAGACTTTGAGTCCAAAGAAAGTGTTTGGTGGCTCTATTGTTGCTTCTATGCCTTTCTCTACTTCGAATTCTCTTAATGGGTTTTCTGATGATTTTTGTACGGATACCATTAGGATGTTTGACTGGTTCGTTGGAGTTAGTTGCAATGATATTCGTGATGGAAAATGTTTTTCCTCTGTTCCCATGCCGCGCTCAGATAAAAGTGTCTCGCTCACAAGCCTAATTATGTCACACCTATAATATTATAAAGAAATTTATTTAGAGGAAATATGATAAAGAAATTTACATAAATGCTATTGAATTTATCTATTAGTAGTATAATATTTTGGTGTTTTATGAGTTTAAGAGTTAAATACGATACCTGACGTTGTCAATATTCACTGCGATGTTAAACCACTTCTCACGAACGTAAATCCTGTGGTTGAATTGGATCACACCTTCAAGTTGATGATAGTTCAGTGAGAAGAACAGTCTTTCGTCGCTTAAAGCACTCTTTACGCTCTCCATTTCCATTGCTATCACAGGACAATATATATGAACTTTCCACAGACCTTGAGTTGAGAAAGCATATGAAAACAAAGGAGAAGGCGACTTGAGATGCTGATACGCTTTAATCTCGATGATCCAATTGGTTATCGCGAGATTGAGCGATCTCATCCATTGTTCTTCAAGGTTAGATCCTAGTTGCACCATGAGCAACTTAGAGCCCTGCCTTGACCTACAAGTAACCAGCTGATCTTTCACCGTTTTGAGACAAGTTGTTCGTAGGCTCGTGGGTGCTTCGTAGATGCAGATTAGGAACACGAAAGTGAAGAAAGCAAGGTTGAAAACGTCTTTGAGATTTGAAGTGGAGCTTAGGTTTTGGATTTGAATTGAACTATTGGTTCTCTTGACGTTATAGTTGAGCACTACGTTGACAAAACCCATCAATAGAGTAGAGATGGCATTTTCATCAAGGAACTTAGTTGAATTAGAGCCAATGATTCTTAGAGGTTTTGAAACAAAGAGAGATATAGGATTTTTGAAATTGGCTACTATAGAAAAGGTGAATATGTTTGGAGATTGAGAGCTACGAGTAAGAGAGAAGTTCAAAGATGGATGTGATGAATTTGGCGAGCAAATGCACATGGACATCGAATTAGTCCTCCATTGAGAGAGAGGAGGAAGATTTTGTAGCCAAGAGAATGCATCAGGTGAGTCACAAGAAGCCATTGGAGCAATGATGTTGAATCTGTATATAGTTATCTTTTTAGATGTGTGATATATAGAGTATTACAATACTAGATTTATCATGTCTTTATAGAGAGAACATTTTTAATGAGTGGAAGAAAAGAAAAAAGAAAAAGGATAGAAAGATTCTTTTCTTTTTCAAAAGGTTAGACTAATTGGATGTGGAAACTAACCAAAAGAATGATTGCTTTCGTCGAACTAAGTGTCCAAATCGTTCAATGCAAAAGCATGGATTTTTTTACTTATAACAGAAAATATAGAGCTACACGAATCGCCTTTTTAATTACATTAATTATTAGTGATAGTCCTGAAAATCATTGGATTAACGTACAAGGAAGAAAGTTTAGGTGCTAATTAGACTAGCTAGACCATTGAAAGGGGGTGTAATTATTCGTTGAATTTGACTAAGTATGTACTGATCAAAATTCTGCTTTATGTGGAAATCAACCCGAATTTCCAGCAAATATTCTTGATTAGGCCCAAGAATATTGTTATTCGATGCCCCTATTCTACTCTATAACGTTTTCTTCGTCTTTATCTAGTGGGTTTCAAATAATACAAATAAGAATATGAAGACCTTTGAATTTTCATTCAGAGTAATAATTTTCAACACATTCTATCCCGTCGAACATTTGTGGAATAATCACATTAGAAATAAATTAAACACAAACTGCTTATAAGTTTGTTCAATGGAAACTTCAATTCCGGGAAAAAATTCCCAAACTATTCCCTGATAAAAAAAAATATTATTTGAGTGTCATCAGATCATGAAGAGTGTATGAACTAAAGAACAACAAAAACGACTTTGATCTTTTTCTCTAACTCAAGCTGGTTGCCCATAAACTTCAACGTTTCGTAAGATGTGAATCAAAATATTGTTACGAAATACGAGAAATCCATGCATATAATAATTTGCTTGTAAGTGTATCAATAATGTTGATTATCCGGTTTGTATTTATTGGAGCTTAATAAGATGGGCTGAGCCAACACTATGGGCCCATAAAGTATAGGCCTGAGACTTAGAATATCCACTTCCTAACGCGGTTTTGCCGCAACTTCAGATTCCACTAAAATCGGAACTTCCACACTCTCTCGGCCAATCCGCCGCCGACACACACTTACCGACACCAATGTCTTCTCCGGCGACTCTTCCCGTCACCAACCAGCAAGCTTCTTCTCAGTCTCAGCCGCCGATCAACTCTCACGCCTTCCGTTCTTTCCTCTCGCGCCTCTCCTCCTCTCTCCGCGATAGCCTCTCACAACGCCGTCCATGGATGGAGCTCGTAGATCGGAGCTCATTCGCCAGACCTGACTCTCTCACCGATTCATTTTCCCGGATCCGTAAGAATCTCGCCTACTTCAAGGTCAATTACGCCGCAATCGTCTCCCTCGTGCTCGCGTTTTCCCTCCTCTCGCATCCTTTCTCCCTCCTCGTCCTCCTCTCTCTCCTTTGCTCCTGGATGTTCCTCTACCTCTTCAGATCTTCAGATCAGCCTTTGGTTCTCTTTGGCCGTGCTTTCTCCGATCGAGAGACCCTGCTCGCTCTTGTTCTGACGACGATTGTAGTCGTGTTTATGACGAGTGTTGGATCCTTGTTAACCTCGGCTCTGACGATTGGAGTCGCGATTGTTTGCTTACACGGTGCTTTTAGGGTTCCTGATGATCTGTTCTTGGACGAACAAGAGCCTTCTAATGCCGGATTACTCTCGTTCATCGGTAATTCCGCTGCTACTTCCGCTGCTGCTTCCGTTGTCGCTGGACGAGTTTGAGAGATGGATTTGATGATTCTTCATTCGCAGTGGTAAAACTCTGTGTCATGTTTTGAGTATAGATTCGATATTGGAAGCTCTGTGCATTGCTCTGTTGTATTTCTTCGATTTCGTTAAAGTTTTAGAAATCTGGAGCTGATCCTTTCTCAATTATTCCCACATTGTAAGATCACATTTACCTTTAAAAAGTTTGATACTTTGAGCTCATTTGCAATTTTTTGCAGACTTTTAAAGATGGAGTTTGGTTTTTAGAATAATTAGGGAAGAGTATACTTTGATCAAAGAATTTAAATTGATGATAGTAAGAGAATAGGGAACTTGTAGATTCGAAATTTGCTAGATTTTTAGGTTATCTTGCTTGATTATAATGGTAACTAACCTGCGCTTAGTCTGATACATAATAATACACTGGATATACTGTTATGTTCCATGTAAAGCTTTGGTTTTTTACATTAGTTTTTTGATGGCGTAGTATCTTAAGTATTAGTGTTTGCTCTGTATAGATTTCAAACTATAAAGTAAGTTATAAGACCTCGGTAAAGTTGCTTTTTCTTCTCTAACAAGTAACAAATTTGGGGAAACCAGAAACAAGATTTATAAACAAGCGGATCTAGTTTTGCCAACCCCAATTCAAAGATGTCATAAAAGAAAAAGCTTCTCGAGGTCAGGACTTGGTCCAGATTCTCGTATATATGGAATCAGAATCCTCAAACTCGCACACTTTTTAGTATTGTATGACGAAATTTGTAGAACAAACAGAGACTTGGACAGGTAATATTCGATCAACAGCATGTTATTTCATATCTGAGACTATTACAAAGACATAATATTGAAAACTTTCATTTCTCTGAGAGTAATCCTCTGAAAAGTCGTATTTAGAAGCCATGATATCATCACCTTTTTAAAATAAAATAAAATTCTATGGCTGGTTCTTGTATCATGAAACTGGATACTAAATCAAGCAGAATAGTAAATTGTAATGTCTTATTCTTCAACGATTTGGGTCAGTAAATATCGTAAGTAGCTATGTTCTCTGTCTCTCGAGCTATAGTCCATTATTTTGATTCTTCCACAAGTTTCCTCTATCTTGAAAGGTCAATTTTTTCCTCCGGATTTGATTGTCCTAGTAGGACCATATCATGCTAACTTTGGTTGGGCAATGAAATGTCTGACCGGAACGAATTAATAGTGATCAGTTTCTTGGTACAAAAGTGTTTGGTTTTAGGGAAAGGATACCTAAGCGGTCTAATATCCATTCGGTTGTTATGCACGATATATAGGCTTGTCACTCGTGATCGCTTAAGAGGATTGGGAACTAAATGTTCCAAGAGAGTGTCTTCTGTGTGCGGTATGCAATTGTCTCATCTCCTCTTTTGGTCTCCTGAATTAGTTTTTAATTTTGGTGGGGGAGTTCAAAGTCACTGAGTTGCCTTCTTTCTTAGATATCTTATAGGTGACCTGCTTTCAGTCTTCATTGCATGTAAATTTGTGAAAATGAGTTTTGTCATTTGAAATATTTTCCGCGATTTCTAACTAGTGGTGAAAAAAAGAATACCCCACTTGTGACGAGAGGTTAAACAATTCGATAAAACAAAATGTGAACCTGATTAGGGTTCGTACCCACTTTTGACTAATGAAATTAAGATTTAAAGGAAACCAAGCATCAAACAAATTGGCATGCTATTAATATATTTTTTTTTGTGTGTTGACGGCATGCTATTAATCAAGAAAAATTTAAAGTATTCACGCTATCATCATTTTCAAATAAATTTTCATTTCAAATAACGTAACTTCTACAAGTTCTTCTCAGAACGATAGTTAAATTAAGTATCCTTTACCTAGTGAAGATGATATCTGGAAGAAAAAAAAGTTACAAAAAAATGTGGTCTAATCAGAGAAACACAAATCGAGACAAGCAAAACACGTTATTGTGGATGCAGGGTCAAAATTCAGATAGTTAGCTACATGGTGACGTCATTATCAGAGATTTAGCACATAGAGATTAGAGATACCAAAGAAGAGGACACTAACTAACTCCACCAAACAAAATTACAAATTTCTTGTTCACCAATCAATGTTCCCAATATTCTTCTCATGTACTTTCCTTTCTTAACAACATGATGTTTACTTTTACCATTTTAATTACCTTTGGGATTGTTATTGTTAAAAGATATTTACGTAAGGATACACGGTTTACACTATTCAAATCACCAACCAACTGACAATTTCTTGAAAATATGTTGAATTAGTTTTGTTTTTTAGTTATATTTATTGAATCAAAAAAATAGACACTATATTGCATAAGCCAAATAGATGCATCGAAAAATTCATGAATGATTCAAACATAACATGATGAAATTACTCAACTTTGAAAAAGTTAGGACTTGATCGTTATTTTACATGTGCGTTTGCGTTTACATATTTGAGTCGCCTTTTATTAAAAATTAAAGGAAATTATTTACAATATGTAGCTGTAGAGATCACTTTATTGTTTGAGACAGGAAAATAGGGGTTGAAATAAATGGTTTATTAGGCGGTTAGCGACGAATCATCTTGTTTACCTCAAATCATTTTTACTTTTTCAACATTAACAAAACAATGATCATTTTTACTTAAACTTCAAGCCAATCTTTTTGTTGTCAGTTTGAAAACCAATTATTATTTTTGGCATTGTAGTGATAATAATATTAATCTTTTTACGCAATGATGTTCGGTTAATTCATAACTCATAAGTTCTTTTTCATATAAAGCTTTGTATTTGCATAATATATAACTGATTTGTATCATATTATAAATGCAAATGTTTATCAACTTTTACCTAGATAGTCATTTGTATTGAAAATTGCCAGTTTGCAACTAACACTTTCATGCTTTATTCCTCTCTTTTTTCAACCCGCCCCACCTTAAATTACTTTAATATTTGTTTTTTTTCTCGACGATTAATTTATTTGTTCAGCAAACCTTAAAAGAGGCAAACTGTGGCATCGAAAGTTGACCTTATCTTATGTCTTAATTTCTGTATTTGTGCAAGTATGAAAACAACGATGAGATATTGCAAAGTCTAATGGGAGGGTCAAAGCTGTTAGGGAGAAGCCACCTAAACCCTAAAATTGACCATATTTCCTATGAAACATAAAGGGTATAGAATACTTTGAAAGATTAATACCTCATAAAAGTTTAGGTTCTTATTATCTTATATACCTTTAAAAACCGTTGTGTAATTCAAAACTTGAAACAAAAATGATGTATTAGGCGGTTAGACTGTTATAATTTGTTTTAAATGATAGGATCATAGGACAGAGTATATTACAGTTATGACATGGACATGCGCTTAATTCGACTTTGTTTAGGTATTATACTGCTGAATGTAGGTGACCACATAAAGATAAAAGAAATACTACTCCAGAATTGTAGTTATGCACGTTTTCTTTCTTTGATTTATTTAAATATCAACATTTTGGGATCTCAATAAAAATTAACGGATGTTTTATACTGACAATAATCCATGGCTACATCATAACCTATTGGAAATGGCGTTTCTGATGGATAATCGTTATTTTACCGACGAATCAGTAACTTCTTTTTATGCAACCTCTCTGTTGTTAATTTCCACATTTTGACAATATTTCCCTATCATATCACTTGAAGACATAATTATTATTTACGATAAACCGTGTGGCTCTTCGTAACTCTAATACACGGATTATCTTGAACTAATTCAAAACGGAAACTCAACCGGTCACCAATACTTTTCTCCTTTGCGGCTCTGCTTTCATTAACATTATTTTTTGTTATCCAATACCAAACAACCCAAAAACAAGAAAACGAACCAAATCATAACGAAATAGACTACCATAGTTAGCCATGATTTTGGATACAGGATGTGAAAACATCGTACCCATATACCTATATACAGCGATATAAATTTTCATTCTCAGAACGATTCAGAGCCTAGACCCACCATCTCAGCCTTATATATCAGAATAATGCCAAAAAGTGTCATATTTTTCTTGGAGAATAAATACAAAATGAAATGTAAATATTATTTGTCGTATAAAAAGGAATGTAAATATTATATATTCCTATACATGCAAGATAATTGTAGGAGCATGAAACTGTTCTTCAAGCATAGTTCATAACATATTGTGTGCTTATCTCAATAATGTTATTTCGTTTTCTTATCCCAAGACCGAACAATATAAACGGGATCAAAGATTTAAAATCCCATTAATAACGAAAACGAGTAAACGACTAGCATATTAACTAGCCATTATCACCCATAAGATCTCCAACATTAGAACGATCATATCCAAAGCCTTCCATAATAGGAATTTATGATAATGGCAATCAAAAATGTTCAATCTTGCTGAATATATTGGTTCATGCAGGCTAATTGCATGAGCCTATATACATTGCGTACTAAAATTTTGTTGGTACGCAAAACAACAAAAACTTAGGCTCCAAAACAAAATTCCTTATAATATATTTATTTGTACTATGTTTATGGCAATTATGGAATATTACATCCAAAGTCAATAGAAAAAGCGTGTTAACCAAGAATTCAAGAGACGTAATCACCTTTCCATTTTTTTTTACTCCGTGATTGATTTTTTTTTTTCTGCTAGGCCCCAGTGGGTGCAACTACTCTTAGTGTTGAACCAAGTTTTGGCCTTCAATTAAATCAAAACCTAATCCTCCAACCGCATAAACAAAGAAATTTATCACAAATTAAATTAATGTACAAAAGACAATAAATACAATAAACTACTTATAAAAAAAAAGAAACTAGCAACAATCTTAAATAGGTATTGTCTTTGTCTCCCTATATAAACTCCATTCGAATTCCCAACACAACACATTCTCTCTTCTTCCATACACTTCATCTCTAAACCCTCTCGCTCTAGCAGAGGTTTATAAACATCTCATCGATGGAGATCATCAAGAGCTTCCTCTGTTTAATCTCTTTCACAGTTCTTCTTCTCTTCACCGTTGTAGTAGAAGCCAACAAAGCACACCACCACGAGTTCATTGTAAGATCACATTTCACTTATTAAATGTTTTCAATTAAAAACTATGTAGATGAAGATGTATATATGCTTACAAATATAATCATATGTATATATACACAGATACAAGCGACGAAAGTGAAGAGACTATGTGAAACACACAACAGCATTACGGTCAACGGAATGTTTCCCGGTCCAACACTTGTAGTCAACAACGGTGATACTCTCGTTGTCAAAGTCATTAACCGGGCCCGGTACAACATCACAATCCACTGGTAAAAATACGATTAAACCAAACTCACGTATACCGTTATCAAAGCATCAGCGGTTTACAAATATTGAACCGTGTGGAAACAGGCACGGTGTGAGGCAAATGCGAACCGGTTGGGCTGACGGACCGGAATTTGTGACTCAGTGTCCAATCAGACCGGGATCAAGCTACACGTACCGGTTTACAATTGAAGGACAAGAAGGTACACTTTGGTGGCATGCTCATAGTTCGTGGCTCAGAGCCACTGTCTATGGTTCAATTCTCATCCTTCCTCCTGCTGGCTCGTCTTACCCATTCCCAAACCCTCACCGCAACGTCCCACTTCTTCTCGGTAATTAAAATCATGATTAATAAATTTCATATATAATTGTGTTGATATATATCAATTGATTTTGATCTTGGTAAATTATGAATTTTTTTTAAAAAAGGTGAATGGTGGGATGCAAATCCGGTTGACGTGTTGAGAGAATCTCAGCGAACCGGAGCTGCTCCGAATATCTCCGACGCTTATACCATCAATGGTCAACCTGGCAATCTCTATAAATGCTCTTCTCAAGGTTTTTCACCTTTTTACTTTTCTTTTCACTTACTTGAGAGTAATTCTAATTATGTAAATGATCAAAAAATCTAGTCTCCATATTGATCATTCTTTTTCGGTTTTTTTCCTAACTGTCATAACTGACTTTGGTATATTTAATTCAGATAAATACTTTTAAGAAGAAAAAAAACAAAAGCATCACCCCAAAAGACAACCCAAATTAGTATATTATTAATTTTTATTTATATCATTTTTTTTTTTTGTTGTAGATACGACAATAGTACCCATAAATGTTGGTGAGACCATACTACTACGAGTAATAAACGCCGCATTGAACCAACCGCTATTCTTCACGGTGGCTAACCACAAATTCACGGTGGTCGGAGCAGACGCGTCATACCTAAAACCCTTCACCACCAACGTCGTGGTTCTTGGCCCCGGCCAAACCACCGACGTCCTCATAACCGGTGATCAACCACCAAACCGCTATTACATGGCCGCAAGAGCTTACCAAAGCGCTCAAAACGCACCGTTTGGCAACACAACCACAACCGCGATCCTCCAATACAAATCCGCCCCTTGTTGCACCAATAAGGGTATTTCCGTCAAACCCATCATGCCTCTTCTCCCTGCCTACAACGACACAAACACGGTCACTCGCTTCAGCCAAAGCTTTCGATCACTAAAACGAGCCGAGGTTCCGACAGAAATCGACGAGAATCTCTTCGTAACCGTCGGGCTCGGTCTCAACAACTGTCCTAAGAATTTCAGATCAAGAAGATGTCAAGGTCCTAACGGTACACGTTTCACTGCATCCATGAACAACGTTTCATTCGCTCTCCCAAGTAACTACTCTCTCCTTCAAGCTCACCACCACAATATCCCTGGAGTCTTTACAACCGATTTTCCGGCGAAGCCTCCGGTGAAATTCGATTACACAGGTAGCAAAATAAGCCGATCTCTATACCAGCCTGTGAGAGGGACTAAGCTATACAAGCTCAAGTATGGATCAAGGGTTCAGATTGTTCTTCAGGACACGGGTATAGTAACTCCAGAAAATCATCCCATTCATCTACACGGCTACGATTTCTACATTCTCGCCGAGGGTTTCGGTAACTTCAATCCCAAGAAAGATACCGCAAAATTTAATCTCGAAGATCCGCCTCTCAGGAACACCGTTGGTGTACCAGTTAATGGTTGGGCCGTCATCAGATTCGTCGCAGATAATCCTGGTAAACCAAAATTAAATTTACCACCTAAAAAATAATTAATTATACATTAGGAGTGTTCCATACAAACATGATATATCCCAGATTTTGTCGGTTTTCTACGTATAATAGTAACCAAAGTATAACATCAAAATATTTATTTTTCGGTTTTGGTTTCTAAGATTTATAAAAAATTAATCTATTTCAACTATATTTTGGTTTTTAATCTAGTTTCTCGATATGGTCACCCCTAAAATTTAGATGACTTAGTAATTAATTATCGAGACTAACTAAGTTCATTGCATGCACACATGATTGAAAACAGGGGTTTGGATAATGCATTGTCATCTAGATGCACACATATCTTGGGGACTAGCCATGGCTTTCTTGGTTGAGGACGGAAAAGGGTTATTAGAGACAATGGAGGAGCCTCCGGCTGATTTGCCAGTGTGTTAGGAGCTCAAGATCCTTTGTTATATAAAACACATTATAGTTTTTATGTCATATTCAATTGTTTTTTTTTTCTTTTTGATATAGATACACCGGGTCTAGCTACTCCTGAGTTAGACCGGACACCCTCAGCTTTATTTTTCTACGATTATTGATGTATTCTTTTGACATTATAGTACCAATTCAGTGCTAAGGGTATCATGAAAGGTCATTTTCGTTTCTCTTTAGGCTAAATTGAATTACTCTCCTTCCATCTTTTTTCGTAAAGTTGTGTTTGACCAAGGCAATGAATTTGATATGCATGTTGAATGGTTGTTGAGCTAAAATTATATTTGTTTCCATAGATAAGCCTGGAAAATTAAGTGATCATAAACAATTTTTTTTTTTTTTGGCGTTATATAGGCTGAGTCAAATCGAGGGTTCAACCACATAATGAATTTTGATGTTTTAAATATTAGCAATTTTTTTTATGTTTTAAAAGAAATAAAAAACTTAGCTAGCCTAATTTGATTTCGTTTTTATATGCCTTTTTAGTATCGGATATAATATTGCTTTACTGGTAATTGAGTTCGTAACATTGTATATTTGAACTTGAATCAACTATGAACTAATTGGATCAACTACATCTTCCCTCGATTAGAAAACGAAAATAATTTGGAAAAACACGTGAAATGAAATGGAGTTAAGAAAAAGTGGCGTGGAATTTCAAGTTGTTAGTTGAGCTGATAAGTTTTGGGGCAAAAGTGACTTCCGACGCGGATGAATGATGAATATAGATCAACTTCGACATTACCAGAAGAAACAAAAGTTGTCATGACTTTGTTAATTTTTGAGTAATTAGTGCGCTCAAATTAATCATAACAATCTAACAAATATAATCATTCTTACACATGTTACCACTTATAAAAATAATCGGAAAATTGAGTAGATAGGAAATTAATATTGTGGTAGAACCCAAACAAAAAAAAAGAGGTAAAAATATGATTTATTAGTAGAATACGACGAATGCAAAACAAATATCATTAAAAAAAAAAACTCTTATAATCTAAAAAACCTTATAATTGCTACCTGTCTTTAGACTATAAAAACCTAGAATTGTTTTTTATCCAAACCTATAATTTTTTTTAAAAAAAAAATCTCATACACTTATCAATTTGGTTAATGAAACACCAAATCCGTACTTAGTAGACCTACTAAACAATAGTCCATAAAAAATAGTAACACGATGGACCAAAGCCCATAAAACAATGACTTGATTTCTGATTAGTCAAAGTCAAAACATAAATTATCCAAAGAGGGGCATAACCGAAATCACAAAGAAGCTCTGAGGGTAAAATAATCCAAAACAAACATAAATGGGAATAACTTAGGCCCAAAGCAAAAAGGAAGGACTGGATCCAGCCGAAATCAGAATCGGGAAAGATCGAGCGACACGTCAGCATCAAAATATCTGAAATATCAAAAAGACTTTTATAAATACGCTTCGCCTTCTACCACCTCAAAGCCTTAGCCTTTTTTGTTTTCTTTTCTCTCTGCTTACAAAAAATCAATCTTCTTTGATACTACTACTAATCTACTACTATCTATTACATTCAATCACCTTCACTTCTTCTTCTTCTTCTTCGTGCTCCCGACGGAAGTTTAATCGGAAATCGTCGTCTTCTGCTTCGTCGTTCGAGTGCTTTCTTTCATGCCGTCGGAGATTGTTGTCAGGTTTGTTTGAAACATTTACGATTCCCAGTGTGTATCCGTTCTAAATCGGTTCTTGTTTCGGTTGTAAATCTGGTTCCTGAGTGTTGGAATTTATGATTTGGTTTCTATAGTTTCGTGGTTGGTCTTGTGCGTATCGCCAAGTTTATTCGTGCACAGGGCAATAGGTGGAACCTCGGGGGTTTCAGTTTAGGGTTTTGGGTTCTTCGTAAGCAAATATTTTGTAACTAGTTGATTGATTTTGTGCATAATTTGTCTTTATGGAATGAGCTATATGCGATTGGTGGCTTCGTTTGTGATTAAAAGCCGTGGAAATGAGTGGGTTTTAGGCTACTTTTAGCTGAGAAAAAAATAAAAATTTTGGTTTGTCGTTTAATTGATGAGAGGTTCTCTGGGTATTCGGGAGAATCCTTAGGTGATTCTCTCTTTCTGAGTTTGTTCTGTTCTAATTTTGCTGTTGATTGAATCTTTTTTGCTCGCTGTAATGCTGCAGATTGTGAAACTGCTCATTGTATCTACTTTGATGTGATTACGTTCTGGAGTTTGAAATTTTTTTCTATTTTAAGGTGCTTTGATTCAACGTATAGTCGAGTGTGTTGCTTTTAAATTGCGAAGAGAAAAAGAAAATAAAAAGAAAAGAGGAATGGTAATCTTGCTTCTGTGCATTTTGATTCTCCCAGGAAAAGGAAGTCACGAGATGGTACCACTGTAGCTGAGACTCTACAGAAATGGAGAGATTACAATGAGCAGACCAAGGCTGCTTCTTGCAACGATGATGGTGGTCTCAAGTCGTTACGAAAGGCTCCTGCAAAGGGCTCTAAAAAAGGTTGTATGAAAGGCAAAGGAGGACCTGAGAATGGGATTTGTGACTACAGAGGAGTTAGACAGAGGACATGGGGGAAATGGGTCGCTGAGATACGTGAGCCAGGTAGAGGTTCCAGGCTGTGGCTTGGTACTTTCCCTAGCTCATATGAAGCTGCTTTGGCCTATGACGAGGCTGCAAGAGCTATGTACGGTCAGGCTGCCCGACTCAATCTTCCTGACATCACGGATGGCTCTTCTTTGATTGCCCCCACTGTGTCTAGCTCGATCACTACATTGTCAGATGAATCTGAAGTTTGTGCACTGGAGGATACACATGTGAGATCTGGTTTTGGTCACGTAAAACTAGAGGATGGTGGGGATGAGCTTGTTCCGTTGAAGAGCTCCATGTGTGTTAAAGAGGAGGTGGAAGTAAAAGAGGAAATGAGAGAGCTTAACTCAGCTGATGCTTCTGGAATTGAGCTGGCCCCGAAAGAGGAGACCTTAGATGAGTGGCTAGTGGGGATTGGCAATGAACAAGAACCATGGGACTTTGGCGTGGACGAAGTTTTTGATGTAGATGAGCTGTTGGGTTTATTAAGCGAGATCGATGTGTCTGGTCAAGAGACAGCACAGGGTCAAGTTGATAGAGAGTCAAACCTCACTTACCAGATGCAGTTTCCAGATGCTAACTTGCTCGGGAGCCTCGACCACACGGAGACTGCTCATCATTTCGTGCAGCCGAGTGAAACGGAGAACACTGGTATGGATTTAGACCCTCCCAGGTTCGATGATCTTGACATAGAAGACATAGATTTTGAAGGAGGGGAAAAAGATGATCAAGGCGGGAAATAAATATCTCAGATTCATATGACTGGCCTGATTTTGTGATTGTGCTCCGTTGTTAATTGTTTGAGCTTTTGACGCATTGTAAATGTCGTTAGGTCACGTAGGACAAGTTGGAAAATGATTCCTTGTTTTTTTTTTCTTGTGAATACATGCAAAGAAGTTTCAGACTTTGGATACTGTATATGATTTTCGAGCTTTGGATTTAGGAAAAGTTTTAACCTTTGGATATTATATAAAAAGTTTTCGATTTTGTATGCATATATGCTACAAAGTTTTCATCTTTGAAATTTGGAAATAAGATCTCACAGCTAATTTTCATCTTAGGGAGTGGATATGGACTAGTGTGATATTGCGTAGCGAGTTTAATTGACTTTTTTTTTTTGCAAGTTTGGCTTTTCCAAAACCGACATGGATTGTGCTTGGCTGAATTGTTTTCTTATAAAATTAGATAAATCAGGAGTGGATTTTGCGGTCTGCAGAATTTCCTCAGGTTGTTTTAGATTACATAAGCAATGATGTAAGAAAATAAGTGAAATATATTAGTATCTATCTGTATTATCTAAAAAAAAAAAGTATATCGGATTTCGGATATCTGAATGTGCATATGGGACATTTATTATATTAAAAGGGGGTATAGTTATCTCTTTTGGTCTCCAAAATCGTTTTTCTTGCTCGAATCTTGAAGATCTTAAAAGTCTGTTGAAAAATGAAAAAAAAGACAAGTTGGCAAAACTCTTAATTAAACTATCCAAACAATTGTGATTATGGTATTTGGCAATTGTACCTCCACAATTTTTCCCTCTGACAATGTGTTCTCTTTTTCATAAGATGTGATGCAACTCTGTTAGACAATTGTTGTTTTATATACTGCGCTGTAATGAGATTCACTCAAATGTCATCAAAAGGTTAAGTTTATCGTTGAATATTTATTTTCAACTGTAAAAAATGCATTTTTTTTTATAATTGTAGTTGGAGATTCTTATAATCTTAAGTAGAATAGTAATATTTTATGTAGTTGGAGTTATTTTTCTGAAAATTAATTTTCATAACAAACAAACGGCCGGCTTTTACTAGAAATGTCTATACTTATATGTTTAATCCATATGGCTAACTGAAAAGTTGACATTTAAACTACAAATGTAATATTTTTGTTTGTTATTTTCATTTTTTTATATTTTTCTCAAAAAAAAAAAAGAAAACAACAAAATATTGCCTTTATGAAAACTGAAAAGTTCTTATAAGTAAAGAATTGTAAGACTTTGGAATTTTAAGATTTATGTGCATAAATACAAATTGTTTTTCATAGAAACCGAATGACAGTTTTCATTTCAAATATATCTTCAGCTAAAAGTTAAAATTAGTTGGAAAAAAAAATTGTTGTGAAATTTGTTGTTTTGTTTGCTTTTTTGACTTTTTGTTAATGAAATTCTTTTGTTATACTTGCTTTAATCATCAACCGATCCTTCTATTCATTTTTCATATACTACATGCATATGTATTCAGACATTCATGCATGAATTGAATGTATGAACATGATTGAAGTCTCATTACTTTTTAATGCCAAAGGAGAAGCAAATCTCGATTCATATGATCATATCTATTCATAACGTGCTCATGACTATAAAGAGCACAAGATACGTTTCGTTTCTTTCTTTCAACGATCGATGATTTCAAGATTGGTCAGACGCATTCATTTGCTACTAACTGGAGAACCCAAATTTATCATCGTAATGTCATAATCGTTTTTTTTCCTTAGTGATCATGACCTTTTGTAAAAACACTTATCAGTATACCATCTGTATTCTACTCAACAAAGAAAATGCTCTCTTTACATCATTAAAAAATGAAGACAGTTTAACACATTTCACCCATATTAACGAAATTTTGAAACATACAAATTTACCTTTATTTTGATATACCACTAATCAAATATAAATCATTTATATTTAAAGTTTATTAGCTTTAAATAGGGGTAAAATTGAAATTGAGTTTGAAAAGTCATATTGAACTCTTTTAAAAAAAAAAAAACATAACTCTAAAACAATTAATACTTAATTTGCTTCACTTTGTAAATCATTTTACGATATTTTTGTTTGTTTTAAATTCAGTTTATATAATAGAAATTCTAATATGTTTTCTTAATATGTGTAAAGTAATCTTAAACGATTTAAATTCTGAAAAAAATGAGTAACTTTTTCATTACATGGAGAAAGTCTGAATTTGTACCATCATCTAATCGATGAATAACAGACAAGGAATGAGAAAACTTGAATTTGTATCTGTGAATCTTTATTTTATAATAGTGCTTCCACAACGGTCGAATAATTAGACAGAAAAAGTAAAACACATTTTCCACATCAACTTGTTATCTTAATTCTTTTTGTCTCATCAACTGGTGATGTGATCTGATCGATATATTTTTTACCAATGCGCTCAGTAATATGTAAGTATATTATTGGTGAGAGATTATGTCACCTAATCCGAAAGCTTATAAGATGAGCAATCTTAACATCGAGGACTGTGCAAAAAACTGCAAATTGTAAACTTTTTCTTCTTATTCTATAAAATGTTAGATTCAATAAGTAATGCAAATTGCTCTCTTATTCGTATTAATCTAACAAGTAGGACTAGTTGGGAATATGTATAGTTGTATAGTTGCTGGAAAATCTAATGCATTAAGTAACCCTTTATTATTTTTTCCCAATTGTTTTTTTTTTTTTTTGGTTTTATACCCACCACTCAAATTGAAGAGTCTAATATTGATCAATATAGATTTGATTTGAATATATGTTTGTGGAAGGAAACACACCAACGAAATATTGTCCAAATCGAAAATTTTACTGACTTTACGTTGGTTACTTTTAGCAACTGGTTGGTTGATTTTCATCTAACTCGTCTAATATTCTGTTATTTTATTTGTTGAAAAGAAGTTTGATTATTATGTCCTTAGTATTATCAAAACGCTCAAGTTGATTACAAGATGAGGAAAGCTAATTATGATGGACCCATGACATGCTGTTTTCACCAACTTGGAATATTCAAATTTCTATAGTTATTTTTGGTCAGGTAATTTTTTTACCGATATAGGCAGGACGTTCCAATGAATTTCAAGATCCACCAAGAAGACATCCCATAGTGATCATGCATGTTCTAGTGCATGTGTAACATCCAAAATATTGAATTTTCTCTGGCTATTTGTGAAAAAAGCTAGAGGCGTCGATGAGACGCGGATCTTGGACGTTGTGGAGTTATCTCTATTATTATGTAGTCTAGAAGCGCGAAGGAAGATAACTATTTACGGCAAAAATAACTCAATAGATAAATGTTCATAAGTTTCTTGATCATCGGAGAAATAGAAATGAGTTGTGCATTTGTTTCCCAATATCTGGCACGGTCCAAGAGCGTCTCGGCTCCATCTTGAAACATTAGTAAAGTATATTTATTTAGTGTTTGATCAGGTCTTTTTTTCTGGTTAATATGAGTCGGTTCTTGGTATAGGTAAATTTTGGCTTTCAGAAAAGTGAAGATAGCACAACTACAGAATCTCAAAACTAATTATATCAATTAAACACACAGAGAAAGAAAGAAAAAAAGCCATTCGAGACTCTAATTTCAGTAAAGCTTGTGTACTTTTGAAAGAATTTTTGGCTGCGTTTACATGCGCATTCGTTGTGTAAACTCAGTAAATAGCCAAAAACAAAACAAAACAAAAATAAATAACCGGTCATACTATCGAGAACCAATTCATAGATTTCCGTGGGGAACCGGGCCGGTCCTTGATATAAAGAGAAAGAGAAAGAGAAAGAGCTTCTTCTGTGAAAATACAAACTCCAAACAAATCCCAAGTGGACAAACGACGAACCCACACAAACTAAACTTCTCTATTTCTTCATCTATCTATTATCTGTCCACAGTACACTTGCATTTTTATATTTTTACACCCTCCTCCTTATATTTATATATATACTCTCTCTCTATATATATATCTACAAAGAAATATCTCATTATAACATCATTACAACATCTCATAGGACCTCACGAAGCAAACTAACCATTTCTCTCTTTTTTCTGAAGAGAGATCACAGAGCCAGAGAATTATAGGAGAGAGATCGAAAGAAGAGTGCTTTTCTTACACACGCATCGATTGAAAAATGCCAACGTCGATACAGTTTCAGAGATCTTCGACCGTCGCAGAAGCAGCCAACGCCACCGTCAGCATCCATCACCACCACAACAAACAGCTTCAGAAAGTGAGTCTCACGCGCGGGATGGCCGATGTGCCGGAACACGTGGAGCTTTCACACACGCACGTGGTGGGTCCCTCTCAGTGCTTCTCCGTCGTGGTGCAGGACGTGGAGGCCCCGGCTTCCGCCGTCTGGTCGATCCTCAGCCGCTTCGAACACCCTCAAGCGTACAAACACTTTGTAAAGAGCTGCCACGTGGCTGTCGGAGACGGTCGAGAGGTTGGCTCCGTGAGAGAGGTCCGAGTCGTCTCGGGTCTACCCGCCGCGTTCAGCTTAGAGAGACTTGAGATCATGGACGATGATCGCCACGTCATCAGTTTCTGCGTCGTGGGTGGGGACCACAGACTAAAGAACTACAGGTCGGTGACGACGGTGCACGAGTCCTCGTCGTCATCGGACGATAAGAAGAGAACACGTGTCGTGGAGTCATACGTCGTTGACGTACCGGCAGGTAACGATAAGGAAGAGACTTGCAGCTTCGCTGATACCATCGTACGTTGCAACTTGCAATCGCTGGCTAAACTCGCAGAGAAACCCGCCTAAATTCTCATAATCACTATTTTTTTTTTTAGTTTTTATTTTTTTTTCTATATTCTCTCGTTCAAAATTTATCTTTTTTTTTTGGATTCTCGAGGTGGGTTTGGGTTCTAGATTGTTTAACATCGTCGAGAATTTTTTCGAAACTACCAACAACAAAAGAAAAAAAAAAAGAAGAAGAAGGTGGTTTTGGTTTTTCGAAGTTATAGGGTTTTAGGGTTTGTTAAATTTCGTTTCGACGATACTTTAGCTTACCTTTAAAATCATTTCTTCTTGAACTCTTTTGTACAGTGTCTCTCGTAGCTTTTAATAAACAAAACATTTGATTGTGTAGGTTTTTTTTCATCGTAATATTCTTCTTGCCCAGTTACTTTACATATGTATGATATTTGCTTTATATAATGATTCAGCTAATGAGTATTGTTTCAATATTTCCGAGATTATGATCTCTAGTTTGAGTTTGATAAATTTTAACTAATTACATACCAACATTTGATTAATATGGTCACTTGTATAATTACTAACATGCATATACATAATATATGAAGAGAGTTGCATAATTACTAACATGCATATACATAATGTATGAAGAGATCTGAACATTTGTGGGCAATCTGAAAACCCATGTGCTGATTCATATGATCCGCTTTTCCTTTATCTTTAGAGAGAAATAAGTATTACGATGTACCTATACATCATTTGAATTCTCTTGCAATATACAAATGAAGGAAAGACTTACTTTGGCTTTTTTAATTAAACTGATCATTATCAGTTATATAATAAGAACGTTCAGTCCTTTGATGGAATAACATCGATTAACCATAGATTCGAATCAATATGTATTTTTTTATGAAATTCTATATATGGTATATATTGCTAGGCCAAGATAAATGGTGACAGGTAAAACTGAAATTTGGCAGGAAGAAAATCACCATTTATGTATTTATTTTCCTCATTTCGAAACTAACAGTTTTCAAATTATTAGTCATTTCATCAACTAACTTTCCATTAATACATAATTGATGATTTTATTTTGGTTCACCAAAAATAAATTAAAATTAGTCCTACTTTTATCCACCAAAGTGATAAAATACCTTGGGTTCTTTTTCAATTTTGGGATGCGTGAAACCGTTACAATAATTCAAATGTGAAAATAATTACTTTTTCCGATTCCTTGTCCTATATGTTATCGCATGAAGTAAAATGTAAAATATCAAAATCGAATTAATTTTCTATTAGTATTATATCGTATTTTAATATAAAGTATCCAATGAACAAGACGAAAAGACTTTCATTCTTTCAAAGTTTCCAAAAGCAAAATGAGTAAGTTGCTTTGTAGCTAACTGGTAAGATTTCGAGACTTGTGAAACCAAATTCAACATTGAATACATATATAGAAATGTATATGATCGTACGTAAAATGCAAGTTGGGGTGTAATAAAATCCAACTTGTTCTAGAAAAAACAAAGCATGCAAGTTGCAAGGAAAAAATAAAAGCCGCTACTATTCTTTAACGCCTTTTAGATATATTCCATAGATAAATATATATGCTTGAAAAACAAATTGATCATATAATTATTAACTTATTTATCATAATGAGTACGAAATATATGTAAACATTGTCGTGGAAGGAAGGAATTGCAAGTTGAGGTGCAAGTTGGCAAGGAGGGCTATTAATGTTTCTCCTCTTTTGGTCGTTTGTAAAATGACATTAAACCCACCCACCTTTCTTATTTTTATTTTTATTTTGCATCACTATTTTACTAATATCTTCTTTCACCTTTCATTATTTATAAATCCTTAAGTTTCGTTCATATTGTATTTTTCTTAAATATATTAAGTTATTAACATATGCATTTCCGTGTGAATATGAAATTTTGACCAATCTAAGAGAGTTATACGCTTTTTGGGGTTTGTATATTCCAATGAGGCATGTTGCATATAAAGTACTAGTATTTAACTATTTTTTTATATATTCAAATCTATATAAACATGCATAAAAGATTGTGGCAACGTACATAGCTGTGATATATTTACATACTTTTCAAAAGTAGAGGTGGTGGTTCATATTTTCATATATCCTAATCCTAGCTGGACTATCTAAACACTTTAACTCATTAAAATAAGAAACAAACTTTAAAATAAAATGTAATTCTATCTTTAGCCAATTCTGATATATTTCCATGTGTCTGAGAAAGGCAAACATAATTCAATACATGACATGAAGAATACCCCCTCCCCTAAATTGATTGGGGATGGACATTTTTAATTTTTTTTTGGTCGAAAACTGAAATTTATTTCAAACTAAAGAGTTCAACCAAGATTAGAGAGCCTGTTTAGCAATCAAGTCTGCCATAAAATTGGCTGATCGAAGAATAAATAAAAAAAAAATAACGTTAAAAGGAAAATATCGTTAACAGTAGAGCATGAATCTTTGTATAAAATCAGAGTTGAGGAGGTTGATGAGTAGCAGACTATTGTGAGAAAAGCTTTGCAAGCTCTCCATTTTTTCAAAAAAATTGCTTTATGTATATAGTGAAATTGTGATGTATTGAAAAATATGTAGCTCTAAAATATCCCATGAGAAAAAACAAAATTGTCTCACGCGAGTCGCGACCATGTAATACAGTACTATAGACCTTTTTTAGTTTTTTTTTTAAATAAAAAATAATCAACTAATTATCACCATTTAACCAAAGATTACTACACTAGAGACCATTAATTTTCTGATTCGCTACGTTAGAGGCTGCTTTTCATTCTTTAATTTGCGAAAACTCTTTTGTCTTATAATCACAACGAGTCAATAAAAATTCAACGACTGCATTTTACAATTTCTCGACAAGGCCTCTTTGGAAACTCGAAAAAACCAAAAAGGTTTTTCTCAACGCAGAAAACGTTTTCTTTCTTCTCAAGGTCAAGGATAGAAAAGTTTAGCAAAGAGAAGCTCATTCCAAGTATCTTGAAGACCAGGCAAGCACCAATGTACACAATCCGCATAGCTCGTCGGATTCTCCAGCTGCTCCGCCGTAAGTGGGCTCCACTGCTTCTTGTATATCGACGTGTGCGCATCTTTCCGATAGTTCGACATTTGCGTTATGTTAAGTAACGTTATTGGTGTTTTAGATCTCCCAAACACTTCTCCAATCACTTTCATTATGCTTTTCCGACAATCTGATCCCCAGTAGTTTGGATCTTCAATAATTGTTGTCTGATTATAGCAATTCTGACCCAGTTCACCTCCCCAATCTATGCCCCTGAAACAGTCATAGAACCAGAACAACAAAATCAACAAAAAGCCCTAACCAGTAGGTTTCTTGCTAACAAAGAAACACTCATGAGTCTGTTACATTAGTGAGTAGAACTAGAATCTAAGCAATTGGTGGTGTTTTATAACTGAATATGTTATAACAAAGCTGGATTATTAATATTATAATGTTGTGGGCTAAAAAAATTGGTCAAAGTCACTAACTTGGCATGAGTTGGAGACATGCTTGTGAAGAAAACCCTAGTTTTCTTACGATCCATATTGTTCTTCACCCATCTCAACATACTCTTCATCCCCATCCTGTACGCATCTTCAGTCGAAACCTCTGCGATAACCTTCTCTTTATCGTCAAACGATCCTTGCCTATATATATTAACACACAAAACAACATCAGAAACCATTCAAATATCATTGGTTTGCGTATAGTTATATGAAATGTGCTGATTTTAAGGTTAAAAAAAAATTGGTTACAAGATGTTCATCTTCAATCCAGTCATCCACCATAGATAAGTGTTGAAAACGATTATATCAACGCCTTTCCAGTGACGACCATGTTTGTTGATTGAGCCTTTTCTCACAATCCTATCTGATATTCTATGGACAATTGCATCGTCTGAATTCGATTCTAGAAGAAACGGTGCCCAATAGAACTCTATCGTCGCGTTATACTCCTGAGAATTAGACATCAAAATAGGTGAAATATTGAAAATACATAGACAAAAATAAGAATGCGATGATTTAAGTTTGAGTAAGATTGATTTACCTTGGCAGTGAAGACAGTGAGGGAACCAGAGGTTTTAATGGATTTCTGATCATCAGGGATAAGACGATGAAGAAGACAAATCATTGATACAAACATACCACGGTTCAACGAATCTCCTACGTACATCATCCTCTTCCCTCTCAATGTCTCTAACATCAACGTCGCGTTGAATCTAAAAAAGAGAAAACAGAGTAACCAAATGAAACAGAGAAAACAGAGGAAACAGAGTAATGAGAGAAAGAACTTACGAGGGAAGATCGCAGTGATTAGGTTGCCACCGCCAGAACTGGTAATCTTTGTCGGGACGGCCGTGTTCTTGACACGTAAGCTGAGGTTGAATGTACGGACACTCCCATTCCTCGTACGGTGGTCGGGAGATTTCGTCTCTCACCCACTTCCCACTGAATAGGTCACAACTTTCATCTGTTTTACCAATAGCAAACGCCGGTTTCTCCAATTTCTTGTGCTTCTCTTTAAAACACCCCAAATTCAGAAAGAAACACAATCTCAATGTCTCATTACTAGCAAGAATTCAAACAAGTGTTTAGTGCAGAAATATGTTACCGGGTGTCCGAGAAGGTGGAAGGACGAAATTTGGCTCGATCTGGCCAAAGATGCACATGAAGTCTTCGCCATAGAGAACAGAGACGAAGAGGATGAAGATTAGGAGTGTGAAGAGGTAAGGAGAGAGACGGGTTTTTCTTGGAAGTGAAGGAGGAAGGGAAGAAGAAGTGAAAGAAATTGGTGATGAAGGTTTCATGTTTAGGATTGAGAAAGAGAGAAGGATGAGTGTCAAAATTGTGATTTCAGCATTCAAATTTTATAACCAGTATTAGGAAAAGAGAAGAGATAGTTTAGAATGAACACTTTGGGTTCTTGATGATCTCATTCTCCTCAACCTGCAAATAATGTGGAAGGAGGAGGCCAAAAGAATTTTATTTTGGAATTGCTTCAAGAAATACTAAAGATTTGTGTTGTATAAACGATTAGGTAATTTATTATATGGTTATGATTATATGTGGTGATGAAAGTTTGTGAATTAGCAAATTAATGATGCTTAAGGTGATGAGTAGGTAATTGTTGACGCAAACGAGTGATTGTCTCCTATCTAATGATTTGATTTCGTAAGATATAATTCATTTATCTGTAAATGACAAATTAAAAAGGTTTTTTATATAGCAAATTCATACATTTGTGTTCTTAAGCTCATGTTTGTATCCTCGAATCAGCAAAAACGTATATTTTCTGTTTGGTTTATAGTATTCGATTTCGTAAACCAAATTTACACTAATTTCAAGACGAAACAATCCCTGACTTCATTATCAGACTACATCTAGTTTTTCTTATGTTTGATTTGGATTAATCCTCAGTTTCCATTGTTATTTGCCTATGAATGATACTCTTTTAAAATATGTTATCATAATTTTAATTTTAAATTTTTTTTTAGGCTTTTTATTTGTAGCTCCTATTGGAAAATATGAGATGATGACTAAAAAAGGTGAGGAATAATATAACTTCACTTGGCTTCTAAGCTAAGTGTCCTTGAGGTGTTTTCATACATTGATCGACTTGTAAATATTATCATTGTCTTCACTTTAGTCCGAAGGAATTTTGCTGTTACTTAGAAAACAATATAAATCAAAATTGATAATTAACGTCTATTAAAATTAATTACATACAACAAAACCTGTAACGAGAGTTGCATAGAATGAAAAAATTGTCATATATAACAATATATATATATGTGTATAATTTAATTACAGTATTTATGCAGAGAGTGCAATATGAAATGAAGAGTGGAATTAGTTGAGAATTTGTTGGGCTTTCAAGCTCAAGTAGTTGGCTTTCACTGTTCTTCTTTCTACAAACTCTTCACTCAACAAAACCTACAATACTTAAAATACTACAATATTCAAAATTGTAAGCCTTTTCAAAACGCTTCGTTGGCAAAAATGGTAAAGTGACTAAAACGTAAATATGATTTTTGAGTACGCAAAATGAGTTTAGATTATGAACCCCTTTTGTTAATCCCATAGATATAGATATGGATCTTAATTATTTATGTATATAGTCATAAATCAAGGGCTTGCTGTTAAAAAAAGGATAACAGATCTTGAGTTTTTTTTTTTATCAAATTTAAAACATTATAAAAGAAGAAAAAAATCCTGGGCGTTGGACCTAGGGCCCTCTCGCCATGGTTTAGCTGTGACTGCTCAGAAGTTGACTTGGGAATATGATGTTCGTTGACCATGACTAGACCCCCCGAATCTCTGAAATAGTGAACCAAAACAGCTCTGCAAGATCAAGGGAAACAGTAAGCCTATTGAAGTTACTTCTTAGACACAAATCCACCAGTAAGAGTAAATTGAAACACAGAACAATACCTGAGTTCTGTGAGGTACAGTGGCCCAGAAATCCAAATTTGGGATTACCTATAAAACAGGACGTGTAAACATTTCACTTGTGATGGAATCCGTGACACGAGAAAACTTTGCATACATATGAAGGAAGTTAGTAAAACATACATCTGTGCCACGAATTCCAAGGGAGAAATACCGATACAATACACCACCCAGCAGATAAGCTCCAAACAGGCACAAGATACTGAAAAAAAGATCAGAACATTTCATATCAAATTCTTTCAACAACATCTAAACATATTCTAATAACCCTCGAAGAAAAAAGAATGAAGGTGCTCACATGATTAGTAAGGTACTAAACCAGCCCCATCCACTACCATGGCCGGATATAGCTGCTGCACAACCTGAAGGATGTCGCAGCTCAGTAGCCTGTCAGTGAAACAAGATCTCCAATTTTATCGACTGGATGAGAAAGACATGACAAATGTCTTCAGTTTTATAGTTAAATAACTCTAACTGTGAAAACTCATGTCAATCACTCGCTAAACAGAAACCAAGGTTTATACTGTGCTTCCATTACTTTCTTCAAAAATTTTGTTTTGACTCCCAGGTTTAGATGAAAACACTTAAAACAAACTCTACAGTAAAAAGAGCATATAGATGAGTTATTGGACACTCACGTAATGACAAGTACCAGATTTCTCCAGAGTGAGTGGTACCTGAGAAATAAAAAAGGTGTATGAGGTTTTAAGTCCTAGAAACTGCTAAAAAACAAGTTCACTTAATTAACTCAAGTAAATCATCCTTACATTAACTTTATTTTTCTGGCAGATAACAGAAACTGAAAGTGAACAATTTTGGTTACTACTTCCACCTGACATCTTAACAATGATGCCTTTGCCAGGATCCTCTTTATCTACAGTATTCAAAACAAACATCTCTGAGACAGCATTGCCACACTATTGTAGAATAAAAAAGTTGGGAGAGAGGAACATTAGAAGCTTCGCTCCAACTTATAACGCACATAGTGCCAAGATTTCATCAGTACAACCGAGTAGAGAAAAATAGCCTCAATTCTCACACAAACGTACCAATAATATCAACTTTTGAGCTTGAGGCATGCCCTAGAGAACTGCATACATCATATCCTGCGAAAGGTAGATTTTTTAAAATGGTAACTTTTTCTCAGCTCAACGCACATAAACTGGATACACTTTTGAGTAAGGCAGATAATCAAAATCAACGCATTATATGCAATACTCAGCCACATAAGATCCATATATATCACATGCTGTAATGAGTGAGATTTTATACCTCTTACATTTTCTGACAATAATGCACTACAAGATGTTCCACAGTGTGATGGACCTCCGCAATCCTAAGTGGGGAAAAGGAGAGTCACAGAGACTGATTGAGATTTTCAAAGTGGAAACATAGCAACTCTTGCTTTCTGTTAAAGGGTAGATCAAGACAATGGAAATGGCCAAAAATCTTACTTTGCAACCAACACATCGAGGGGGATCGTGATTGAAAATCAACACGTCACAAAGCTGCTCCACAAGACGGTTTACACAAAAACAATAACAAATCATTAATCACACTGGTCTATAGAGTGAAACATAATGGGCACTATAAGTCTAAAATTATCAGGCAGCTGTAAATCTTCAACTCGAAATCAGCTAAATTCTGAAGACGTTCCTAAACAAAATGTGTCAAAGATTTGTATCTTTCTTCTATAATAGTTCCAATAACATATCTATTCCTTTTCCTTATCCTTGTGACCAGTTAGAGCGGGTACGAAAAGCAAGATACAGAGTTACACATGTCATCATCAGTGTAACAGAGAAAATTACAGAAACAAAGTGTAACCTGATGTAGAAGACAACCTGAAACCATAGCACGGTACTGTTCGCTTCAACTCTATAAAACCTGATTATCCAATTACTTGCATTTAGTAGAAGCAGAACACAAACGAAGTAACATAGAATGAGCAACGAACATTCTAATTTTAACACCGGTAACACCTAATGAGTGTTTAGCCCGGAGATCGAAAAGAATGTCAAAATCGTTTTTTGAATGCATCATCGAGGCACCACAAACGCGAAATTTAAGCATATAAGAACAGTAACATAGAGCAAAAGGGAATCTGAGGAAAAAAGGGGAAAGAGAAAATACCCATCTTCGCTGAGAGCTCCGTGAGGGAAATTCCGAATCGAAGATGCTAAATTGAAAGCAAAGACCTTGTTGCGTCCAGTGAAACTGAATTCACATTGAGAGTTAACTCGTAGGCTAATGAGCAGGAGAGTGATGATAAGAAATCTCGGAATCCAAAGCCTCCCAGACATTTCTTTTTCTCACAGCCTTCAATATTCGAGATTCTCCCCTACGATCTCATAACCATGTCCGAGGATCTCAACGGAGATGGCGAGAGAGATGAGTGAACGGCACGGCTGCAGTCGGGTCGCTGTTCTTCGTTTTACATCCGCCGTTGATTCTACGAGATTTCACTAGTACCCCTAAATTTTGTGGTTCTTATGAATAAGCCTAATAACTTTCGTATATTTCAAAGGGGTCACTTGATTATATTATTTCGGGCGGATTTGAAACCTGGATGTTTACTCCGTGATATCGCGCGGAATCGAGTATAGTTAAGAAAACAAGTGCAAGGTTTTAATATAAATCCATGTTGATGAAATCATTCATAACCATGTGGATTCATAACCTGAGAAAAAGATATAAGATATGAATAAATGACAAAAGTAATATTTTTAATGTTATGTTCTAAACAGTTTTTAATGTTCATGCTAATCTTGTTCACGTTGTAAGGAGTAGAATTTTATTTTTCTCCTTTAGGCACCACTACTGCTATCGAATTTAGTTATCTTTTCAAAACATTTTTTTTGGCATGACTAATAAAAAAATTGTTTTTTTGTTGTTCTCAAAAAATAAATATACATGTGCATATATACGGACGTAAACAGAAATAAAACAAAGTGTTTTCACTTCCTTATTAAACCAATCAAAAACTAACAAAATATAGATTAAGAGGAAGAAGAAGAAGCGTACATATATATATATATACACCAATAAGGCAATGATACAAATATGAAAATATCAAATACAACAAACGATCATTGCTCCGACCGTTTAATTAACCCAAACAGTGTTTAGGAACCATCTTCCCACTAGCAAAACCATCAACATTCTTACACACAGCAGTGGAAGAACCAGCTTTGACTCCATTATGCTTTAGATTAATGTCAATGAGTTCAACATTCTTGCATGGAAAGCTCTTGCTACATTGTAGATTCACTGCCACTTTATTCTTCGACGTTCCATATATGTTCCTTAACTTAAGGTTTTGTATCTGAACGTGAGACTCTCCCTGCAAGAATATTGAAACGTTAACTTTCTTTCTTTAATGGTTGTTTCATATGATGAAAGAAAAGAAAAGAAAAACTTATTTCTTGTGTAGAAAGCTAACCTTCTTTTCACAAGGTGGATGAGGACAATACTTCTGATCAATGTTGATTGGTTTTCCAACATTAATCATCTGAATATTCTCGTACACAAAATTAGAAACGACGATCTTGGACGCCGAAGATTCCCAAGTCTTAATCCGAATACCATCGCTTGTGCCGTTAAAAATTGTATCTCTTACTATTAAGTCCTTAACATCTTTCTCATCTTTGTTCTTCCCCAAGCTTCCGACACTAATCCCATGTCCGGGACCACACTTGACATTAGAGATATCCATGTTAGTAGTTCCAGAAAGAATGGCGATACAGTCGTCTCCAGTACCAATGTGTGTATTAGAGATGTGAATGTGGCTAGAGGAACCGAACTTGAGTCCATCGGTATTGGGGCTATTGTCAGGAGCCGTTATAGTGACACCGGTAATGTTGAAGTGATGAACAGAGAAAAAGTTGAAGTGTCCCATTTTGCTGTTAAGTGATGTTATCCCATTGATTCTTGAGTTGTTTACAAATGCAAATCCCATAGTCTACAAAAATTTCCAAGTTATTACAAGATTAGCCAAACTTGCATATAATATACTGTGGAGATTACCTCCTTCAAAACTATTTTCACAGTATTGATATTGTCTCTATTAAATAACTAATCTAAAAATTTAGGCGTTAAAAAATGATCAATAATTGAATTTAAGAATTTACGTTGTAAGAAAAAGAAATAATCAAATTACATTTTTTGTCATTGGATAGCATTTGTAATACAATTTAAATATAGATAATTAATAAGCATATAAATGCAATAAATAAATGGATTTAGAAATGGTACCATAGCTAGCTTAGGACAATTGGTGTTTTTGTGGCAGTCATTAAGTGGCCAAGACTGCTTCCCTTGGCCATCGAGTGTACCAGAACCGGAGATATAAAGATTATTGACGTATCTGAAGTTGATCCATGTGTCCTGCTTAATGTCTCTAGGGTTTGCAGGAGCCAGTAAAGTTCCATCGATGACAAATTCAATCTTATTTTTGCATGGTCCCACGAACTCTACACCACCGAGATAGAATGTTCCTTTCGGCACGTAGATCTTACTACTACTACTTACTCTTCTGCATGCGCTTTTCCATATATTTGTGAAAGCCTAAAATTGGACGGAGTGTTAAAAACGAGATAAGGAAATAATAAAACAATTTTTTTTCATAAGTTTATAGAAAAAAAGAAAAAAATAGATATTTCTTTTATGTTTCTATATATTGATCATCTACATACATTTGCATTATCAGTTTTTCCGTCAGGTATAGCTCCATAGCGTCGGACATTAAAAACTTTTGGCCTGTTGGTCGGACGAGTACTTGCAACGGTGATGAATAAGAGAGACAAACACAAAGCCTTAAAAGCAAAAACAATGCAAGCCATCTTCCTATTTTGTTTAGGGTATATGGAAATTATAAAATGTGTTATTTATAAATGCTTTTGTTTAGACACAATGAGAAGTATTGTCCCACTTCATCTGCTTATATAGTGTTAATATGGCTGGATTAACTGCTAAATTCTATATTAAAAGAACTTGATTTTTGTTACTAATTATCGGCTAAAAATTGGGTTTGTTTCTTCTATATTGATTTTTAATGGTTAATTTCTTGTTATGGAGATTTTCGAACGTGTATGATTTCATTTTGTTCCCTCCTCTAAAACAGAATCTTAATTTTGGTGAGAAGCCAATTAGATTTACCAGTAAATTGTTTTGGTTAATACTTTGTTTTGAAATAATTCCATTTGTACTGATATGTAAACACGCTAAATCATATATATATATATATATATATATATATATTTAAATTTATTGCATGTATAATGATACTAAATTAAAACCATAACGATACTATCAACAAACCAAATATAATGGCTAATTTTTTAACTACTATTTTCTATGAGGTTTGATATACCTGGTTAATTTGATGGAACAGTCTTTTGCTATATTTGGATGCATAGAGGCTTGGCTAGCTTAAGCAACAGCTTTCTTGCATTTGAGGAAAAAAAATGTCGAGCATTAGAGTTTCTTTGAGCCGGCGGGAGAGCAGACCCAATGACGTTTTACCACCCACATGTCGATTGGAAGTACGTATGGTCGTTTCTTTTATAACATTTGTATACACATTGCACTTTATCAAACGATTTTAAAATTTAGTTATAGATAGACATATATACATCATTATTTAACGTGTTAAACATTGATATATCAAACTTTATCTTAGATACAAATACAATCAACACTAAATACCATCTCAAACTTTCGCTGGCGCTTTTAATCATCTGTAAATAACAACTTAGCAACTCACCATGTTTAATCTTTGCCATTTAGCAAACTGTGTAAATATTAGGTTGAGTAAATAATGAAACATGTCAATTTCATCAACATAAAACAAACTTATGCATCTTCCTCAACAAAGGGATGATCCTTTTCTTCTTTTTTTTTGAAAAAGGGATGATTCAATTTGGTATAAGAGAATACAACTTAGGAAAATAAATAGAGAGGGCCAAGATATTCAATTAGTCACGGATAAAACGAAATTCCAGCTACGCAGTAGAACCACAAGCTTGCCACGCGCCTAAACCTATCTCTCAATCCTAAACGTACACGTGTCTACCATCCGAAGCCTCATCATCAATCCATCGCAATCTCGGTTTTAATATTCCTCCCTCGCCTCACAAAATATCCCAATTCTGCATCCTCCAATTTTCTCGCTGAGAAAAACTTTCCACTCTCACAATCTCTAACAGTCAAAATGCTTCTCAAGGCTGCTTCTTGTTCTTCTGCTTTCTCGCTGGGGATGAAGGATGTTTCTCCTTTGTTATCATCCGTTTCGTCTCCAATCGACTCCTCCTCGAGTCTTCGTGTTTCTTCTTCTGGTAAATCTGGAAACCTCTCCTTCTCCGTTCGCGCATCGTCCAAGGGATCAACCACCGATGCGCTTATCGGCGTCGTTTTTCAGCCGTTTGAGGAGGTCAAGAAGGAGCTCGAGCTCGTCCCAACCAGCTCTCATGTCTCTCTCGCCCGACAGAAATACTCAGACGAGTGCGAAGCTGCCATTAACGAGCAGATCAAGTACGTTTCCTCTCTCATCACCTCCTCTTTCTTGATAGAACTGAGAGATTCGGTATTGTAATCTGGTTGATTAGCTTTAACATTTGGTTATTGAATTGAACCTCATGTCGATTTTGTTTATGGTTTATCCTGTGGATGCTGATATTCTTTGACTGGTTTTGACCGCAGTGTGGAATACAATCTTTCGTATGTGTATCACGCTATGTATGCTTACTTCGATCGGGATAACGTCGCGCTCAAAGGTCTTGCCAAGTGAGTCTCCGGTTATTTAAGAGTGTTGATAGTTTCGGTGTTTTTGTTTTTTTTTTTGTCTATCCATTTTCAATTGTTTGTTTCTTGGTATCAGATTCTTCAAGGAATCGAGTGTCGAAGAAAGAGAGCACGCTGAGAAGTTGATGGAGTATCAGGTCCTAGGAGATATATCATTTCCATTTTTTTCTCATAATTCGTAAACCGTATTTTTTGGTGCTGATTAGGTTCTAACATGTTCTTGATTTTTTTTCCATGAATTGCAGAACAAACGTGGTGGGAGAGTTAAGTTACAGTCCATTGTAATGCCTCTCTCAGAGTTTGAACACGTTGATAAAGGAGATGCTCTATATGGTAAGCTCAAAAGTTGCTATTACTTTGTTACTATAGATGCTTTATCCTCGTTTTTGTGTTTGTAACATGACAATCCCAAGTTAAATTTATCTTTAGTTTTATAACTACTTCACGGAGTCATAAAATTTGGCATCAATATTATGTTTGTAAAAAAAGCTTTAAGAGATTACGATTTTTTTCATCAGCAAGAATCGATTAGTATTAGCTGGTACTTGTTAGATATCATGAACATGTCTCATAAGGAGATTGATGTCTCAATGGAATGTACGAGTTTCCCTTGATTTATAAATGAAACATATTTGTTGTTGCAGGCATGGAGCTGGCTCTGTCACTGGAGAAACTAGTTAATGAGAAGCTCTTAAACCTCCACAGTGTAAAAAACCATCTCTCTCTTTAACCCATCCTCGAGTTTCAAAAATCCTGTTTGAAGAGTACAATCTAATTTTCATCTCCGCAAGAACTATTCTCAATGTTGTTATCATTTGTTCAACAGGTCGCTTCCAAGAACGGTGATGTCCACTTGGCAGATTTTATCGAGAGCGAGTTCTTGACCGAGCAGGTAAAATTATTTGGTGTTCTATGTTAATGGCAAAGATATGCTTTGGTATTTTTAAGCTGTCAAAGAGAATCTAAATAAGAATTTTGACCCACAAAAAAAAAACAATATTTTTTCAGGTGGAAGCAATCAAGAAAATCTCAGAATATGTAGCTCAACTACGAAGAGTTGGCAAAGGACATGGTACATAATAGTCTCATTCATTTTGTTTTCATATAAAGATATAATCACGTATTCATTTCTAATTTATTTGTTTGAATGTTTGTGGTGATCTTCAGGAACATGGCATTTCAATCAGATGCTTCTGGAAGCGTAAGCCGAAGGAATAAGGTCCAGTCTTGGTTCTAACACATGGCCAGAGGGCGACCATCCAACGCCCAGATTTTTTTTTTTGATGTTTTAAATTTTGATAAAAAAGGATCATGATCACATGTATTATCCTTTTTTTTTTTACTGCAAGCCGTTGTTGACTGTTGACATGTTACATTGTGATCTGTTCGAAGTCCAAATATGTTGACTCGGGCCCTATCATATCATATGATTAGTCTAGTGCTGATTAAGCAAACAAAAGTACGTAATTCCTCATGAACAAAACCAAAAAAAAAAGAGAGAATTCATCATGAACAAATTAAAAAATCCGATCCAAACTTAACAATATGGGCCGTCGGATTTTTGGCCCAGTTAAAACCTACTTTTGTACCCTAATTCTTCTTCCGAGTTCTGGAAAAAACAGAACGGCGCTTACACATTTGTATTCCTTGCTCGTCTCTTATCAGTTATCTCTAGCCAAAGAATCAGCTCGCCTGATTGCTCCGTCTCTTAAAACCCTAAGTGTCTCCGCCTCAGAGCTCTTTTCCGATTAAACAAAGAGTTAATTTCGCGTGATCTGTAGCTGTATCGAAATCTTTCAATCATGGCGAGTCAAACACCGAATCTCGAGTGCCGGATGTACGAGGCCAAGTATCCAGACTTGGATATGGCGGTGATGATTCAGGTCAAAAACATAGCCGATATGGGAGCCTATGTTTCACTGCTCGAATACAACAACATCGAAGGCATGATCCTCTTCTCCGAGCTCTCTCGCCGTCGGATCCGAAGTGTGAGTAGTTTGATTAAAGTCGGAAGAATTGAGCCTGTTATGGTTCTGCGTGTGGACAAAGAGAAGGGATATATTGATCTGAGCAAACGTAGGGTCAGCGAGGAGGATATTCAGACTTGTGAAGAGAGGTATAACAAGAGCAAGCTCGTCCATTCTATCATGCGCCATGTTGCAGAGACTCTATCGATCGATTTGGAGGTAAAGTCTCCGAAGAATGTTGTAATCGATATAGAATTTTGGGATTGTCTGCTGCATCTGGTTTTGACGATTATTGTTCATCTGAATTCCTGGATTTGCTGGTTTCATAGAAGATGATACAATTTAGCTTAAAAGCTAATACCATATCTAGTAATGCGCAGATGTGTCGCTTTTCGTTGAAGGTGTATTAGAAGCACTCTTGTTTTGGTGATGAGTGTAATTATTTCTATGGTGTAGTTTCATGAAATGCGTAAAGGCATTGTTTATGCAATGTCTTCATCTATTGTTGAAGATTTTGAATATAAGTACGACCATTGTGTGGGAGGAGAAGTCTCTGTATTTCTTGTTCTGACAGATGCTGAGACTTGAAACTGTCAGATTATTGATTTTTCTCCTATATGTTTAGCGATGGAATTCTCTTGATTTAAGTGATATCCTAGTTTGGTGCTGTTATCTTTGATTATAAACTGATTCGAGTTTTTCTATCGTAGGAGTTGTATGTGAACATTGGTTGGCCTTTGTACCGAAAACATGGTCACGCTTTTGAGGTAAGAATTTGTTAAATGTTAATTCAAGTCCATTTGATTAGATATTTATTTCTGAAGTAAACATATTTTTGTTATGTTCAGGCCTTCAAGATCTTAGTGACTGATCCTGATTCTGTGTTGGGTTCTCTCACACGTGAGATCAAAGAAGTCGGGCCTGATGGACAGGAGGTTTACTTTGTTCTCTGGTTTTGTTTTGGTTGTTAGTATAATCTTCCGTTTGGTGCTAATGTTACAAAGTGTTCTATTTGTAGGTGACTAAGGTTGTACCCGCTGTTACGGAAGAAGTGAAAGATGCACTTGTGAAGAACATTAAGAGGAGAATGACACCACAGCCAATGAAAATCCGGGCTGATATCGAATTGAAATGTTTTCAGTTTGACGGAGTTGTTCACATTAAGGTTGTTACTCTTCGTGGATTATCTATTAATAATGACATGTTGATTACATTTCATTTTCTCATACCCTACACATACTTGCATTTTCAGGAGGCCATGCGAAAGGCTGAAGCTGCTGGAAACGAAGACTGTCCTGTTAAAATTAAATTGGTTGCTCCACCTCTTTATGTTCTTACAACTCAGACACTTGACAAGGTTAGGCAATCTTTTTTTTTTGGATCAACTGTTAGGCAGTCTTGTATCTTGAATTTTAATTTACATGATTGATGTTCTTACATAAACCCTCTCCTCCTTATATTGTTAAGTGGTTTATGATCTATATTCAGATTGTATATACATATCAAAGCAACTTACCATATTTTCCTATAGCAATAGGTGAAACCATTTACTTGCAAGGTAAGCACAGGCCGATATGCTAATGTTGTCTCTTGAACCATTTAAACAGGACCAAGGAATTGAAATTCTAAACAAAGCCATAGCAGCTTGCACTGAGACAATTGAGACACACAAAGGCAAGCTCGTCGTTAAGGAAGGAGCTAGAGCTGTGAGTTTTTGTTTTTGTTTTCATCTTCTTAACTGTTGAGCTTTCCCAAGTTGCACTAGCTTTCCTTTCTTTGAGAGGTTGACTTTCTTATCTGTGTTTTTGACAGGTGAGTGAACGAGATGATAAGATGCTGACTGAACACATGGCTAAGCTACGGCTTGACAATGAAGAAATTAGCGGCGATGAAGAAAGCGGAGAAGAAGAAGAGGACACCGGCATGGGCGAAGTTGATATCGATGGTGGCGCCGGAATCATTGAGTAGGAAGATTTTGCCGGTTTTACGGTTTCAGTCTAATTTTCATTCTGTGTTGTACCCCAATCTCAACTAGTATTTTGCTTTAAAGTTTGACAGGCAGTAGAAAACCTCCCGAGAGGATTTGTGTTTTTTTACCGTTACATATCAATCATTATTACATTCATGATTTTATAAAGTTTGATTATTTTGCACTAGACATTGTTACTCCATCCACTGCCTCTGGCTCTGTAATAATATACTACAAAAACAAAAAACAATTATGTTCATATGGTAAACTCCTTCGATCGATATGTTACTGACCACATTACTTAGAATTATCGACTTTTTTAAAAGACATACCTTTGAGTTTAGACCTGGTTAGCTTTGGCGATGGTAACTTGGTAAGTATGGCCATCATCAATACTACATTTAATCAGATCTGATCATCTTCCAAGATGCAGACTCATCAATTATGTCTGAGATCCTATATCGAGAATTGTGTATAGTATATAACCAAAAAAAAAATATCCGAGTAACTCTTGATTACAACGACCTTTCTCTTTTTCTACGTATCCTCACAAAAAATTAACTAGTTACAAGATTGAAAATACACAAAAATTAAATAAAATGAATCATCATCATGTCAACAATTGCGAAGTTTTCATTTTTCACGAATCCAACAAGAAAATAAAAACAAAAAACAAAAATCCTTTTCGGGCAAAAATTCCTTCTTTTTACTCTGTCGGCACGTCAAATTCCTTCGGGCAAGAATTGCTTTTACTGGTTTATTGTTACTTTATTTTATTTGCTCTGCTAAAATCGAAATGTGAAAGTTGCGACTTTTCGAGCTCAGCTTCTTCCCTGAAACGCGGTCTCGTACTGTTCCCGTCTCTAATGATCCTTCTTCAATGGCGATATCCGTACAACACGTCGTCGTTTTACTCCTCTCCTCTCTACTCATCGCCATCACCGTCTTCCTCTTCACCTCCGATAGCGCCAGATTCTCCTACCCTTCTCTCTCCGCCGATTACACACCAAAACCCAAATCCCCAAATCCTCAAACCGTCGACGTCTCCTCCGATCAAACTCCGCAGAAGATGAAGCTAAACGCTTCCCACGAGGAGGTGGAGCTGAAATGGGATCTGTGTAAAGGCGCAGAATCTGTTGATTACATACCTTGTCTAGATAATTACGACGCCATTAAGCAGCTCAAATCGAGGAGGCATATGGAACACCGTGAACGGCATTGCCCTGAACCAAGCCCGAAATGTCTCGTACCCTTGCCGGATAATTATAAGCTGCCGGTTCCGTGGCCCAAGAGTCGGGATATGGTGAGAGACAGTTCCTGTTTTTGTTTTTGGTAAGATTTGGTTGCTGTTTTTTTCTTTGGGAGTTTATGGTTAGTGAATTCGTAGTGATATTGAAAGCTGATTCAGCTTGATCTGAAGATATATGATTTAGTTAAGTCCTGCGAGTAACCCATTTAAGTATATATTTAGTTTAGTGTTTTTGTAAAGGGAAAGCAGAGAGTTCCGTTTTCAGAGTCTGATATATTACAAAGTTTAAGGCTTTACCATTTGAAGTGTATAGAAGAAGTTATATTAGTTCCATAAATGGTGTAATTGCATGATCTTGGATTGCTATTGGAACATTTCTTCAATTGTTTCCTCTCTTGATGTGCAGATATGGTATGACAATGTTCCTCACCCCAAGCTTGTTGAATACAAGAAGGAACAAAACTGGGTTAAAAAAACCGGTGAATTTCTAGTTTTTCCTGGAGGAGGTACTCAGTTCAAATTCGGGGTTACTCATTACGTTGAGTTCATCGAAAAGGTCAGCACTTTTTGTTGTTGTTGTTGTCGTTATTATTTGTTTGCCCTGTTTGTTTGAATCGAAAGCATATATCTTTGTGTTAAATTCATTTCACATTTTCACAGGCTTTACCGATTATCAAATGGGGGAAAAACATAAGGGTTGTATTAGACGTTGGTTGTGGCGTCGCTAGCTTTGGCGGGTTTCTATTAGACAAAGATGTCATTACGATGTCGTTTGCGCCTAAAGATGAACATGAAGCTCAGATTCAGTTTGCGTTAGAACGAGGAATACCTGCAACACTTTCTGTTATTGGAACGCAACAGCTAACATTCCCGAGCAATGCATTTGATCTGATCCATTGTGCACGGTGCAGAGTCCATTGGGATGCTGATGGTATTTTTTTGTCCACTTTTCTTTTTCACTCTTAGCGGTTAATCTTCAAGTTTTCATGGTCTTTACGGTTTATTTTGTTAGGTGGGAAACCGTTGTTGGAGCTCAATAGGGTACTCAGGCCAGGAGGTTTCTTCATATGGTCTGCAACGCCGGTTTATCGAGATAATGACAGAGATAGCAAAATTTGGAATGGTTCGCAACAATCATTTTCTTAATTTGGTTTATTCAAAACATTAGTCTTTGGTCTTTATGGTTTTTATTGTTACGATTTCTGTTTTGCAGCGATGGTTTCTCTGACTAAATCCATATGCTGGAAGGTCGTGACAAAGACAGTTGATTCCTCGGGAATCGGACTCGTGATCTATCAAAAGCCAACTTCAGTATCATGCTATAATAAACGCAGCACGCAAGATCCACCTCTATGCGTTGAAGAGGAAGTAAATGCTTCATGGTATGAAACAGTTACACATAATGATGCTTCAAATTCACATAAAGTTCACTCTTTTATACCATTTCCCTTTTTGATACATTTTCTTAGGTATGCTCCTCTTCGCCAATGCATTTCCAAATTACCGAAGGGGAATGTCCAGAGTTGGCCTGAACTATGGCCTAAACGGCTTGTGAGTGTTAAACCTCAAAGCATTTCGATTGAAGCGGAAACATTCAAGAAAGATACAGAGAAATGGTCAGTGGTTGTATCTGATGTCTATCTTGAACGTTTAGCTGTAAACTGGTCGAGCGTGCGGAATGTGATGGACATGAACGCCGGTTTTGGCGGGTAATTTAATTTTACATTCTCTTTAAACTTATAACCAGACTCCGGTTTATCTCAAACCGAATCTTGACACATTTATGTTTTTCTTTCTGATGACAGTTTTGCTGCTGCACTTATAAATCGACCTCTCTGGGTGATGAATGTTGTTCCTGTGGATAAACCTGACACTCTCTCCATCGTTTTTGATCGAGGCTTGATCGGAGTTTACCACGATTGGTGCGAGTCCTTGAACACTTACCCGAGAACATACGATCTGCTACATTCCAGTTTTTTCCTGGGTGGTCTCACAAAAAGGTATCTTGTTCTCGTTTAGATTTGGTTTGGTTTGAAAAATTCCAAGTCATGTTAAGCTTAAACAGAACCCGTTTTGTTCCAAGAAAACGGTTTGATATTGCGGTTAGTGTGGTTAAGCTAATTACGGAGACCATTTGTTGGTGTTTTTGGGGGTCAAAATTCAGGTGTGACATTGTACAAGTGGCAGCTGAGATTGATCGGATAGTGAGACCAGGCGGATACCTTGTGGTACAAGACACCATGGAAACGATAGAAAAGCTTGAAGCCATACTTGGTTCGCTTCATTGGTCAACCAAAATATACCAGGAGCGGTTTTTGGTTGGTCGGAAGGGATTTTGGCGTCCCGATAAATCGGAGATCTGATAAAGAGGAAGAGAACTTAAAGAAGCATAATATAAAGTAGCTAAGTGGTTTCATTTGTACACTATCAATGACACGACCAGATTATATCAAAGTTATATACCCATTTCTGATTTTGAACGAAATCAAGTTACTGAAATCGAAAATTTGCTTTATTTTCAGTTAGTAATCAGTACACCAACCTCCAAACTGGAAAAGAAAAATTTAACTGAGTCGAATTTAGACGAGTAATAGAAAAATATGTTTATACATTAAAAATTGTGTTTGTCATTTTCTCACTAATAAAAAAATTTATAACTAGGAAATTCTTGTAAATTGACCATGATAAAATACTAGTTTCTTAAAACGAAAGTATAAATAAAGCTGTAAAATACTCTTTACCAACAATGTTGAATGATTTAGTATGAGAAATAAATTAAATGTTAAACCATTTTGGGTAAGAAATGTTTTCTAATTGTATTAGATGCTGTCCTTATCCACTGCTTCTTCACTCGTTAACAATAAATAAATAAATCTTACTCGTTCACTCTTCTGTAATTTTAAACTTTTTCACTATCCTCCCGATTTCCGCCGTTGATTCGCCGTCTTCCCTGATGTTCCCGAACTGGCTTCAACTGCGAAGAAGACGTCACGAAATCTCGCCGGACTCGCCGAGATGGTCGAGACGTTTCTCATGTTCATCTTTCAAAGACATTGAACACCTTCTCTACGACGATGTTCCCTCGCCGGAACCCTATTCTCCGAGACTTCAAATCCTCCATCAGCCTCGGAGCCCGAGGATCGACGGTAGTAACTCACCCGCCAATTTCGTCCCGCCGCCGCCGCCGACGACGACTCTCTTCTCCGTCGTGGATATCCCCAACGCCGATCACGGAGGCGTGGTTCTCTACTATACCAGCCTTCGAATCGTACGGAAGACATTCGAGGAATGCAGATCCGTGAGATCGATTCTCCATAGGATCCGAATCCCAATCGACGAGCGAGATCTATCGATGGATTCGAGATTTCACGACGAGTTACAGACGATTTTCGGAACGAGGAGAGTTGCGTTGCCTAAGGTTTTCATCGGCGGGAGATACATCGGAGGGACGGAAGAGATCAAGCAGTTACAGGAGAGAGACGAGCTGAGGAAACTGATCGGCGAATTACCACCGTCGGATGGAAAAAAAATCGGCGAGATCTGCGATTTGTGCAGAGGATGGAGATTCGTTCTGTGTGAGAGGTGTAATGGTAGTCACAAGATCTTCTCTGAGAAATCTGGATTTATTAGCTGTACGGGTTGCAATGTGCAACGTCTGGTTAGGTGTTCGTTGTGCTTTCCGGTGCACCGGCGACGGAACTCTGATTTCTCCGGTGGATTTAAAAGTAAGAATTGAAATGTATTTTTTATTTTTAAACGCCTAAAGAAAAGGTAATAAGTGAATTTTTAGGAAGAGTCAAAATGTTTGACTGCTCTTTTTAGTTTAACCAAAAAAAAAAAATCTAATGTTTGACTAGCTTCACCCCATTTGTCTGTCAATGTACATGTATTTTCCCTTGATGAAAAATTGGAAATATGCAATAATTTTATTTTCTTATTTTGCTAACAGTATTCTTTTTCAAAATATTGGATATCAAAGTGTATATAAGTTATAAAGTATTTGGATGCAATAATCCATTTGAAATTTGAATATTTTCCCACCCTTTTTGTGTTGTTGGATCAAAGCATTTATGCTATAAGAAATCTATACTAAAGCCCATAAGAAAAACAAGTTGTTCATGTTAACAAATGAGTAGTTTGATGGGAAGCCCATTTAAGTTTTCCATTGAATACTCTAAATTTCAATTGATTGGTGACCAAAGACCAGACCACGAGGATCCCACATGGCCAAAGATTTGGAGACGAAGAAAGCAACAGCTAAGCAACCTCCACATTGAATTAGTCACAACCTCTTATCTCCTATCCTCCACAAATACTTAATTAAGATGACAATCATTCCTTCAACTTCAATCATTAACATATCACTCCAAACTTACGTGGCTTTTTGGATTTCTTTTTATTTTTCGAAATACTTTGGTTGAATTTTATAGCCAAATAAAAGTAGTAGGAAAAAACCAAGAAAATAAAGATAGGAACCATTTGCTACGCCATAAGTCATTTTCGACGGTGGCTGGCTTATTGGCCGTTTTCTTTTGAACCCTTTTAGTACTTGTGTCACTACATTATTTGTATGTATCAATAAGCTTATTTTTTAGTAGGTAAGTTCTATAATTTATCGTCGATATTAACCCTGTATTATCCACGTTTTTGCCGCCTAACTTATTTCAAACCGATAATACCAAATTACCAATGCTGGTTTTGCTCACAGTGGTTTGCAATAAGTCATTGTCCAAACATTGTATGTAACAATTATTTGTTCCAAAACGAAATTTTTCTGGAAGATTTTGATTTTATGATAATGGTTTAATCTTTTTACTCTTGAGAAAATAAGTCTACTATTATTTCAGCTCGGATCGGTTTGTTTTTTTTTCTGTTCAGTTCATTCGGGTTTGACTGATTGAAATTTGGTTGGGATTTGGTATGGTTATATACTGAACATTTTTTTCTTAAATATTTTAACTTGTGTATATATTATACAAGTTTTCGTATACGGAAATGTCCTTTTATATATTAATTAAAACGTTAATTTAATTTTAAAATAATTTTAGTTTTTATTATATATTTATGCCCACCCCTACAGTAGTGTTAAAGAAGTTTGATTACTTCATAAAAGAAACATTTTTGAATATTCTACATTTCTATGCATAGCACCCTTAATGCCTTTGTTCTTCTCGTTGACCCAAAGGCAAAACAAATTCCACAGTTTAGTTTCCTTTATCGGCCAAAACACGGCGCACGCGCTTTCACTCAGAAAATGAAAAAAGTCTAATAATAATAATCTTCTCTTTTAGAGTCTCCTTTCGTCTTCAGCTTCTTCCGGTTATTTTTTTCTGCTAATAATCTGTAAATCTCGGGTTCAGATCAAAACTCGATTTCATCATCTTCTGCGTTCTTCCTGCTCAGCTCTTCCACATATTGTTTCTTGTCTTCTCGAGTTTTTCTTACTCTTTCGATGAATGAGAACCGGAGATCCATTCGATCTATGCTCAAAATGCGTTCTCTTGTGGCTTTTGTGGTCTTTCTTTGCTTCGGTTCGTGTTATTCGCTCAAGGAAGAAGGTAGAGCAAGTTTTTTTCGTTTCTCTTACTCGTTTTGCATGTTTTGTTTAGTTGCAGTCTTGCAGAGATACATAATCCAGTTTCCTGAGAAAGCTTTCCTCCTCCTCTGTTTCGATTTTCGTTTATCAGGTGTAGATTTCATGAAAAGTGAAGATAAATTGGGAAAGGATCTATGGTCAGACGAAGATTCCGCGATTTGGTAAGTAGCTGCTGCTTCAGCTTTCTCTGTGATTTGTAGTTCGTCGACAAGTTTGAGCCTGAATTTAACTTCATCTTGTTGATTTTTAAATTTAGATCACTTTGATTTTCAAAATTCAAGTCCTCCATTCGAAGCTAGACCATTAATCTTCTTCAACTTGTGCTGATTCAGTTTCTCATTTGGTTGGGAATTATTTGCTAAGAGCTAATGACTCTTGAAATTCGATTTGCTACTTTACTCGTGATTTATCTGGAATCTGCAAACCAAAATGTTATCGAAAGATTATTTTTTTTTTGGTATAACAACAACACAAATATAGTTGGGGGCTTGGTCGATCTACAATTTCTACAATCACTCTATAACTTTAGTGACTTCAAATAAGTGATTTCATCCTTATGTGGAAATAATCTGTTGTTAATTGTAATCTAACCAACACGAGATACTTTTTTTTGTAGGAAAGCTGTTGGATTTCACAGGAAAACACTTGTCCGTAGTAAGCAACTCACATACAACGATTTGCCTTCAAGAAAAAACCGCCGTGATGCCGCAACTATCACACCACCACCATCATCGCCGCAGCAACCTTCTCCAAAACGTGTTTCAAGAGTTTCGGAGCCACAAAAGAAATCAACTACACAACATGTTTCTCCTACGCCTCCACCATCTGTGACTCTTGCAAACTCTCCCACTCCAAGAACCTCTGGTTCTTCTTCAGTGGTTGTTCCTGTAGTGGTTGGCTGCGTAGCCGGTGCTGTCTTGCTTCTCCTCGTAGCTACCTGCGTGTTCTACTATCTCAGAAGTAAAGCAGGAAAACCCGTGAATCCTTGGCGTACAGGTCTTAGCGGACAACTTCAGAAAGTATTCGTAACTGGTAATTTTCTTTTCTCAACTGTTACAGTTTATGAACAGTGTGAGATGTTTACATATGTGTGATTTGATACCTCAGGTATCCCTACTCTCAAAAGATCTGAGATTGAAGCTGCATGTGAAGATTTTAGTAACGTTATTGGATCGTGTCCCATTGGGAAGCTGTTCAAAGGAACATTATCAAGTGGAGTGGAGATAGCTGTTGCTTCTATTGCTACTACTTGTTCCAAAGACTGGAAGGACAATACAGAAATGCACTTCAGGAAAAAGGTATTTCTCACCCAATCGATTCGTAGTGGTGTTTCTATTCTATGGCCATTAGTAAAGTTATCTTTTCTGTTTTCGCGGTTGCAGATTGAAATGTTATCAAAGATAAACCACAAGAATTTCGTAAACCTTCTTGGATTCTGCGAAGAAAAGGAACCTTTCACAAGGATCTTGATCTTTGAATATGCGCCAAACGGGTCACTCTTTGAGCATTTACACTGTAAGCACGTACTCAGAGTGTACATTCACTGTCAAGAGGCCACATCGCGGCTCAGTTTCTTTGTGATCTAAATGGGAAGCAAATCTTGTTCTTTTTTTCTTTTCTTGGCAGATAAAGAGTCAGAACATCTGGACTGGGGAATGCGGTTAAGAATTGCGATGGGTTTAGCATATTGCCTTGACCATATGCACCAACTAAATCCACCCATAGCTCACACCAATCTCGTCTCATCATCTCTTCACCTCACAGAGGATTATGCTGTGAAAGTAGCTGATTTCAGTTTCGGTCCATCAGAGACAGAAACGAGCACCAACACAGTCGAAGAAACACACATCTCAGCCTCAAACCCACAAGACAACGTTTACAGCTTCGGTTTACTGTTATTCGAGATGATAACCGGAAAACTCCCAGAATCGGTCAACAAACCCGACTCAGTGGATACAGGGCTGGTCGATTTCTTAAGAGGAGAGACTCTAGCCAAGATGGTAGATCCAACACTGGAATCTTATGATGACAAGATTGAGAATATAGGTGAAGTGATCAAATCATGCGTGAGGACCGACCCGAAAGAGAGACCTACAATGCGAGAAGTCATGGGATGGTTAAGGGAGATCACAGGAATATCGCAAAATGATGCTACACCGAAACTATCACCTCTTTGGTGGGCTGAATTGGAGGTTTTGTCCACGGCATAAGACACAGCCCATTCACAACAAAGCTGTTTGTATTTTGAAGATGTGTGAGTTTTGTAAGTATCTTTTGTAGTTAATCTACTCGAAGTGAAAAAAAAAAAAACAAGAGTGAAGTTACTTATTGCTTTAATTAGGTAAATCTATAAACATGTATAGATAAGTTAGTGTATATATCGGACAGGAATCTTGTAAATGAAAAAAATCTCGCAAAATCATTCGGGTTCAAGTTTATTTAGCATATACCCAGAGGAGAAGCAACCATCGGGTATAGAATTCTTACGAAAAAACATTTCTTGACAACGCAAAATCACCATTTTGTTAATACGATTAACTTCAAAATGTATATATTCAATTTTAACTTGCCTTGGTTTTTGTTTCTTTTGACTAGATTAAAAATGTCAACATCTGACTATATACATATTACATTATATTTTGTTTGTGTAAAAATGTACTCCAATTGTAATATGTTAAAAACAAAAATGTACTCCAACTGTGTAATATGTTTCAGATGATGTTTAATCTTTACCCTTTTTTAAAAAAACTGATTAGGGTACAAATTAAACACCCTTAATTCAAACCAAATAAAAAGGCAGTAATGCAAAAATTGATACAAAAAGCCGATGGATATTAATTTCCATTGTTGTTGACTATAGTAATTGTTTAACTGAATACCAAATTTATATCATAAGTTCATAGTTGTTGACTATAGTAATTTCTATTGTTATATCATAAGTTCATAACAATGCATGGAAATCCTTGAAAGAACGTGCCAAAAAGCTGATGGAATTTGTATCCACGTAAACATGAATATCTTTTCTTTTTCGTATTATTTGATTTTGGGTTTTGACATTTAAATTAACTTTAGCCAAATACTGTAAAGTTAAATCGAACAGTTCAATTTTGTATTTGAATTTGTAACAACCCATAGAATATAATCAATATATTAGTTGTTTAGTTATTTTAAAGAAACTACACTGTTTTGAAATAAATATAGCCCAAATATATAATTAATTGTGATCGGTTAAAAAAGCTAAAAATTGCTTCTGCAGTTTCTATATTTAGAAAGCCGGGGATTCAGAAGTAAGACGAGATACGGCTTGAAGTACATGGACAATATTTGTAACTAGAAATTTGTTGGTTTTTTCGTTTTTCCTTTTTTCGAACCTTGTGTGATAATTTCCTTGTATACATTTAATCCAAAGCAAACTTTGTGCATCAACTAAAAAAAGAGACCATGTCACAAACAGGAGAGAGCTCAGACACTAGACCTGCAGAGATAAGCACATAAGAAATGAGTCGTTGTGTTGAGTTTATTGATTACGTTTTTCATTTTTGTAGTTAAGTTTTGTAATGCAAAAGACGTAATTAAATATGTGTTTTTTTATGTTGATTATCTCAGAAATCATTTTTTCACAGTTTTTTTCATTTTAAATTGAGACTGGTTACGGTTTTTGCAGATTGCATTCATTGACTTTAGCTTCATACTTTACTCTATATCTTCCTTTGTTTGCACCATCACTTTCTTCATCTCAAAAGACGTATAAGTACCCTGCAAAACAGACAACATCAATCAAACAAAACTGTATTGAAAAGAGTATCGTACTCTCACATATCTACGCTTCTTTTTTTGACCCTCACCATTTCAGAGCGCAATTCGGAGAAGAGTGCAACTTCAGCATATAGATAAAGCCACTCATTCTCTCGCAACTCCGATTCTTTCACCTACACATTAAACAAATAAATTCAGTTGAAAAAAGAAAGACAATCTTGATGTCAGTTAAAAAAGCTGACGCTTCACCTCATACAAGTGTAGCGGCTTATCATCACTCTCATCATTCAGTGGCCAGTCCGGCATATCAGTTTTGTAGAAGTCATCTATAGTATCAAAGTCCCAAATGGTAGTTGCATCTCCAAACCCTACAACATTCCTAAAAGATTAGCTCCATGAATGATGAATATACGGAAACATTCAATACAATGTCAATGATTACACTCCACAAGCACGCATAATGACATCTTTTCACACACAATGATAATATATACCTGGTACTTGAGGCTTAATCCTGCATATTTTTGTCATTAGTATCAAGCTTACTTTCTTCCCCTTCCCTGCATCTGTGACCATGGTTTGGAAAGTGTGTAGTGAGTTGTCATTAGGATCAATCACCTCCGATGTTTTATAGGAGTTGTAAAGTGACCCCTCTCTGTTTACTTTAGGTTTTTTAGGTTACTTTAGTCGGAGGTGAACCTAAAATACCTTAAATATGGATCCATGTTTTTACAGAGGAGTTTTAAAGTTATTCTTTCTAACACCGAAAACAATCATGGTTTCATTGGTCTTTTTTTTGTCAACGGTTTCATTGGTATTTTCTACGAAATTCAACCGTCCGATGAATTCTGAAATATCAAAAATTTGTAAACAACAAAATCTTTCGAAATAATCTTATGCACTCCATCTCAAATTTTTGAATGAAGATCATCGAATTTAATATATATCTATATAATTGGCGCATCAGAATTCCCATGTTTTTATAATTCCACAAGCAACCTACATTCCACGAAATTGCCCTGTCCCGAGACGAGGTCCAAACTTTATTCGTTTTAATAATTAAAAATTTTCAACGCGACTTTTGTCCTCACGGTAATATAAATAATGTGAGGCCAAAAAATGATATGATAATAACTACGAATAATATAATATCCAACTGTGGTTTCAAAACCAAAACAATTGGGCCATACTGATTGATTTACTTCGCTGCAGTGGCTATGCATGCAAACCCATGCATAATACGAACAAATCCTATTATTATTCTATACCTCTCCCCCAACTTATTCTTTCTCATTAAAATATTTTTCGTTCACACATCGTTTAATTTAATATACATACAGTATTTGACACACACATTATTGATTAAAAGTATAGTTGTATAGTATAATAATGGAATTTTCTTTGGTCTAGTGTACTATATAGTTTCTACTTTCTACAATCTCAGATCTTAAGTTCTAACTCTATAGTAGATTAGTCTCATGCAAAATCTTGTAGGTTCCGAAAATTGAAAAAGGTAAGAGATTCCATAATATTAGCAAATAGCAATACAAAAACACGATGACTTTAGTCAACACTTAGAATTTGATTTATTCGTATATGTGTATGTCGAGAGAACGTAGTGGTCAATATCACTACAAAAAAAAGTGTTGATAGCATCAAATAAATTATATCAGAAAAATAATTGATATTAATTAAAGTCATTTATTTACAAGTGACATAAATTATACAGTATTAACATCAGTTAATACAAATGATGTTATTATTAGTTTATATGGCATCGATTGCATAAAACTGATACTAATTTATTTTAAATCACATCACTTGAACAATATTGATACAAAACCAAATTTTACATCATTAGATAATTGATGTATATATTAGCATCACTTGAATAAAATAATGCAAATTTTGTAGCAATTAAAAAGTGATGCCAACAAAGAACTGAATTAAACAATTAATATATTTAATTTAATTTGGTCAAAACTTATCTGTCCCACATAGGTTAGGAGAACTTGAAAGGAGAGAATTGTTCCTCTATAAAATAAACTCATCATTGTTAATAATCGTATGATTTTATTAACTTCAACCAAAATCTTCGACATAAAAAAAAATATTTTTAATAATAATTCTAGTTAATTATTGTATAAGAGTTCACAAAATATATTTATATTAATAAAAAAAACAAAAGGGATTTTATATAAATTTTAAAAATAAACTAAAATTTATACCAAAATAGTTTTTTTAACATCAATTATTTATAATTGATACAAATATTAATATCATTTATAATAACTGATGTAAAATTTAATATCACTTAAAACAATTGACATATATTAATATCAATTATTCTAATTGATGTAAATATTTTAAATATTTACATCAGTTATTAATGAACTCATATAAAGTATTTGCATCACCACTTTCAGAATCATTTTTTTAAATGATGTAAAATTCTTTTGTATCAGTTATAAATAATACAAATAAATAAATAAATGATGTATTATGATGTTTTTTTTAAGTGATATTCAACGGTTTATATATACACTTTTTAAATTAAGGCCGTAATTGGTATTACTTAGCATTTAGTATTTCTTGGTTCGTATATAATTGATCATGGGTTGTCGTCTGAGGATGGAAGTAGCTAGGATTGTAGGGTAGATATGCAGAACGTCATTCTAACATAAATAATTATTTCTACAAATATAAAATTTTGAAAATACACAACATTTTTTATTCTTCCCAACAATTAATAACAACGACGAAAGATACAATTACGGCTGGAACTGGACAGTGGGCTTCGAAAAAGAATTTGCAGAAAAGAAAGAAATGCCATATACCTAATTTATTTGACCGATGACTTCTACATTATATCTGGTTACCATTCATAAAAATTAACACAGTACTTGCGGGTCGTTTACACGCAAAATTGTCCTGCTTATGTTAGAGCAAATAATATATATTATACAATTATCGGAGAGAACTCAAATAATTGCACATATTGATACATCATTTTAGTCTTCGACCAAACCTTTTGTGAATTGGTTGTACGCACCAATGCTAGTTTAGATCTAACGTTCAATCTCTGATAGGGAGAACATTATGTGAGCTTAAAATGTGATATTCGATGTCTTAATAAAAATATATTTAAGTGGGTGGTATATATATATATATATATATCTGTATTGATATAAATGGAAAAGAGAGATGTACATATTTTGCATGTATAGAGACAGAGACGCATGTGTAGATAAATATAGATAATGTGAAATAGTAAGAGTAGTGGAGATGGAGACAAACCCGTGATTGTCGTTGGTGACAGAAACAAGTAGCAATATTTTCTTCTCGTGTCTCTCAGTGAAGACAGCCCAGCCAAGCACCTTTTAACTTCTGTCTGATTCCTCTCTCTATGCGCTCTCTCTTTCTCTCTCTATATCTCACACACACAAAGAAGAAGTTATGCTTTTGGGTTTCTACTTTTTCTGTTTCACAGCTTCGGGTTTGAAGTCACGAGCCCATCCTCCTAACTATCCCCTTTTATTTATTTTTTTTGCTTTTTAGCCAATTTAATTTATGAGTTGTAACGATGGAAGAAGATTCATATATCTAATCAGTGAGTATGCCTCATTAATGTTGCCTTTCTTCCTATATTGCAAAAGCTAGTTCGAACTAAACAAGAACACGTATTAAATCAATTAAAAACATAGATCATTCAGTTCATTGACAACTAATTTTGATCGATAAAGTTATTCGTGAACCCTCACAGCATATAAACCTAATCTTACTCCTAGATTTGAGTCACTAAAATCGGTACTACCAACAGGTTGATTATCTATTTTACGAAAAAACATTTTAACTATGGAAATGAAAACAATATGAATATTTAGACAAATTCTATCTACTTTCTTTGAGTTTCTTTCCACTTCCATATCACGAGATTCAAAAATTGAAGGAATTGAGTTAATAATTATTATCTCTAAAAGTTTAGTTGTAAGATATTCTTTTATGACTGAAGTGGTACAGTTACAAATGTTTAATAGTAGAAAAAGTACCATTTTTTTGTCATGAGGTGTAAATCTAGATCTATCTTTCCCTACGATGTAAAAAACTACAGAAAGAAAAGAACATTGTTTTAAAGAGAAACTATATATTAAAATAGAATTTAGAATATCCGTTGTCATCATATACATATATTTCAACATATATTTAGTTGGAGAGAGAGACAGAGAGAAAAAAAGGAATGATGGATACAAGCATCCAAAAAGTCATACACATAGACCTTCAAAAGTCTTCACCTTAAATTCCTAACACATATATGTGTTAGTGTGTGATCTTTGATTGAACTCTGTCTAAAGAAATCCAAGATAGACCAAACAGCTTCTACCCACAAAAACAACCAAATAGCTAGAGACCAAGATGAGATCAAGCAGCCAAAATTCTGAAAACTCCAAGACTTGTCCGTCTACCAACTTCAAAGCAACCACCAAGAAAGTAGAAGACAAAGATGAAGAAGATGATGAAGAAGAAGAGGAAGATGAAGAAGAGAGATCAGGAGATCAGAGCCCATCTAGCAATAGCTATGTGGAAGAGAGTGGGAGTCACCATCATCATAATCATCATGATCAGATCAAGAAGAATGGTGGATCTGTGAGGCCGTACAACCGCTCAAAGACTCCAAGGCTGCGATGGACACCTGAGCTCCATCTTTGTTTTCTTCAAGCTGTGGAGAGATTGGGTGGACCAGATAGTTAAGTTTCAATTATATATATATGGATCAATATTCAAGATCACTGCATATGTGAAGTCCACAGTTTCTAGGGTTTTCTTGTTGATATTTATAATGGGTTTTCATTGAACGAATTTGTTGGAGCAGGAGCAACACCGAAGCTTGTTCTTCAATTGATGAACGTCAAGGGGCTAAGTATTGCCCATGTCAAGAGCCATCTTCAGGTTTTGCAAAAATACATACGTATATTATATATTTATATATTACATCATTTAGATATTCAGCTGAACATATTTTCCACCATTATTTGTTTTCTTAGATGTACAGAAGCAAGAAGACCGATGATCCGAATCAAGGTAATATATCTACTTCTAATACTACGTTATGATTTAAGTTAGGGTTTCTTTGGAATCTGATCATAAATCGTACAACTGAATTCGAAGAGATAATGATTCTTTTTTTTTTCTTTCTTAAAACTTTAGGAGATCAAGGATTTTCGTTTGGAGAAGGAGCTGGGTACACTTACAACCTTAGCCAACTTCCAATGCTACAAAGTTTTGATCAAAGGCCTTCTACTAGCTTAGGGTATTTACAAAATTTCGGCTATTAATATCTAGTCCATATGTTATAATTACTTGAGGTATAACTTGGAATGTATTCCATAGATACGGTAGCGGTTCGTGGACCGACCATAGACGACAGATCTACCGTAGCCCTTGGAGAGGCTTAACGGCTCGAGACAATACAAGAACAAGACAAACATTTTTTGGCTCACAGCCTGGAGAAAGATTTCATGGAGTTAGCAATAGCATTCTTGATGATAAGAACAAAACTATTTCGTTTCGAATCAATTCTCATGAAGCGGCTCATGAGAACAATGGAGTAGCTGAAGCTTTTCCGAAAATTCAGAGAACTTTTCTTGAAGGTATGAAAACATTTAACAAATCATGGGGACAGAGCCTCTCCTCCAATCCAAATTCTTCGACCGCAACAAGACCACAAGATCATTATGCTACGACATTGAATTCTTATCAAAGGGACAATCCTCGAGTGGCAGAAGTATCGGAGAATGTTTTGAAGAGGAAAAGATTGGTATTGTCTGATGATTGCAATAAGGTGGACCAAGATTTGGATCTAAGCTTGTCCCTTAAGGTACCTCGGATACACGACAACCTTGGAGGATGCTTGTTAGAAGATGATAGAAAAGAACATGATGATCATGAAGATAGCAAGGTTTTGTCTCTTTCATTATCTTCGTCGAGTTTATCAAAACTCGATCGAACTACTAGGAAAGAAGATCATAATGATCATAAAAAGAGAGATTTCGGTCTTGGCAAGTCCCCTTGATCTCACTCTGTGAATATATATAACAACATATATATACGTATATTCTAAGTGAGATCTTGAGGTACTTGTTGATGAAAGACGGTTCTGTACTGTTTATCATTCGTTGCATACTTGTGACAAGACCCATAATTAAGGTAATAATAGAGACATTTTTTAATGTTTTTTGGTATTTTTTCCACATAATTTTGTCTAGGTGTTCTATGCATATTTAAATAGTGTTCGAGTTTGGAGTAGAGATTTGTTTTCTTCTGAATAACCAAGAAGTAGATTAGCGAGTCTATATAGTTTTGAGAGTTACGAGACATTGCACGTTGTCTTTGTTGTGTCTTGATGTGAGACGTTGCATATGTATGCGTAGTTCCCATTTTCACTCACTCTCACACAACAAGTATCCTAAGCCATTATTTTGTTCCCTAACGTTAGAAAGGAGATCTTGTCTGAAAAGTGAAATTTTATACAACACTAAATAAGTGAAGCTTATATATGCAATCGTATATGTTTTTGTTTTATAGTTATGATCTAACACAATATTTTACATCAGAATAATTAATTTTATCCCTTAAGTATTATCACAACTCTTTCACAATTAGAGAAAGCAAATTTCAAGGACCTCATTCGTTTCTGTGGATGATATATGCATATATGAAGAGTTGAACCTTTCATGCGTTCACCAAAGCTACGCTGACATAATAGATCGAGAAGTTGAATTTAACGTCTGCACTATCTAATGGTTTGACATAAACCACTATAATTAACAAGGTAAAGAATTGGGTTTTGCAAATGACATGTACACTCTTTTAAATAAATCGTTCCATAATCAATGTGTGGTATTCTCAAATGAGACCAAAGTATTGAACCAAGATAATCTATGAACGAAGATTCAATATCATGTGTCTCAATCGTCCATCTCTATTCGCTATACAGTAAAAATGTGTCAAATATTATAAATTGGTCTACAAAACTTGTCAATTTTTCTTTCTATTTCTAATTTCGTACCACTATTCTAATACAGTTTCTGACAATTCTCTTTTAATATTACAACGAAAGTTCTTTACAAAAAAAAAAAAAAAATTATTCTCTCATAAGACTTTCTTTAAGAGAAATTTGGAGAGAAAGACAAGAAGACAGATGTACTTGACAAAGAGATGTGTCTTGATCTCCTCGATAGACAACAAATAAATTGATATTCGCATATAATCGTTTTCTTATCATCTCGGGCCTTGAATAAGATTTGGCTATATCGAATTCTATATTTGAGAATATTTACAAATTTTTCAGAGAATCAAAACTATGGAAGGTTTTTGTTGTTTTGTGTCTACTTACATGTGTCTTTGTTAAATCATTTTTCCAGTTCCTTCATATAATTTGGACAAGTATATATATATATATATATATATATTCTATATTGTTAAGTCAAACATATTTGTAACATCAATTTTTTGAGTTAATATTCGACATCGTGGAAATTTCATAGTGATAATTATTCTGTAAAACTTCTACTCCATTGATTTTTGATTTAGCAATCGTTTCATAAAGATTTTACTGCAAATGGTAAAAATAAAATAAGAGAAAATAATAAATCAGAGGAGAGGTAACACATTTTGTAAGGCGAAAGTAGCAATGACAGAGTAAGCCTTTTGCGAAGGATGCACAGAATCAAAGAACAAATATTTTGAAACATCATCACAAGTCCGAGACAATGGCTTGCATAGAGGTCCTGCCTCAAGCAACCCCGTCCCGCAACATCCTTTCAACGTTTCTTCCAATCCTGCATTAATAATTTGTATATATCGAATCATCAAATTCTGATAATCACGCCTCTTTTTAACAAAATTTTTGTGTAGTTAAAAAGAACTTGATTAGTGATACCGTATTTGTGAGGATGTTTGATCATGTCCATTAATGGAGAGTAGATGTCTAGGTGAAGAACTTTGGAGCCTCGAAGCCTCTGATTGAGACGGAAGTTTAGATTCTTTAGCTTTTGATTGTAAAGCCGAGAATCAGCGTTCTGATTTTCCGAACAGATCCGATGACGGAAGATGCGAGGGAGAGGGAGAGAAGTGAAGGTGCCAAGTGTTACTTGCACCGGAAGGCATCCGATTGGTGGTAGTCCTACTACTGCAATCCTTCGTGCTCCTGCGTCGTGTAGTCTCTGTTAAGCATTTGTAAGATTAAGTTAGATATTTAGATGTTGTAAAGCTGTTATTTGGACTCTTCACTGCGTCGTCGTGTATATAATTTGTAAGATTAAGTGATCAAAATCTCAAGAAACAAAAAATACTAGGCCTTCATAACAATACAAACTCTGGGCTAAGGCCCATTTCAAGTTCATAACATTTCAACTTAAAAATTATTATTGAAATTTGGATGTACTTTTCACAGTATAAACCTCTAATTTTTAACGTAAAATAGAAAGTGAGATATTGAAAAAATACGAAAAATACATACTACAATGGAAAAATAATAAAACAATTGTCTAAAATAATAATAAATTTTATCATATTGTTAGATTAGCAGAATGCGTATAGCCGTATAGGTCTTAGTCAAGTAATTTAATGGGTGGGATCCATACGAGTAGGACATTCAATTTTTTAATATATACACAATTTTTTAATATAACGTGGTTTTCTTCTTTGGGATTTAATAATCAAAAAATAATACTAAGAGAATTAAGAACTGAAAAGTTGAACGTAGCTAAACCTGGACAAAAGCTTCGACTTTGCTGAGTAGAAAGTCATGATAATCCGAAACGGAGATGAATCTCCCAAGAGCATGATCGTAAACGTTATAGATCATATCATTAGTCCCCGCACTAATCACAAACAAAGCATTCTTAATCACCCGATTAGTTTCCGAGTCTCCAACCACACTCTTCATCTTACGAACCGCCTCTTCGAAGTAACTCCATTGCTTGTCCATGGCCAAAGTCGACGACAACATCGCCGTGCGATCATCTAAACCACCTCCGGCCGACGCAAAACTAACGCCAGTCAAAAGGTCAACGGGTTTGACCGTGGGGTTGAGGTAAGCTGGTATAGTGGATTTGAGTCCTAGAGAGGAGGCTAAAAAGTCGGTGGCGAGTTTTCCGTCGGAGAATCGTCCGGTGGAGAGTTTGGCCGGAAAGGATTTTCCGTAGGGAGGATGGTTGCTACGGAAAAGAGTTGGGATGTAGTTGTTGTTGCCGGAATCCACCGTGGAGTCGCCGAAGGCGTAAAGAGCCGTTATTGGTGGGGATGGTGATGCATTGATAGGGTTTTGAAGTTGGAGGAGAAGAAGAGTGAAGAATGCAAGTAGGATTGGTTTGTGATGATTAGGGTTCATGGTTTGGTTTAGTGTGGGATGATGAAAAAGAGAGAAACACATTTGTCCAGTTTGTTAGAATTTCAAAAATATATATACAATTACCACATGTGTCCAACAGTCCAAAGAGGAAATGAAATTGAATAATGTACAGCCTTTTTTCTTTAACAATGAATAAATTCATTCTCTAATAATGAGAGATCTATTAAAATTAACATTTCGAGTCCCACAAAGATTGTCGTGTCTAATTTATTATTTTTGTAGTTCAATATTATAATGGTTTACCTTAGATTTATACTTTAAATTTTTCAAATATAAGGTACGTATTTACTCGAGATATCATTGTATACAAATACCATCATCAGAGTTATTTTAGCTCTCACAAATTCAAGTAACACACGCCATACGGTGTAAGGTTTCTCAATATATATGCATATTTCTTGAGATGAAGATGTTTAGGCAAAACATATACAACTTTTAACCTATATGATGGTTTAGTACTTGTTGAATGGTTTCATCCTGAAAACTGAGGAATCAAGCTTGGACTTTTTACAAATGATTTTTGTTGTTGTTGTTAAGAAACATTTAGTATCCAGATTTAATAAAGAAAACTCTAGCTAGGTCTATGCAGGTTATATGAATCGACTAACTTAATAAACTCTATGTTGGTTGCATTTCAAGTCATTAGTAATTATAATTAAATAGCATATGCTATGCATATATCATAAACGCATGTGCCGAAAGCAGTAGATGGAATATGGATGGTGACATAAATAAACAATTGAATGCGTTTACTTTCTTCTATTAGTACATCAATCTCACTTTAAGTTCTGTATAAATAAAAGTATAGCAAAATCAGAATGGGATTTGCCCATTAAGTCTATAAAGAATAGAATAGGACTGAAGATGACACTCATAAATGGCGTGCAAAGTGCTGTCATGTAGCTGACGATGATAGCCTTTAATGCGCCCATTAACCACGTAACCAGTTATTTTCGTTTTGTTTTGTTTTATCTGATACCTATTTATGCGAGGATCGGAAAACTCGATTCCCTAATTACTTATGGAATGTCAATTTCGATAAATTTGAAAATATACTTATGTCAATTTGTCGGTGTGTAGTAACCCAAACGCCTCTAACCAATTCAATCATAGATACAACCAACATGGAATAATAATGTATACGGATTTAATCATAACGGATTGTGACCAAACGATGGTACTAACACAAACGGAGAAGATTAAAATTCCAACATCTATGGAAAAATGCGTCGGTTCTTTAGTGGCCACAGTAGATAATTCAAATGACATATTTAGCAGATTTTGTATAGACTTTCGATGATAAGTTTAGGTTTTGGCATGATATGTATCCGATTAGAAAATAAGAAAGAAAAAAAAAAAAAAAGTGGTGGGATAAGTTAGTCAACCAATAACTCCATCATTCCGACATTTGTGGGAATAGCATGGCGAGAAGGCCGAGAAGGTACGTGATACGCGTGGTCTCAGTATCTGCACTCACGTAAATCGAGACGATCTTCTATGACTCAACGCGTCATATGATTGATTGATTATTTATACGATCGTATCAGTTCAAATCTCACAGATAATCGGCATCGTTGTCGCGTATCCACCTTGTGAATGCAAAGCTATACTTCCGGAGATGCATTCAGTTATCATATCATTCCACAGCAAATAAGTCAATTTTCAGTATCCTTCAAAAAAAAAAAAAGTCAGTTTTTCATTTTCTTTTCTTTTCATGTGAAACGGAATTTCAAGAAGACAAATAAGTCGTCTTCTCTCTGTTTCATCTTTTATTAGGGACAGGCTCCTAATGGTAGATGGTGTATAGTTGGATTCAGCTCTTTGCCCCTTATATCTGATTTGGGATGTCTTTATTTCAATGTTTACTTACTACAAGTCCCCAAATCCGATCCTATATGACTATTCCACTCGGTTTAGTTGAACAATGGATAGCTGAACTAAAGTAACAAACTTGTTAGTTTGTCACTCTCATTACCAAACTGAAAAGACGCAATATTTTTGGTGTCATTTGCAACAATCAACTGAACTTGCACCATGACTGAGACTTTTCCAAAGTCATATTTACACTGAAATGCTTCAAACTGAAACCATCAATTCCACAAAACAGATAAGAGAGAAATCTGATAATGCAACAAATGCAGAGTCGATCTGAGGCAGAACGCGGCGGAGATCTTCGAGAGCGGAGGAGTAAGAGGCGGTGTTGGTGAGGAACCTGAAAGTATTGCTCGTGTTGAAACAGCCGTGTACTATGCGGCTGTTTAGAAGATGCCGTACGGTCTCGAAGTCGCCGGAGCTGCCAGCTTCGTATATGAGTTTTTCGAATTCGGTGGTACTGCGACGACCTGGACGAGGCTTCACGGTGGAGAACAATCGAGGATATGAAGGAATATTCCGGCATTAACTGTTTGTTTCACGAGTCGTCGCCGGAGAAGAGACATTGAGTTCCACAAATTTTCTTATTGGTTCAGTTTAAGCCAAGCATACCGATTATTCGAAAAATGGGTTTTATTTTGGGGTTTTCTGATGGTACTGTTGGCCCAGTATAAGAAGTTTGGCCCATTGATGTAATCCACGTTTATGTTTCCGAAGGCAACAGTGTCTTTCACTCTTTCTCATGAATATCAATCAAATGGGTGAAAAAATATTTTTTACTTTTTTTTTTATTGTTAGGTTATTGATAGATGTCTGAGTGTAGCAATCAAAAGGATAATTTAAATGATAAACCTAGGATACTATTTTTTTTTGCTTTAGAAAAAGCATTAGAGAAAAATTAGGTAACTAAGGATGATAAAACCAAATAAGGATGAAGAGATACCAAAATTGATAATATCTTTTTAAACACCTTACTTGATTACAAACTCTAGTTGATGTTTCAAAAGTTTAGAACGTGGCTACCAATATATTTAGAATTACAACTTATAAAAATGACTCCTCGCGGGGAAAACTCGCTTGTTCACGAACTTGATTTTATCTTAGTTTATAGTTAGTAACATCACCCAGATGAAGAAAACTAACCTACTGATATATATTTATATTATATGTTTGTATGATACTGAAGAGTATTATATGTAAATTTGATCAACGTACACTAGCAAACAAAAACACACAAAAAAACGAAGATATGATTTTGGGAATAAGATTCACTTTAAAGAATATCTCTTCTTCTTTTTATGTGAAAAGACTTGGATTCAATTGTTTGCGAGGTATCATTTTGGTATGGCTGAAATAGCATTAAAGAAGTCGAGAAAGGAGATAACGAAAAGAGGGGTTGTGATGAAAAGAAGAAGAAAACAATGCTTCTCACATCAAGAAAAATAACATAAAATGTTGGGGGTAAAGATGCAAATCATATCTAATCCAATCTAAGGTTATCCTAATTATAATAATTTAGACTACATATTGTATATTTAGTTCGCTCGTCTGCAATAACTAGAGCAAATCCCAATTATGTTTTTTAACTATCTAACTTTTAAAATACATATTTTAGTTTTGCGAGTCTCTACGCTCATTTTCGGCTTGTGTGATCTATTTTTATCTGATCATTGATCCTTCTGTTATTTCAAAATTTAAGGTTTAATTATCAACTGGTTTCATAAACATATTCTTTGTGTTTTACACGATATTAAATCTACTTATCAATAATTCATCCTAAAGTTTTTTCATCTCAAACATGTTTAGTTTTAAAATTGTTAAGTTTATGGTAAAGATAAGGATGATACATGTAGTTTTAAAACTTTCTTTCCATGTACATTTAAAAAAAAAAATCGAATATTATGTGTTTCTCCATTCTTGAAATGAGGTCATATAACAAATCTAGTGTGTGATCTTTAATAGAGATCATCATCAAAAAGGCAGTCAGCATGCATGAGCCAAATCAATTTTGAATGGAGCTTGTCCAACGAATCATCAGTTAGGTGATACGAGGATGCAACATATGTGAATTAGTAAATTAACGAGCTTCTCAAATATATAACACAACAAGATCGTCGAATAGGTGAAAAAAAAATATTCAAGAGGGGTGAATGGATTGGCTGTGCAGTATTTCTTATAAGGGAATACATCAATTTATTTTAAAATGATCCCTCGATTAAAAGTATAACTTTCTAAAGTTTTGCTATTTAGTTTTATAATTTATAATTATTCTGCTGACCAATATTAATTATTTTCTAAATTTTGTCCGTGATCTACAAGCATATCACCCAAACATTTTATATAAAAAAATGTATGTACTTTTCGACATTTTCACTATAAAATTTAGTTGGTGGGCATCTTCCACTAATATTACATTGATTTTTCTACTATGACTGGTCGACATCTGATTAATTTCATGTTCAAATAGTCAAAAAAATAATCGCCAACCATCTTTGTTTCCGATTTTACACTAGACTGCGAATTCACTTGGTTAGCTAGCTATTGTCAAAGAATAATTAATAGTTGTTTCTTGTTTGTATTCAAGATCTTTTTCATCTCAGAAAATTCCAAATTATATTATAAATTTGACGTAGTTGGTAAAAATGCTGTAGAAATAATGTAATGAAAGATTTACGAATTATAAGTTTGTTTGTTCAAAAAAAAATTATAAGTTTGTCTCCATGCAAGTGAAAATGTCTCTGCCGACCAATCGTTGACTACATGAAAGCTCTGGGCCTTTGGCAAACATAAGGACAAATTTTCTCTTTTATAGAGTCAACTTTTCATTTTTTTCAACCACTCTTTGCATTAATTATGATCGCGAAATCATTAAGAGGCCGGTGACCGGCTTTACATTCTAACACTCGAATCTTCCTCTATGTCTTGTTTGTATCTCAACGTAAAACATATATAAATCGATTTTGTGTAGACATATAAGATTTATATGTGTGTTAGTGTGTATATAAATATGACTATGAGGGTTCTGTGGTCATTTTCAAAGCAGCCTAGTTTTGTTTCACATATGATGTATGACAACGGCACAGTGTAGTTATTTTCATGTTGAATACGATAATTCATTA